GTGGGTGGGTGGAGGGGTGTGACGACCGTGGCGAGGGTAAAGGGGGCGGACCAACGGGTGGAAGTGAGAGCGATCGATGCTAATGCACTTGAGCAAATGAAAGAGGGGGTACTGTTGAAAAGAGACAGAGATATTAAAGTACCGAGGAGCCACGACGAAGAGGGCCCTCGGCGCAGTCGGCACTCAGTCGCAGCTCGACACTCGACGTCGCGATATCGTCGGGCGGTTGTGAATAATTTTTTTTTTTCACCACTAAATACAGTGCTGGTGATTTTTATTTTATTTGAAATTGAAAAGAAAAAAAAGGCCAAACACCTGGATTTTAACGCTGCAAAACTGTTGAGTGTTGATATTTCTTTTATTTTTTATGGGTTGTTAATTTGAACGTTGTTTGAGAGACTATTATTGGGAATGTGCGGTTAATATTTTTGGATGAATGAGAGTAGCTGAGGGTGATAAAAACGAAACGTACATAAAAATTGAGATTGCCAGCGTGAAGAAACAACGTGCCTTTTTGTGTGCTGGGTGATATAATAAAAAAAAGAGGAGAGGCTGGTGTTTGTGCGGTTAATCTTCCGGAGGACGTCATTTGCCGGTGAACAAAGTAAAATAACATAGCTGTGTTATCCCGGGGAATAATAGGATTGTGGCCGTCGGTCGGAGGTGGCCCTGGGTGATTCTTCATTATTTTTTTCTCTTCCAATCTCTTTTTTTTTCCGCTGGAAAAATTGAGATCCCGTCGGGGAAGCCAGAGAGCAATCGACCATTCCTCGTGCCCCAGCACTGACAGCTGAGAATTCAGGGCAATTTTTTTTTTTTCAAATTGATCAAGCATTTGTCACGATCAATCAGACCTCGTTGATTAATTACCAAATGCCTCGAGGGCTGGGCCACGTGTAAAGCATAAGATAATAAAAATAAGAGGGTGACAGTTCTGGATATAATGTACATTGGTCCGAGTACTGAACACCTGATTTTTATTGACAGCAATATTTCATAATCATTATAATACAACGTAATGATAATAATCGTGGAGAGGAACTATTGAGTGGAGCTGAATGATTATAAATAGTTGGTGATATCCTGAGGAGGAGAAATTGGGGAATGGAGGGCGTGTGAGGCCTGGAAAAAGGACAGGAAAAAAAAGGAACGAAAGAGGAGAAAGAGTAAAAAGAAAAGTCTCCAAGTCCGAAAGGAAGCGATAAGGGCGAGGACCGAGGCAAAAACCTGGGGGCGCAGCTGGAAAGGAGAGGAAATGCCTGAGAGAGAGGGGAACAGGACCTGCTGGTAGTTGTGGCCGCGCCTCGTCGAACGCTGAAAATCGATCTCACATTTGATATCCACAGCGATACAATTACCAATCACCACCACCGAGGAATATCCATTTTTAAGAGTATCCTCAGAATCACCATTGGCCATCCCTTGGAGGCCATCGTCGAGGCAACATACTCCAGTGGAAAATATCCTCTCATTCTGGTAAATCGATACGCAGACGTCTGGCGACTCCCACCCCTCGGGATTCAAACAAAAACACATCACGAATTATGCCACATCCGCATCCTGGGCTGTAGCCTATCAATCGTTTAATAACACGAGAAGGAGGATGAGAACGTGACGCAAGTTGGCAGCCGATTATCGGCCAGCAGAAGGGCGTCACCGACGATCGAGGTAAATAGATACTGGGGATTGTCTATTGGTGGATCGTTGATATCAGTCTGCTATTGTCAGGGTGTACGAGGGTGAATTGATCATCCAGAGGGTAAATTAAAAAAATCAGATAAGATGGCGGCGGCTTGCTACGAGAAGGAGATCTCCATCGAGAGCATGAGTCTCGGTACGAATGCACATCATTTTCATCATCACCATCATCATCATCAACGAGTGAATGGCAATCCATCGACACCAGTATCCACGAGTCGTCCAGGTACCACTGGACAGACTATTCTATCACCGACGGCCAGTGAAATAGTCATACCAACTAGCCCATACAAAAATGACAGCTTCAAGGATTATGCACAGCCACTGCACGTCGATTGCAGCGTTGAGTATGAATTGCCAAGTCAGGCAAAACCACCACCAGGAGGTGGTGAGCCACTTCTTATGATTCATCCGTGTTACTACAGACGTGCCGAGAGGGAGAGGCGAAGTCCATTTGTGAATAATCTACCACCGATGGGTACGTCGGTATCGAGTAGAAAATCGAGGGGACGAGATAGTGTACATCCAGCTAGAACTGGTGGTGATGCTGGTGCTGTTATGTCAATAGCAACGGCAACAGCTGCCGTTACAACAACATCGAGTGGTAATATTCACATTGGTGACGCCCTGACAGCCTCGTCACCATCGATCAATACACTCCAGAGGAGGATACGTCTTGATGACTGCAGTCAGGAAACTGACATCATGAGAGATGATAAGAAAAGAATAAATCAGCAGAGAAATCCAGTATTTACGTCAGTACCAGTTGCTAATCCAGCGAATCTCACGACTGCTGATGAAAAAGCTGTTATATCTGGAATTTATCAGCATTACTTCAGGGCTATGAGATCACATCAGCCACATATTCATCAGGAGGAGCATGGACAGGTGACACAGCAGCATCATCATATTTATGATGATCATGTTGGAGCGGCTAGTCCAGCACCAGCTACATTTCTCCAGAATTTTCAGGTTCCTGCTGAGCCTGTATCTACCACCACTAGACGACGGAGTCATCCTTACAGGAGGGGATGCTCTGGGTCTAGGGGTAATAATACTGGGGGCATCAATTCGTCTGGATCCAGTGTTTATGCAACGGCTATGAATAGGCACAGAGAGGCATCACTTCAGGCACTCAGAATGGCTGCTGCTGCTGTTGCTGCTGCTGCTGCTGCTGCCACTGGTGGCAATGGAGCTACCACTGGGGGATTCTATGAGGCACCTGCGTACAGAGCTCTATTACCCAGGAGCTAGGACCTGGTTAAGTGCTGTCGTTGGAATTTTCGTAAGGTATCGACGATTTTAAGGATTGGAATTCATCTGGGGATTGGACTCTGGGTTGTTGCTGTTGTTGGGTGTTTGTGGGGTGGGATTTTTGAAGGGGGGTGGGGGGTTACTGATTTTATGCCGGGTTGTCGGGGGGAAATCAAGGCGAGGGGGTTATGAGGGGATTTGTGGGGAACTGGGGATCGGTTTTTGCGGATATCTCGAGATCCTGGGGAGCTAGCGATTTTTTGGAGTTCAGGGGATTTGTAGGGGGGGGATTTCGGGGAGAAAAAAGAATTCTTACGGAATTTTTGTAGCGCTCTTGGATTGAGAGATATTTTGAAAAAACTTGAGGGTGATGTGAATTGAATTGAATTTGATCTCTTGCTTTTGTCGAATTTGTAATGAAATTTTTGGGTTTGAGAATTTGAGAATTCAGGAATCTGGAGATAAGAATTATACCAACAAAAGTAATGACAGTGGAAATTTTAGGGAAATTATCTCTTGACTTATCTTTTCCTCTAATTCTCTATCAAAATTCAGTGGAAAAATGTTCTGACGGAATTTCCCATCGGGACTTATCGAAAAATGTGACTTTGAGATGTCATTTAAATTATCCTATCAAAAACTCATGAAAGTCGTTAAATTTTTATTTATACTTCTCCCCCCGAGGAATCTAAATAAAAATTCATCAGAATTCCTGACTTTTGTTGGTAAAAATAAATTGTTCTCTGGATTTCGAGTCGAAAATTTCGGGAAAAATGATGGATTTGATCACGAGGAGTCGTCAAAGGCAGAAGCCAACAATAAAATTCCCCTCCCCTTGGAGGAAGATAATATCGTACAGCACGAACGATTTTTCGGTGGAGCCTCGTCTACCATCATTCGTATTATCGTCGGTTCCTTTTTGCCCTTCGTCGGGAGTTGCTCCACCCCATAGCGTCAAAAATCCACGTGAAGAGAGAACACTGGAACGATAGAAATCGTGAAACCCTCCCTTGTCCCAGGGACCCAGACGCCACTGGGTTCTGACCATATACCTGCTCTCGTCTGCAACTTCCATCAACTTCCATTCTACTCCAGCAAACACCCGGACACCCACCAATTTCCCACTCGAATCTATTATACCCCAGCTAGTCTCCATATTTATAACTATTTCTCAGGTTTAAGTGGAATTTTTTTTATGGGAAGTTCTTGGTTTTTTTGGCAAGTCCACATTAATTATTTTTGGAAATTCGTTGGGAATTCTTGGAGTTTATCCCGGATTTCGATAATTCTCGCTATTTTTCAGGGAATAAATTGCGATTTTTGAGGGAATTCGTTTTTCAACTGGAATTAATGGGAATTTATAAATGTTTCTTATGTTTAGTTTGAATTTTTTTGTTGGTGATTCAATTCTTGTTCTCTGGTCTCTAAAGATTAAGTATTCGCGAAATTTTTGGAAATCTTTGGAAATTTCCAATAATTTTGCAGATTTTTGAGAGATTTTTCCATTGAAACGATCATTTCGACTGGAATTAATGAAAATTCGATGAATAATTAGAAATTCTTGCCGATTTCGAATGATTTCTCCGATTTTTCAATAATTTTTTTATCAAATAATTGATAATTCCTTAATAAATCCATTATTTCGACCAAAATTCCGGGAATAATCGTAATATCTAAAGATTTCTAAAAATTCCTCCCTGGCCACTCAAAAAAATCGTCTCCTCAATCCTCAATTCCCTGGGCTCCCAAAAAATTCCCATAATCACGAAAAACCTGTCTTCCGGTGATGCAGCCCTAAAAAATTCTCAAATTCCCAAAAAACCGCTAAAAAAAGCCCCCAAAAAATCCATCTTCCCCCCCCACACCCAGAGCAACCCATCCCCAAAACCCCCAAAAAACTAGTTTTAAAATCATGAACTAACGAGCAATAGCCTAACGAACGCTTGTCCCATCCCACCAGGATATATTTTCGTGACCCCCTCGGATATATTCGTACCGTATGTAACCACCTCCCGACGTATATATCAAATCCCCCCTGGTACATGGTATTGCATATCCAACGGTGCCATTACCGTACAGTACATACCCCGAGTACATAGAGCCAGGGGGAAGAGGGGGGAGATTGGGGGGGGCTATACCTCTCGCGGTTGGTGGGCATCAGGGGCTTATCTCTCTCGTCGTTGCTAGGGCACATAAGGGGGTCCAACAAGGACAGACACTCAAGCCAAAACCGACGTATGTTACACTACACGAGGCATTCTACACAGTCACGTTTGTGCACACCAACCCGAGGGGCCATTCTCCACGAATATTGGGGCTTCCCCCCTTCTGACCCCTCACAGCCCCCCTTGTCCCCCCTTTTCTCCCCGTTTCCCTCCCATCCGCCCTTCCTCCCTTCCTCCCTTCCTCCCTTCCTCCCCCTGCTGTCTTCTTTTCCCTTTCCCTTCCCCCCTCTTACCCCTCAACGCTTCTATTCCTCTCTCCACCACCCCGCTGTCCCCCCCTGCCCCTTCAGTGCTTCATGTTCCCTTCAGACATGCGCCCAGTCCGCCAGGGCCAATTTTTCCATTCGATATTACGCGTATAATGCTACATTCCCTTCTCTTTTTAACAATTCCCATTCATCATTCATCCCAGGCCTTTTTTTTATTTGCCCCCCCTTTCCTTCCCCCCCGTCGGACCTCCTCACCGACCCGCAGCCCCCCTTTTCCCCACCGCGAGTACTCATCAATCGGTTATTCTTTTTTTTTTCTTTTTGGGTACGTAGAGTACTGAGACTGCGGATTTTTTTCATTTGGTTTCGATTTTTTTTTTTTTTTGCTGAGGAGGAGTTTTGGGAAATTAATCGGGTTTGAGAGGAAATGGTGGAATTTTTAATTTGGGGCGTGAATTGGAAGTTTTAGGCTTTTTTGGGAATTTTGTAGACAAATTGGGAATGGGGAAGTTATAATTATGATTTTGAAAATCGAGGATATATTTTACCGGTTTTTTTGGGGTCGGAGAGATGTTTGTTTTGGGGAAATAATTGGAAATTCAGTGGGAAATTGTCAGGTAGAGAGTTTGAGTGACAGCTGCACCTTGAGGTTTATTATTGGAAATTCGAATTGAAGATTGAATTATTCAAGGAATTCTTCAGTTATTTTGACAATTTGATAGAATTCTCTGATGTTTCCCAAGATTTCAATTGCAGAAAATCGCGAAGCGACAGCTGAGGACTCGGATATAGAGTAGATAGTGTGTAGAATCGATTGTACGAATTTCTGAAATAGTCATAACGTCTAGAAGATGGCGGAATTGAGGAAGGAGCTCATCGCGATCCTGGATCATTAAATTAATTGCTCATTCGACTGGAAAAACCAATTTTACGGAATTTAGAAATGCTTTTTGTTGAATATCTCGAAACCGATGGGAGATATCGAAATAGTCGTATCGACATTTTTTGTACCTCCAGTTCCGCTCTACAAAAAGTTCCCAATAAACTTTCCTCTATCTCCAGGGAATTTCAAGATATTCCTAAAAATCGGTGAAATTTCCAACTCAAAGCCCAGTCACGCATTGATAAACCAACCGTTCCATTAACTTTCAATTAATTCCAAAACTATCGCTTCTACAAAAAAAAGTTAAAAGACCTTTTGTCTCGGAAATTTAATCACCAACATAAAAGTCCTCTAACATTTTTCCATTGAATCACTAGTTTGCCGGATACAGTGACGATCGGTAAAATGAAGATTAAAAAAAAATCGATTTATCTCGCTCTATCGCTGATTTGTCTCGTTGATAAATTATTGGATGCCTTTGAGGAAGTGGAGACGACCGCACCCTCGAGTTCTGGGAACGACCTGGTCCCGAGGATGTAACCCGAACATTCCCGAAGAGGATCGATACCTCCAAGAGAAGTTTCTCACCGAAAACCTCTCGGGCCTCAGTATCGATCCCCTTTCAGCTCCTCTCTGTTCTCCAAGGCATCCAACTTTCATCTCTTCCCTTTGTACTCCTTCGTTTAGATCTTGAGAATCACTTGGGGATGACTTCTCTCTCAAACATCCACAGAATACCCCAAGAACAATGAGAAATCGGTACTCCACCGACAAAAACTCGTGATAACAATTCTTATCACAAAACCATTCACTACTAAATCAATATTTTCCCCATAAACAGGCCCCAGGGTCCACCAATCATATATAAATCTCCGAACTATTGATCCATCGAAATCAAAATCGACTATAAATCGTCTCGATAATCCAGAGAACAAAAAATCAATCTAATCCAAAATCATCAACAGATTCACATTAAATCGCGCAGTATTTTGAAAAAAAAAAATCAAGGGATCATTTCCCTGAATTCCACGGAGATGATGGGGTAAGATAAATAGCGATCCTCGAATTACGAGAGCAGGAAAAAAATCTGCAGTGCCGATTTTGCTGTAGAGTACTCCAGATGATGCGTAAGGGGCTAAAGTGATGGAGATAATTCAAGCATGGGGTTTAAAATATAAAAGCCTATATAAGAGCCTGCATTTACATTCGATCATGTACAAGTCTTAAATAGTGTGATACAATTTCTACGCTTATTCTCCGACTGTAGTGTTTTAAGGACTCAAAAAATAACTATTCAAATACCATAATCATCTGTCCCTCCCATGGTACCTTGTCCTGCCATTTCCTTTATTTCCATGAAACTTAAAGACTGGGTATTCAATTGTACCCGTATTAGCAAGAGCTGAGGAACAATAATGAGAGAATAATTGAGTGCGAATGTTCTCGTAGATTTTAGGAGCTAGATCATCTGGATAATTAATCAAATCGATTATTCCCTCGAGGTCCAGACACCAATCACCGGAAAGGGTGGATTATCTCCGGGTGTAATAGAAATAGCGAAATTTTTGTAGAAATATTTTTTGAAGAGATCATTATCAGCTACAAAAAAGATTTCTGCGGAAATTTCGGTGGGATTGATGGTTTTCGAGATTTTTGGGGAAAATCGAAGTTGGAGGTCGGGGAAGTTTGGAATGTTTTTGGAAATTTGGAAATTTGGATTTCGATGGGTGATTGGGGTCTGGATCGCGGGGAAAATCCATTCTGCTTTTTTCTTTCCTTATTTTCAGTCAATGATTGTAGAGTGAAAATAGGGAGATGTCAGTCTGGAATATTCAGTTGATAATGGGAAAATGATTGGATAGGTCGTTTGGAAACGTGGGCGTTTCCGCTTTGTACATAGTTGTATACATAAACGCATAGATTATACATATTGTATACATATAAACAAGAATCTATATATATGATACATGAGTATATATAGATGAATCATCCACTGACTGTAAAATGCCATCGAAATATATTTATATTTCATGTTAAATGATTTTTTGTTTTCGTTGTTTTTATTTATTTGACTTTTCGCAGCGAATATCTCGGAAACTTTTGGGTTTTTGGAAAAAAGTGAAAAGTCATTTTTTGTGGGAAATTTCATTATCCCTGGAAAAGGTGGATTACGATTTTTTGGGGAGTCGACGGTTTTCGAGATATTCGCGAAATAGTGGTCCTTTGATAATAATGTGCAGTTTTATTTCTGGAGTTATTCGAGTAATTGAAGAAATTAGTGGTGGAATCAATTAATGAGAGTTGATAGTTTCTGTCTGACGTTTGTGGACTGTGAAATGCCATCAAACTGTTTATATTTCATGTGAAGACTTTCAATTCTCGTTCTCTCATTTTTTTACGTTTCGATAAAAACAACCGTAGGGAGTGTTTCATGGATATCTCACGAGCCATCAACAATATCAAAAAATACGAAAAGTATTTTTATGCGGAGAATCAAATTCTCCACAAAAAAGGTACATAACATTTTTTGATGAGACCATTGGTTATCGAGATATCCGCGAAACAGTGTGAGTTTAAAATTGTGGAGTTTCATTTCTGGAGACTATGAATTTTTATTGAAGCAATAAATAATGAAATCAATTAATGGGAGATAATGGTGTTCTCTCTGCCATTTACGTTGAAGTAGTTAATTATTTTAAATTTATTCTCCATTGATGATTTTTTCCATTTCAACTTATTTATTTTCTCACGTTTTCTCATGCACTTTGCGTCACATCGCTAACTTGCAAGTTTATTCCATTGGCTCGTCCTCGTCAGCTTAGAAGACACCTAGAGGATTGAGGTAGGTAACACGTAACAAACGACAAGTGGCCCAAATAAACACACCACGTTTCTTCTCGAGGAATACGTGAAGAGGAGGTGAAATGGCTTCCGCTGGAGGGATTTTTAGAGTTCAAGTTGTAATTTGATTAGAATACCCTTGTAGAAATCGGGTCGACTCGTTGTGTCTAATTATTTATTCAAATCCCAGTTTTTCCCACTTTTTTCTGTCCACAATCATAAAATCATAAAAAAAAAACATTAAACACCGACCAAATGTCAAATTCCAAACATTTCCCAATTTTTTTTCTATTTCAATTATTACATACAAGCAAAAAAAAAACATGAGAATGCAAATGGTTGTTTTATAAATATTGTAATATTATTTCAAATGAGATGGTGACATTTATCGAAAAATTAGGAATTTTTGGAGAAAAATGCATGACAAAGTTTTATTGTTATATACCGAACTATTTATTTGAAAATTCGTGATATTTATTCCTCGAACAATTATATAATTCGTACAATAGCGTCTCAACTCCAATTAAATTCGATTCTAAAGAGCACCTCGGCCTAATGAACCGCATCCCGGGGGAAAAAAAAATACAATATGATTCTACCTGGGTCCGACCATCAGGGAAACCTCGAGAGCCCAAAGATAATAACCATTTCGCCATTATTATTGTTATCCCCTTTTTTTTCTCTCAGGTTTACCGTCGATTTTTCGTTGAGCCTCTAGACATGACAGCTCCAGAGTCATGCCAATTCCTCGAGACTGTTTACTCCACGTCCCTTTATTTATTTTCTCCTTTTTTTTTCGCGAAAGGACCTTCACATCTGCTGGTTTTCAAAGGAAAATACGTGAGTCACAGGTAGAATTGAAGAGCTCATGGGAAAATATTTAAAAATGGATATAATATCTACAATTCTAGATATTCTCAATATCTCTATAGAATTGAACATTTTTTGGGTGATTCATCCGGAAAACTGGCGATCCGACGAGAAAATGATAGAGGACTTTTTTGTCGCTCACTAAATTTTGAAAAAGAATGATCTTTTGACTTTTTTTAAAGAAATCAATAGTTTCTAGATTAATCGATGTTTTATTCGGGTTTACATCATTTATCGTTTTAAATTATTTCGTGCAATTGTTTTTCCCTCAATTTAATAATAATACATTATATTACACACTACCTGACAGTTAAATTAAATAAAATAACAACAATTATATAAATAATACCAATAAATTAAGAAATAAATTCTGGAATCTCGAATTAATGAAGAGAATAATAAAAATTCAGAATGAAATGCCACGTGCTGTGTAAATCGATAAAAAATTCAATAAAATCGATCTAAAATCGAATAACCAATAATCGACGAAGACTCGAGTCAACAAATGTCAACTGAGTCGAATGTTTTGAAAAATGGGAATTGTCGTGTACCAGCATATTCCAGCGTACGTCACAAAAGCCAGCGATTTTTAATTGCTAATACCCGCATTGTAACGAGAGAATACAATGGAAATGTTTGGCTTCTGATTATTATCGGTTACGACTGAGAAACATCTGACGATTGGCGAATGATTTATGCTGTCGTCCACAATTTTTTCCATCAGTATTTTTCTTTAAAAAAAAACACGTGTGAATTTTGTTGAAGATGAGAATAACGAGTGCCAGGTTGCCTTTTTTTTCGATGTAAACGAATGACTCTGCGAAATACAGGAAGAAGAAAGATATTTTAACGTGACAGAGAGACTCAGTTCCAGGATATTAGGAAACCGGGGAAATGTCCGATGCATATATTCATGACATAAATTTAAATGCTCGTTGAGTAATTTTAATTCAACCTTCTGGTAATCCCATTTATTCTAGAGAACATTTCAAAGGAATTCTCTTTCATCATCATTACCCTAATATTTTCCCTTTTCCCTTGTCCCTTTCTCTTAATAATTATAAATAATATTTCTCTCCATAATAATTATTTTATATAAAAGTGCTCCCATCTATTTTCCTCGTTCATTTGAGGAGAATTGCTCGCGATCTCGTCAGTTTTTCTTCAGAACTATTGACATTGGAAGAAGACACTAGAAGAACTTTTTCTTTGAAATTCGATGATCTACAAAAAAGTCCTGTACCATTTCTCCTTGAAATCTCTAATTACCAAGATAAATGGTAAATTACAAATCGATAATTCCAAAAAATTGCATTTTCCCATAAAATTATTAGATTTTTCTCCCAAACCATTGATTCTATCCGAAAATTCCAAAAAACCTTTTACCTCCAAAACTTCCCATTCTTCAAAAAACTCCCATACCACTTGCCCCTCGAACGCGTAATTGCCAAGATAAATCACTAATTACCTCAATTCCTTCGAAATCCTCATTATGTCTTCAAATTTCGTAGTTTTCCCTGCATTTTAAATGACTAAAATTTGGATAAATACCCTCAGACGAATGAATGAACTGGGTAACCGGCGGGGGGCGTAACTGGCTGTTCACCAGACGACACGTAAGTGTAGTTAAAGTTCCAAGTGTCTCCGCAGCTGTTTCAGCGCCCTGGACAGCTCAGTTGTCAAAAAAAAACCTCCAGCAACACCAGATATCACCCCCAAAGTGCTAATGCCTGATATCAGAGATTGCGTTTATTCAATTGTCACTCGGTAATTCGAATTTTTGTGTTTATATGGTGAGCTGATGGTTTAAAACATGAGGGCGGCTGTGGTAATGCTTGTGAGTGTTGCACTCACGTGTTTAGTTATTGGTAATGCATATTACCAGAAAAAACAGTTCTATCCTTCTGTCGTCTACATAACCAAGTCAAATCCTAGTATGGCTGTGAGTTTTTTCACTTTATTTTATCCCTTAAAAGCATCTGTGGAATCGAGGACTCATGACACTTGTTTCAGGTCATCTACGTTCAGGGTCTCATCATTGTGTTCATGACCAATACCTTCCTCAGGAAGATCTTCTTCGGCAATCTCAGGGCTGCTGAGCTAGAGGTGAGCTCCCGACATTTCGTCCTTTCCTCCGTAAAAATTGAACACAACATTCAAAACCAATTTGCGGTTATACCTTCGCAGGGGAGGGTTTCACGACAAAATTCGTGGGGCAACTTTTCTAGAGAATCAAATTCTCCACGGAAAAGGATTTTTCCATTTTTTCGATAAATTCACTGGTTTTGGAGATATTCAGAAAAGTAAAATGTCATTTGTTGGAATTTTCGGGAATCAGTGATTTTTGTCAGTAGAAATTCGTTGATATCTCTGGAGTGAAGGGATTTGGAGAAAAATGTATAAGACGTTTTTTTGTGGAGATTTTAATTTTCCACGAAATATTCTTCTGACTTTTTTCGATTAATCTGATAGTTCGAGAGATATTCGCAGAGTAATGAACATTTTTTTCTTGTTATGCAGCACCTGGTAGAGAAGGCCTGGTACGCAGTGACAGAGACCTGCCTGGCGTTCACAGTCTTCAGGGATGACTTCAGTCCCAAGTTCATAGCATTATTCACTTTATTACTGTTTCTCAAGTCGTTCCATTGGCTTGCTGAGGACAGAGTCGACTACGTAAGTCTTTCGTTGAATAAAAAATGAGCAGAAACAATTATTACTATTTTTCGTTTGCAGATGGAGAGGAGTCCAGTGATCACATGGCTATTTCACTTGCGTGTTGCTACACTTCTTACTCTTCTGTCGTGCATTAATTACACGATGATAGAGTACGCTTATAATTCAACAATCACTAAAGGTGCATCTGTGCAATTGGTCTTTGGATTTGAATACGCTATTCTAATGACTGTGGTACTCAATATCAGTGTCAAGTATTTTCTGCATACGGTTGATCTCCAAAATGACACACCGTGGGAAAATAAACCTGTTTTGCTGTTGTACACTGAATTAATCATTGGCTTAATCAAGGTGACGACAAATTTTCGTATTATACCCGTCCATATCTCGTGAATCAATGGGTTTACAGAAAAAAGTGATAATTCATTTCTATACAAAATTGAATTTCATGCAAAAAATGTATCGTAATATTTTTCCATAAATCCACTGGTTCTGAAGATATTTTCAAAAAACTCTCTACTATTTTTTCTTCAACGAGATAATTTCAGTAATGATTACAATCATCAATATCTCCTTTGATAATAATTTTTTGAAAAAAAGTGATAATATATTTACGCGGAGAATTTAATTTCCCACAAGAAATGTGGTACACAATTTTTCGATAAAATCACTAGGTTCGGAGTTATTCTCAAAAATATGGGTGAGTAAAAAAATGTTTTTTTTCAGGTGATTCTGTACGTTGCATTCGTCAGCGCAATGGTAAAACTGTATACCCTCCCCCTGTTCGCGGTGAGACCGATGTACTACACGATGAGAACTTTCAAGAAAGCTTTCCAGGACATCGTGATGTCCCGACGAGCAATCAGAAACATGAATTCGTTCTACCCTGACGCAACACCAGAGGAGCTGGCAGCTGCTGACAACGTCTGTATAATCTGCCGGGAGGAGATGGTGTCAGCGAGTAAGAAACTCCCCTGCAATCACATATTCCACACAGCCTGCCTGAGATCGTGGTTCCAGCGTCAGCAGACGTGTCCCACATGTCGTTTAAATATTCTGAGACCTGCAACGCCGAGTCCTGAGAACAGACAGCAGAATCAGCCCCAGGGGGGCCACGTCCTGGGTGGTCAAGGCCTCCAGCAAGGCCAAACCCCAGTGAATCCTCAGGATGGTCCACGACCGGAGCCAATAACTCTGGCAAATCTTAGAACAGCAATGGGTCAGCCATTTCCCCCAGAGGGAATGCCTTTCTTCGCTCCACCATTTCCAAATGTTGTTCCATTTCCACCTGTGCCAACACCACCACCCAATTTGACAGCTCTCAGTGAAGAGGAGCTCAGGACGATGGAAGGTAATTTGAGACAGGCTGTCGAGGCCAGGATAGAGACCCTCCAGAGGGTTCAGTTGCTATTGGATGCTGCCAATGTTATGATGAATCAGTACCAGACAGCAGCTGCCACTGCCAACATCCCAGTGCCACCAACCACTAGCCCACAGCCACATGCAGCCACCAGCAATCCTGATCCCTCGAAAACTCCAGGATCCGTTTTTTCGGTTCCCACTGTCAACGCGAATGTAACTCCAGGTGGATCTGCTACTATCTCGAGTACTGGAGGCACTGAACCAATACCTACAACATCCTCGAGTCATCAAGATCCAGACGATGAGGCGTCGGTCCTCAGGCAGAGAAGACTCCAGAAATTCTCGGTGCAGAGGACGCAGGACTAGAGTAAATGGGAAAATCGAGGGAATTACGAGGGAATCGTCTGGGTCGTCGGAAATCCAGGGTCTTCAGCTTCCTGATTGCTTCTGGAAGGCCATCAGTTCTTGATATCGTGGGGAAGGGGTGGACAACGACCAGAATGTGGGCACTGAATTAATAATTGGTTTACTGGTGGAGTTGAAGACTGAAGTCCAAAATTTTTATTTACTCTCCATTGATCTCGGTAACGAGGGGCTCTATGGGATAAGTCTATTTACCTTTTTTGTAGAGAATTTCTCGATCTTTAATTAATATCTTGTGACATTTTTTACTCAACCCAAGGGTTCCACAGATATCCTGAAAAAAACTGGCACCAAAAATTTTAAAGTTTGATTTTTATAAAAATTCTTCGGATACTACTTTGTGGATAACTCCCAGAGGGAGGGGTTGAGAGGAAAATGTGATAAGACATTTTTTTCGGGGAATTCCGTGGATTTAAAAAAATGTTTCTGACTTTTTCCTGTAAATCCAGTCGTTAACGAGATAAATCGGCAATTACGTCTCGTGAGGAAATTCCACTCCACCACTGAATCCCCTTCATCATCACCTTTTGTTATAATCGTTTTGTTTATTGGTGTGTACATAATCTGAATATATAAGGTACTAAACAGGTAATTCTCTTCATCTTCCATTCGCTATTATCTCCAGATCATACAAAAAATTGTAATATATCGAGAGAAGAGTTACTCAATGAGCAGAGGATGTACAATTATCAATTGTATGTTATGGCGTGCACTCAATTGTTGTTAATCAGTACTAATAGATGAGTTTGAAAGATTTATAGATTCTCAGGTGATATTAAGAAAATGTTTGGAGAATTTCGAGTGGAATAATTGGATAGACTGGTGGGGATATGCCATACGTATGTAAAAATTCATAAGGTTGGTTATCACCACGTGTAATAAACCTATTTGTCTATTGAAACATTCATAAAAAATTAATCCCCATATCCAATACGAGTCCCTCATCTCCCCAATCCCCAAAAATAGCTTTTATAATCATAACTAATTGAAATTAATTAATTTATTCGTTGACACAATTTTCATTCGCTTCAATTATTCGAAAATACAAGATTATAAAAATTTTAAACTATTTCTTTCAGTCAATCAATTTTTCCCTGGTCATAAACTGATAAAAATTAATGACTAAAATAAATATTATATAGTAATTAAATTAAATTTAATGAGTTAATTACCGATTTCGTTACGATGATGATAAATTATCAATATTTACTGATCTGTAATATCGAGTTCTGTTTAACCCTCAGACGAAAATGGAAAACAATCTAGTAATTTTTCCGTAATTTTCCCCATGATGATATGTCCGTCGGAAATTGAAATGAGTGACTCCTTGGCTCCAAAAATTGTCGAGAGCCCCAGCACCTGTAAAAATCACCACAAACAATTGATAAAAATTCAATAATAACGTTAAAAACGAGTGAAAAAGGAATTTTTGGACGTGGTGATACCCTACGACGACTTTGGCGCCTAAAGTTGAAGCCATTGTTGGTTAGGACACCTGGAGAAGGCCTGATAAGATTGCTCTTGATTATTAATGTCGCCGAGGCTCGTCGGCGACGACGAGAGTTCGTCTGTGCCTCTCAGGGTGTTTCGAGGGGTTGATGGTAACAAGATCGTCCTCGAAGAGGTCAGGAAGGATCACAGGGTCGTCCAATTTGAGGTCAAGAACGGGAAGAGTGTCACAAGCTTTGGAGTTGACGTTCTCGTTCTTTTGGTGATTGCTATCCTGTTTGGCTGTGGACAGGAGGTACTTTCTACCTGTCTCCTCGGGGTTTATGGTGCCCTGAAGACCTGGGGGATCCTCTCCACCGTCGATACCGGTGAGAAATTCTCAAAATTAATTTTAAAACTTCCCAAAACAATAAACATAACTCCCAGAAGATGACGTTTACCCAAAAACAACCGAGAACTTTTTCACTCGAGAATTCCCTGATCTACAAAAAATTCCTCTGTCATCTCTCCCCAGACTCTCGGGCTTCTGCGATATTCTCAAAAAACTGTCCACAGTATTTCATTTGAATCCTGTTATTTCTAGATACACTCCTGGTGGTTGAATCTGTCGGAGTCCAGATAATTTGTAAAAGATTGTTGTCCTGCTTGGAGTCGAGTACCTTCTTACCCTGGAACACAGTGAAGGATGTGTTTATCAACGAAGTAATAACTGGCCATCGAGTTTTGTACTACCTGACCTTCATAATCCGAGACCCATCAGGTGGTAAAGACTCCACGAGACTTGTGCCACTGTTTCGTGAGCTGAGACCAGAGCGAAAATGCCTGGAATACATGTACGAACATTTAGCAATTGTGGTTGGGTCGAGCGGGAAAGGGAACCAACACTAACGGTTCCAGGATCCTACTGGCTCTGCTGCAAGCAGAACATCTACAAATTCACCTTCAAGCATCACAAGACCTCAAAGTCATCCCAGGACTTCAGTCATGCACGAGAGCTAATGAAGGTCGTCAGGAAGATAATAAAGCTCCATCCACGCCAGGGCCAGCAGTTTTGCACCCGTCACCTCCTAGTGACGTACAACCACGCGTCCTGGACTCGTCAAGACAAAATGTTCGCGATGCTGAAGTTCCGAGATCATCCAGAGGCCATAGCCTATCCCCACGCATTCATCCTGACCATAAAAAAAACCTCGACAGACTCACACTTCAAGTCACCAGCTCCACGATCACCAGGAGGTACTGACACCTCGACAGACTCTTCCACGAGTGCTCATCAGATTGTGCCACCCCCGAAGAGATTGAAATCGGCGTCCTTCTTCGGGGATCTGTCACTGCCTCTTGTGGAGAAGTATCTGCACGAGCAGAAAGACACACCAGGGCCCGAGGACGATCACCAGGTGATGAATGATGTCCAGGAGACGGTGGATATGCCGTACCAATATCTGATCGAGCGAGAAATCGAGAAGACGAAGGCAAAAATTGAGACAAAAATTTCAGGATCCAGGCGATACCTCGAGGAAGCCCATCACCAGAGCAACGAGGTGACGTCGTCTAGAGGGAGGATAACTCCTGGCTCATCCCCCAGTGATTCAACACCTAGATTAGATATCACTGATCTCGTCATGGAGGGTCTTATGTTTACGATACGACAGGACAAGGATTCCGTCACTGTTGTCGAGCAGAAGACCAAGTTAGAGCCCGATGAGGTCCTCGAGAACTCGGAGAAGGTCGAGGGAAGAACTGGGGAATGTCTCGTTAACTCTAGTCTCTTGAAACTCGAGAATCTCGTGGGGAAAATTGAAATTGCAGAGAGAAAGGAGAGACTTCCATTTTTCCTAGATCCTGGACCACCCGGGGATCTTCCTGGGGAGGAGCCTGAGGGTAGGGAAATCCTTGTGAGGTCGACGAGCCCTCGAGACATTCTCAAGGATGAAAGACCTGGGGAGAAGGCACCCCAGGGGCAAAAAACGAGAAAGAAAATGAGGAAGAGAGAGATAAGATCCCATTCTGCTGAGAGTGCTCTCAAGGGCTCCAGGATCACGTCCTCTAGCTCCTCGAGTTCGTCCTCTGGGTCTGAGGGAGCTAGGGAGAAGTATCTTGAGGCCAGCCCCAAGGGAGAACACCTGGCGGACCCTGGAGATGAGAAAATTGAGGAAGAGGATATTATCCCGGAGGTGCTCCAGACTGATAATCCTGTTGGGGATTTTCAGATCAGACAGAAGGTCACGAGTCCTCTCATGGATGACGGGAACTTCGAGAGGAGTCCTGGGAGTCCTGGGAGCCCCAGGAGTCGACCCAAAGTCCTCTCCAGTGAAATTGTTCAGTATGATCTCTCGTTGTTGAGGTCAGCGCGAACCAGGAAGAACCTCTTCGCCGAGGTGGCAAGCACAGGACAGCCGGAGGACGTCGAATCCCTCGGGGATGGGGAGCTCTCCTCTCAGGCGAGCGACACGACGAAATCTCAGAGAATTCTTCCAGAAAATAATGACGTCAGGGTCAATCTACTCAAGTTTGTTGATGACATGACGTTGGGGGTCAGAGTTGTAGTTCAACGGCTAGACATCACCAGTTTGTCTAGATTCGGGGGGAATACGTGCTCTGGAGAAGTTGTCTAGGATATGGGCTTTAAAAGAAATTTAACTTCAAGATTTTCAGGGGAAAATCTTGTAGAATTAAAATTGCAATCACATTGTCGAGATAAATCGGTAGTTGAAAAATCTTTGTTTTTCTTAGAACAATTAAATTTTGTACATTTTTTTAGTTTAATCCATCCTTGATCAATTATACAATGAAACCATTGAAAATGATTAATTATCGGTTTATCCCGGAGTTTAGAGAGGAAAATGTTAAAGGAATTTTTCGTAATTGGTTAAATTTTTGAGGAAAAAAAATTCTTCGACGTTTGACGATAAATTACCGCCCATAAATTATTAATTACATGTGATAAATTAATTGGAATAATTCGAAAATGTGATGAGAGGTAATTTCTGTTGAAGTCATTGACAAAATTGAATTGACACAATTTTGCGAGGCGTTCTGTCATACAATAAGTTTATTGTTTATCATTATTATCAGTTAATTAAAAGTAGTTATCAATTATTGAGTATTATCGTTGATTTTTACGTTTTCTTGAGAATATTCTCGATGGTACAGTCCGCAGATCCCCTCACCTGCTCGACGACTGTCTTCAGGTCTTTGGCAGTTCTCAGGAGATTGTCCAGATGAATTTTAAATAATTCCTGATTGTCTACGTGATTCGTGGCGACGAGGGTCCCGAAGAACTCCAGCTGTTCGTCAGTTATTTTTGAGGGACTCAGGGCCCCCGAGGATTTCAGGATCACTGGAGCACTCTGCGAATAATTATTATTAATAATCAATTGATTTAATAAAGTAATCCCCAGATTATTTACTCTGGGGGAAGAGGAGCAGAAGTTTTGGTTTTTGTTTATGTACGTTTATTTTTTTTCGGTAATAAATAATTTTGCTTACGTTTATCTGAGTTCTCAGTCTCAGGGATTTTGATAATTCCTCTGCACACTTCTGGGGATATCTCTCGCGGGTGTCGCATAACTCGAAGACGACGTCCTCGCATTCCTGCTCCAGATCTGGGAATTGTTTTTTAATGTTTTTATGAAATTTCCGTGGATTGAATAGCCGAATCTAGAGGAGATAGAGGATCCCTCAAGAGGGATTTCTTGTAGAAAATTTCAAGATCTACAAAAGTGGTGGTAACAAAAATTTTGTTATCTCTACCAGTTTTCCAGATATTTCCAGAAAACAGGTGTCAGTTGAAATCGAACTGATAACAGATTCCACACAATTCTCTTCAGGATATCATAAAGCCTGATGAAGATGAAAAAAAAATTGTAGGACCTTTTTTGTAGAGAATTCCACATGCCACGTAAAAATTCTTGACGAAAATTCCGCTATCTGTCCTGCATTTGGAGATATCTCGAGAAAACTAATTGATTTTTGGAGTGAAAGTGATTGATGGGGCTATCATCAAAATAGAATGACATCTACAAGTCGGTGCTCACCAGGTTCGGTAATTGGTTCCTGCTCCATATCCGGAGGATGTCCTGGAAGCTTCCTGGACGTTCGATAAATTCAAAAACCTGTCAGTCAACTCCAGACCCCGGAGGAAACCCAAAAATGGCCAGAAAACCGTTGCACAACTCCAAAATCCCTTTTCCCCATTCAAACTCCACCATGATGCCTTCCAGAAGACACCAGCGCCAATTGACCCAGTGGACATCTCCAAAATCTTCTTCTTCAAAAAAGATATTCTGGAAAAATTTCCCTTCAACCTCCAGTAAAAAATCCATCAATTATCCTAGACTCCGTGCAATTAATTACAACGCATCATTAACTAACCAGTTAATTAAAACACTGTCTTTAATCCTCCAATTATCATCCTCATCAATTACTTGACGAATCGATGAATGATGAATCGTTTATTATTATTAGTCATTATGATTATCGTTCATTATTATTAGTCATTACTGTATCTTCTTTCGTTTGATTAATGCTTCACTGATTTAATTAAAAACAATTAGACGATTTAAGCAATTAATTTGTCTAGAGAATAGAATGAGTGCAAAAGAAAAATATGAAGCTTTCACTATTTTTTTTTTTAAATGCCTCAAAAATTTCAGTTTTATGTAAAAAGTCGAGGAATTCTGTGTACATAATTACTTGTTTGAAAACGCAATCTTGTGGCTAATGAATAGATAAAATGATCATCATCGACTTTGGAATCGTTAATTCGTGATAAATTATCATAATTTATCTGAGCAGACGCCAACAATGGGACTTGATAATCCTTTCAAGAATTAATTATTGTCTCTGAACATTTGACTCTTCAATTTCTATTAATATATTTCAAAATATGTAATTATTTATTATAATATACGTAAGTATAAATAACTTCATTGACAAAAATCAAGATTTAGATATGATTTTCATTTTTCGACGATTAAAGTTATCGTCAATAGTCTTAGAGTTAATCAATAATAAATTCCACTGGATGGAAATGATAAATAAATATAAATAAATATAAATAAATATAAATAGATAAATAATTAATAATACATAAATAAATATAAACAGAGATCGATGGGAAAATTTTGATTTTAAAATCGCAAATCGGTGTTTGGAGAGAATATTTACGTTATGAAAGACTAGACTGTTTTTTCTTTGCAGATTTCTTGTCAGGATTCTTCTGGGGAACGATCCTCTATTATCTATCCGTTCTGTCTAATTTCCGGGATAGCTTCTACCAGAGGTCATCGGTCGTTAGGAAAACAACCGTTACGTGTGCAAGCTACACAATCCTGTCTCCAACATCTCCAGGTGATATCGACCCCAGGATAGACCGGTCCTAAGGAAAAATGCCCATTAAAAACTTCTCCTACCCCAAAAAAAAAGAAAAAATAATGCAATACCAGAAATTTTTAAAAACTCTACTCCATTTCCCTATCTATTTTGAAGTTTATATTTTTATTCTCATTTTAATTTAATGCTCTCTTATTCTCAATTCTCCAAGGCCCCATTTTAGTGTCTCATTTCCGTATTATTTATATATTTATTTATTGTTATGTATTCTGAGAAGATAACAATTAAGTTGAGCTGAAAAAAATAAGTTTTGCTAATTTATTTTTTTTTTCGTTTCATGTGCTGAAGATTTTCTTCAGTATTTTTTATCGTTATCAGTTGACAAAGGTCTCCCCTTTGTTATTATCAGGAGCAATCATTCTATCGCATGATTTTGTGGAGTTATTCTAGGATCGGTTACACGTATTCACTTGGTCGAGAGCAGTCGTCTGGCAAACGTCGTGGCGTGAGGTGAGTTGTATATCGGTCTCATTTCATCCGAGATATCTCGAGATCCGCTGAGTGAATTTCCACGATTACTGTTCCATTCCCAAGGGTTTTTATTTGCCTTCAAAATAAACATTGATTTATACAAATCGCATCATTGGATTTCGAGATATTTCGAATTGTAATCAGCACGAGCTGTCAGGCGTTTCTTCTGATTTTTAGGGGTGGATTTCGGGGTTGTCTGGGGATTTTTGGGGTTTTTTGAAGGGTAGAGGGCAGTAATTAGGGGTGAATATCGAGAGGGGTGAGAGGAAATGAAGTGATGTGGTTCAGGGATCCTTTTTGGGAGCCAAGTGATTGTTTTGGATTTTTTTTTGGTTAAGAGAGATTTTTGGGGGGTTTTGGGGGTTCTGGGGTGGAAACTATTTTTAGGGGGATTCTTGGAGATAGAAGGGGTTGAGAGGGGGTGCAGGGTATGCGGGTACCTTGGGGTGGTCTTCTGGTGATTCTGTATTTTCTCAATGAATTTTTAGCCTTCAGGATCACGCAAGGTCAAGGAAATTGAATTGTCATCGTCTAAGTGTATCTCAAGGCCATGGGTTATTTGAAGTCAATTGGCACTTCATTTATCTACATCGCCACCTTCTTGGCGGCGATAACATTTATCCCTGGATTACCACCTGACCTTGAAACAACTTCCTATGAGTAAGTTTTGCCAAAAAGTCTCAGTTTTTTCCGTCATTTTTTGCATATTTTCGGGGATATCTCGGGAACAAAGGGACTCTGTGCAAAATGTCAGAGGGACTTCTTCTAGAGAATTTGATTCTCTAAAAAAAGTGTCCTCTGAAAATTTCTCCAGAACCAGCCGTTCTCCAGCTACCCCCGGAAAAATAAACGGAATATTCTTTTGTTCTTTTGTTTTCCAATTTGTCCCCTTTTTTTAGGGATATTTCGGAAGTGAAGGGTTTCACGGCGAAATGGTAGAAAAATTTTATGTGGAGAATTAAATTTCCTAGAAAAAGTTTTCCATAAAGTTTTTTTCTAGAGTCAACCATTCACCGGCTAGGGGCGGGACAATAGGAGGAAATTCAGTATTTTTCCGATCATTAATCACTGTCGAGTCTGTTTATTTCATTCGAAATTAAAAGTGGTGACGTTTTTCCATCTGCGTAGATTCAAATTGCCAGCAGCATTAAATGAGAAGCTGAGTGGTCGTCTGAATGGAGCCGAGAAGTTGTTTGAAGGCCACATCAAGGGGCCGGAGGCCTTCGACGTATTTGACGGAATTCTTTACACGTCTCTCCTAGGGGGTAGTGTCAGCAAAATTGTTGGAAATAAAATTGTCGATATCGTGAGATTCGGAGAGAATTGCGGTGAGTCGTTAAATCCTCGCATCACAAACCCGCATTCCTCCCAAACTTCATACTCAACATAAATCCATTGCAATTAAAAAATAACTAACGAAATTATTTCCTCCAAAAAATAAAATTTTCTTTATTTACCGATTTATCTCGAGAAGTATCGCTTTAATCAGAAAATATTAGAAGAATTATTTGTAGGGACTCGAATTCCCGATAAAAAAGGTCTTCTGATATTTTCTCGTAGGACAGATAGTTTTCGAGATAATCGATGTTTTATTCGAAAGATTTTAATTATTCAGATGTGCTCTGGGACGAGGAGACTTGCGGTCGTCCCCTGGGGCTCAAATTCGACAAGAAGGGAAACCTCTTCGTGGTCGACGCCTACTACGGAATCTTCAAGGTCAACGTGAAGACAGGTACTTACGAGAAAATAGTTGATCCATCGCAGCCAATAAGTGGAAAACGACCAATGATTCCAAACAGCGTCGACGTGGCCTCCAACGGTGATCTCTACTGGACAGACTCCAGCACTGACTTCAAGCTGTACGACGGAGTGTACACGATGCTGGCTGACCCCTCTGGAAGGTAAATCTCCAGATATCCATCCTCATTCAAAAATTAATCCTCAAAATTTCAGATTAATCCGGTACAACGCAGCCTCGAAGAGGAACGAAGTTCTGCTGGAGAAATTGAGTTTTGCAAATGGTCTGAGGCTTTCGGAGGACGAGTCCTTCCTGATAGTAGCTGATCTGGGTCGCTCGAGGATCCTGAAGTACCACCTGAAGGGTCCGAAGGCAGGAAAAAGTGAGATATTCATAGAATCCCTTCCAGGCTTCCCCGACAACATCCACAGCGATGGCCAGGGGAATTTCCTCGTCTCCCTCGCAGTTGTCTGCGATGAGGAGCATCCACAGCTCTCCCAGTCTCTGGCACCTCATCCCTACCTCAGGAAGATGATCCTTCGACTGATGGGACTTGTCGAGGCACCTTTCAAGTTCCTGCAACAGATCTATCCGAATTATTATTCCAAGAAATTGATTCATGGAATTGGACACTTTAAATACAGTGGAATTCTGAATGATAATTCTGTGATTGTTCTGAGGCTGGATCCCCAGGGGAAGATCCTGGATGTTCTTGACACATCTGATGGTAGGATATCGACAATTACATCAGCTTTCGTGCACGATGGATACCTGTGGCTAGGATCATTCGTCAATGACTATCTGGCGAGGGTTCCCCTGGAGAAGGCACTTCCTGGGTTCAAAGAGCTCCAGAAGACGGAGACCTCCACAACCCCTAGACCCACCACAACCCAACAGCCCACCACTCAAGCTCCTAAAAAACAAAAGAAGACTCAACCTGACGTCAAACCCCTCAAGGAGCAGAAGAAGAAAAACGAAAAGTTGAGGGATGAGATTTAATCGTTAGCAAGGAAGCAGAAGGTCAGGAAACAGGTCAATTAATTACCTGTCGAAGCTCTTGACTGCGTATTCGCGGAATTTCGCATTTGAAGACTGTCTGAGGATCAAAGAGTGGGAGGGGGGCAATAATTATTATGTTTAATAATCCAGAACTATCGATTTTTCCTTTCTCATGTCGAGTGAGCTTTTTTGAATCTAGTTGGAGTATCTGTACATTCCAAATAATTTTCGGGATTGAAACTTCCATTATTTATCTCGGTGATAAGAACTCAAATATCGCTATTATCAGTGGAATAATAATTAGGCAGTGTGGTGTTGTTAATGTTGTCCAGGGATTTTCCAACTGTAAATACTGTTGAGAAATACTAATCTTCCTTTTTCATTGGTTTTGCAATAAAACTTTTTCTATCGGTGATTGGTATGTGTTGTACACACGTACGTCGAATATTCCAATAAATAAATCACTTGAAGTGTTGTATCTTAATTTTATAGTTAATTAACAAATTGGAGATATATTAAACATTCCAAATTCCCTAATCCTTACATTCTCCATTATTATTATCGCTTTCGTAATTTTATTTATTAAAAATATTGAATTAACGCTGTAAATGTGTCATAAATTATTTAATTCAGGAGTTGAAGGTCTCCGCCATTTTTATTTTCGCGCGACCGCCCACAGAATGGCGGAGAGCAGTGAATAACTCCTCGCTTCTCCTGTTCTCCTGTTACAATTTAAATTTTCTGTTCACTTCTGATACGATCAAAGCAGAATCGAAAAGATATTTCCTAGAGGAATCGATTGTTGAGCGTCTAGGGGAAAATAGGGGAAAATCGAATACCTACTTTACTATTCTGTTATCCTGTTACAAAATTCTCATTTCATTCAAATCTTGTTGAGTTCTGCTCTAAACTTTGTGTCAAATTTTCTTCATTTCTAACAGGATCACAGGAGAATCGAAGAGCTCTTTTCAGACAAATCGATTATCAAGCAATAATCGATTATCAATCAATAATCGATTATCAATCAATAATCGATTATTTAAAAATCGATTAATGGGAATTGAAGGAAACAGAAAAATCCTTTCTTTTCAATATGGAGGGAAGTATTTCCATTAAATAACAAACAAAAGGAGTAATAAAAACCACAAACAAAATATTAGCTGCATTTTTTATTAACAAAATCATTCCAATGTTCATTTTTACATGTTGTATTAAATCTGAAATTTCCTATTCAACTCCGACTGCACAGAAGCCGAGTAAATGCCATAAATTTGCCACATAATCTCATTATTAATTAATTAAATTTTATCAGAGGCAGTATGAGGGGCTTTTCAATGAGTTTATCATCCCACGTTATCCCTCGATTAATCATTAAAAAATTCAACCTCCACTTGCTGTTAATGACTTAATAAATATTGTGCAACAACACTGAGTACAAAAAGCACCTGCAAACTCATAAATAACGTGCGCGTAAAATCTGCGAGTGTCAGTACTCGTTGCAAGAAAAAAAAAAAAATTAACAAAATGATAAAACCATCGACATCAACCGCAAACGATTTTTCTGGAATAAATAATGAAAATGAGTGCTGATAATCCGAAAGAAAAAAAAGTGCAATACTCCCTAGTAATATCTCTGCGCAATTGAATCCGTTATCACAGCACAAGAATACTATAATTAACATTCGGCATTATCTCATTAAAAAAAAGAAAAATCTCGAATCACATGGATCACTTCGTGACTAGAAGTCGATAATCCCCAGAGCAAACGATAAAAAAACAATAAATAAATGAACTCCAGATAAATAATGGAAGTGAATTGATTGTATGACTGATAAATATCAAGATCAAGCACCAACTAGAAAATAAAAATGAAAATTTAAAACAATCATTAGGCCAAGAACTACATTGTGCAACAATCCCTCGACTTAACCAACAATTCCCCGAAGAAGTGGTAGACCACCAAAATTCCCCACTTCCCCACTTCCCCAACAATAATTAATCCTTAATTAATCCCTCCGAATAATCTAAAAGCATTGAAGACTAGCGTCACACGAAAAAAAATATCAAAAAACGAGTGAAAGTACAAATAATTGGAAAATACTCGGATTGTTCGATGTCCCGTGACACCCTAGGCCCTTTATCTATCGATTTAATCTTAATTAATTGATTAATTAAGTCCTGATTGACGAGGTAATCGAGTGTGGACGGCTCAACCGTTTGCTCAATGGATTTTTACTAACTCCTGGTGGATTTATGTGCGAGGTGCTTTGGTTGGTCTGCTGGTGGGTTGAGTGCACATGCACTGCTCTGATGATGCTGCATTGGAGTGGACCCTCGAGGTTATCTGGGGGAGAGAGCCCAGGAGATTTGTACCTCGGAGATTGCCAGCGAAGCCACTTCTACCCAGGAAGCTGTGGGCGCAGTTGTACAGCTTCGTCTGGAGAATTAGCACATCGTCCAAGTCCTCTTCACTATAACCATAATAATAGTAATAATTATTTAATTGTTATTCATCTGAATGAATTACTGCATTTATTTCACTGTTAATTCATTATTTCATTAAAATACTCTAGATGCTGGTAATAATAATGATAATAATACTTGTCCTGTGGTGGATTTTGAAAAAATAAAGTTTTATTGATTGACGTTAATTTATTGGTTATGTAGTTTAATTATGGGGGAACAATAATCAAGGGATATATTGTTAGATATTTTATTTATGTGGACTCAGTTTTTGTTGCACTCCATGGATTTGAGAAGTGAAATGGCGGAAACATGGGGACAAGATGGGTGAAAACGTTGTGCCACCTATTCTAACATTCTGTGATCCTGATCCAACATCTCGGTTTGCTTGAAATTTTTCTATGTATTTAAATGGGGTATAAAATTGTGGGAAATGTTATGCCACTTCTTCTGACTTTCTGTGATCCTATTCCGAAATCGAGATTTGCTTGAAATTTTAGCGTCTATTGTGAGAATCGAGGGGGAACGTTGTGCCACTTCTTTTGACATTCTGTAATCCTGATCGAGAATCCAGATTTTCAAGCGATTTTCGAATGCACTGTAAGAATCATAGGGGAATACTGTGCTACCTCTTTTGTCATTCTGTGATCCTGATCCAAAATCCCGATTTTCATGAAATTTTCAAATGTACTACGAGAATCAAAGGGGAACATTGTGCTACCTCCTTTGACATTCTATGATCCTGATTCAAAATCTCGATTTACTTGACATTTTCAAATCTATTGGAAGGATTAAAATGACGGGAAACAAATTTTTAAAGGTTAAAATGGCGCGATAATTTTCATTTAAGGGGCAAAATGGAGGGAAAATTTTTTACTTCAGGGTCTAAATGTTCAACAAAATTCCAAAAAAAAAATGGACAAAGTCTCTTTAAAAAAATGCTTTCACCGCAAAACTTTGCATATAAAAATCATTTTTCCAGAATAATTATAATACCAAAAAATGTCCACCAACAATTGCTTTAATTTAAAAAACATTATTTTTACACACATAAAATTGAAAAAAAATGTAGAATCAAGTTGAAATATAAAATAAACATATACATTAAAATTATTATAAATATTTGAATAATTGACAATATCGAACATATTATTATTAATATTATTACACATGATAATTACAGATGCGCAGGGCGCGTGCCGAATTTTGATAACATAAAAATGGAATCCAACAAAAACTAAAAATGATTTAATAATATAATAAAAAACAGACCTCGCACAGGAGAGAAATTTCTGGAATAGCCTATTAGGTACAGTCCTAGGTCTGTCAACAGTATCAGCATACAGATCAGTTTCTCGATTATACAGATGTAAAAAATCTGACAGCTGCTTGGCAGTGATGGCAGCTCGATCCTTGTCGCTGAGTTTATTACTGGGTATCTGAATGTAAAAATGAATAATTACCCATTTCGTTGGTTTTCCCAATACAACAAAAGCTTCAAGTTCATTTGAATAATTGCCCAACCACCCGATAATTAAGTATTAAAAATTCAAATCACGTACAGTAAAGAGGAATGGCGTTCGTAAATTACTGGAGGATTGCTGCAAAAACTTCATAACGAGGTCACAGCACACAGAATCACCACTCGGTTGTGATATTTTACGTAGAATACATCCTAAGTACAGGCCGAAGGCTTTTCTCGCTTCACCGGGACTGAAATTCACCGAAGGACAAGTTTTATTACCAATTCAAATGACTCATTGAGTTAATCATCAAAATCATTAATTCCAGCTGTCAAATTCTCAATTATACCTGAGCTTGTTTCCCTCCTGCATCATCTTGGTGACTTGGTCCTTGTACTTGTGAGTGTCAACGTCGATGTTCTCTTTGCTGTCACCTCGATCGAGACTCTGCTTGTGCCCCTTGACGAGTGCTCTCTCATACCTCTCGTACCTTCGAAGAGAAAATTTTTTTAATACCATTCAGAGGTATCCCTGGTTTTTCCATCAATGAAATTCTCCAATTACCTCGATAATCTGTCCAGTGTCACCTCTGGTACAGAGAATCCAGTGCTCCTGGTGGCAGCAGGGAATAGCTGCTCATGCAGCATCAGATTATAATTGGTATTGACTCCTTGAGGAAGTCGCCCAGGTCCCAGGGGATCAGTGACCACTGGAATTCCAGTGGTTGGATCCAGATACTGGGAGTACATCTCCCAGGACTTGGGGCTTGGGAAGATCCTGACGAATCCCCCACGTCTCTCGAACTGGGCTCTGGCAGATGCTACAATTCTCAGCTGTTCAGAGGTGAGGCCTGACCGGTTTGAGGGCTTGACGGGATTCCTCTTCTTGGTGTTGAGTCCCTCAGCTGAATTGACACGTCTGTGGCTTGCTAGTCTCTTGGAGGGATTCCCCAGGGATCTCTGGGGGGGTCTCAGGATGGGATCTACTGCTGGAAGACCCACGAGGGTCAGCAGATCTGCCATCAGGGCTGATTTCAGTCGTACGTCTAGGGGAGAGTCACAGCCCAGGGACGGCGTCAGGTTCACCTCCAGCAGCCAGGGTTTCAGGGTGTCGTCTATCAGGATGTCGAAACCGTAGAGCTCGAAACATGTCTCTGGATGTTTTACAAATTGTTTAACACCACTCACGATTCCTGAGGCCGTTGCTAGGATTGATTTTATTATTATATCCTCGATTCTCTGCATCAAAAGCTCCGTGTCCTGACCCAGGGAGCGAAGGTGACGTAACAGTGCGGAGAGGGTCCACTTGTGCCCCACATCCTCAGCATCTGGGTCCTCACTCCTGAGAATTTTGATTTTTTTTTGTCAATTTTCGGGAAAGTCTTCTCATTTCAACGAAATATCTCGCGAACCAACGGAGGTAGAAAAAATGTTGCAGGAAACTTTTTCAAGAAAATTTCGAGTGCTATAAAAAAGGTAGAGACAAAATTTTTGATATTTTCATTGGTTCCCGAGATATCTGACGATAACAGCAACGAAGTCTCATAAATTGAAATTTCGTACATCAGGTTTCCGAGGAACATCAAGAGATCTACGAGGAGTAGAAAAATATTCATTGGAAACTTTTTGCAGCTCTCGAAATTCTCTACAAAAAAACTCCTGTAGAGATAGTCGCTATCTTGCGCAGATTCCGAGATATATCCCTGAAAGTGACGCCAATTTGAAGGATAGTATGAAAAAAAATCCTCGGAATTTAATTAAAATCAGATAAACGACGTACTTGACGTAATCCACATGAAACTTGTTGATGCTGTAATTGCACAGGTGCATGCAGGGATTCCAGACGTACTGATTGCCACCCTCGTACTTGACCGTAGCAAATCTGACGAGTCCTTCCTCGTACAGATAAATAAGGAGTGGATCGTAATTTGTAACAGCGATGTAAAGACGTAAATCGCACTTGTGGCCATCAACAAGCAGTGGATTATTTATGTATTGCGCCACAATGACAGACTCCTCGGTGAATATTTTCTCGGGGCTGTTGACTATGTAGATGCCACGACCTCGAGAGCTTGCTTTTGGTTTAACAATCCAGGGACCTCGGTACCTGAAGTGGGCGGTCAACAGTTCACGGGATTCACTCGGGAGTAAAAATGTTTGTGGAATAAAATCGAGATTCCGTAGGCCTTTGCTCCTCTGCATTGCCTCGATGTTCTTGTAGAGGCGATCCTTTCGAGTTATCTCGTACGATCTGAATCATAAGAAGATTACGCGATGCGAGATGTTTTTTTTTCTACCCGTGAAGAGAAATATTTTTGGTGGAATTTCTGGCGAATTCGGTTCTATGAAATTTTTTGCATCTTCTGTATTTTTTTTTATATTGAGTGAAATACGGTGGAATGAAGAAAAATGAGGTTTAATCCAGTTTTGTGGGAATATTGCCAATAGTGTGAAATCTAGAAGAGATTGGAAATTTTTGTGAGAACCTTTTTTGTAGATCTTGAAATTCACTACAAAAAAAGGTTCGACAATAATTTCGATAGCTCTCACAGTTCTCCCGCAATTTCCAAAAAACCATCACCACATGGAATTCACCTAAAAAACGCGTCCCATCGCGGTTTTCTTCAAATATATAAAAATCAGAGAGAGATTCAAAAATTTCATAAGAACCTTTTTTGCAGATCTTGAAATTCCTCACAAAAAAGTTCCTACAAGGTTTTGCGTGTCTTCAACGGCTCCCGAGATATAACTCAACGACAAATCACGTCACTTGACCCTGCCCCAAACTTATCCTTGAATTACCTCGGGAAGTGATTAATTTTTTGAAACGGCGCTAAACTTCTCAGAACGTCCGGCTTCGGATGACTCCCCATCCACAGAAGGTTGAAGTCAGCATCATTGACCGAGACCTCCAAAAAAAAAACAGAAGAAAATAAATAAAACACTTACAAAAACCAGTTCCACCGCCAAAATGGCCAACAACTTTACTACGTCAACAGTTTTTCCTGTCTCAAACCCAAACAGATCCCACAAATCCAGCAATTGACATTCAGATCGACTCCAAGGCGTAATTTTATTGTCACGAGAGAAAAATAATAAATAAAACAATGGAGACATGAAAGAGGTGATAACCGTATCTTAATAACAATGCACGAGCACTTTGTTGTGAGAGAAAAAAAAAACACTCACATGGAAAGGGTTTTCTCAGAAACTCTGTATTTAAACATTCGTCTCGCATTCGCGAGTACAAAAGGAACAGGTAAATCTCCTGGGCCACGTACGCTCATGACCTTGTGTTCGCCAATTTTTTAACGCATCGAGACCCGCCATTTTTGTTTTTTTCAAATATTCCACAGTTTTTATTTTGACTTCCTGTCTCATCACATCCGATTATTTGATCAGTCGACTGTCGTTTTTACTCGTTGGGGTGACTCCGACAATTGACTCCAATATATCGAAACATTCGATCGACAAAATTGAGAGGAAAATTGCGACAAGTGGAATCATCGAGACAATCGAGATGTCAATTGTATCGGAATACACTGGAGATAATTATTCCATTGAAATACCATTGAGGCGGTTAACGACAGAGAGTCACTGCAGAAAATTCTCATTTGAATCTGTCTGGGACTAATTATTTCCCTTTGTTTCAATTCAAAACGAAAAATGTCTCGATTTTTCCCTCCAAGAAATTCAACCGTTGATAATTATCAATAAATAGGTGAATAATAAATGGTAGTGATTAATTTAATTGGGGGAATGACTATTTTTTAACAGTATTTTGACGGATGGGACTTAGAAATTAATCGTAATTATGAATTAATTGTGATTATCGAAAATTGTGAATGTGTGAATTGAAAAGTGAGGGCGGGAAAACGAGTGAATGCTGTTTATTATTAGTAAAATTCCACTGGTGTTTATCCTGCACCTGCGAAATATCAGCCAGACTAATAAACCGAATTTTTACAAATAATTAAATAGCATTCAGATAACCCGTTTGTCCCTGAACCACTTCAGCCATCGATTTCGCTTGCCAATACCTAATAATACCTGGTGTCTGTCTGTGGAAAGGGAAAGGGAAAGTACATCAGTACGTACGAAATGACTCGGTCAAACGATGATTACGTGACGAATATAAAGAAATGACATCTGGCTTTTACCCGTGATAAGCAGGAGAAACTGCCTCAACACTCGTCTCCATCACCCCCAGCAGAATTCCGTATCTACCATCGAAAGCATCGATCCTACGTGAAAACATCAAGACACCTTTTTCCTAGATCATCGAATTTCCAAGAAAAAAGGGCTCTTGGTATTTCCTGCTAAAACCAATAGTTCTCGAGAATAACCCGTATTTCTATGGTCTGTCAATTAGTGCTAGTGAATTAGCATCACAAATTCCAGTAAAAATATTATTATTTTCGGAAAAAATTGTGGATGAATTCAATAATGTTTATCCTTGATGACATGGTCAGATAATGATTACGTGACGAATATTAAAAAATGGCATCCGGCTTTTACCCGTGATAAGCAGGAGAAACTGTCTCAACACTCGTCTCCATCACTCCCAGCCGAATTCCGTATCTACCATCGAAAGCATCGATCCTACGTGAAAACATCAAAATACCTTTTTTCTAGATCATCGAATTTCCGAGAAAAAAGGGCTTTTGGTATTTCCTGCTAAAACCAATAGTTCTCGAGATCAACCCGCATTTCTATCGCCTGTCAATTAGTACTAGTGAATTAGCTTTACAAATTCCAGTAAAAATATTATTATTTCAGGGAAAAATAGCGGAGTGAATTCAGAATTCAGAATGTTTCTCCTTGAGCGATATAATAAATTATTTCTGCCTCATTGAATTTTATTAATCCGGAAAATATCGATAACTCAAGGAAAAGCGTGAGGACAAAAGTTAAGGTCCAGCAAATCCAGGAAGGAGAGCAATAAATGTCAACCAGGAAGCAGAAATACGTCCCTGACACCGACAATATCCCCATGTTCCAGGTCTTTCCATCATCCAATATTAATGCACTCATCCCCATCACCAGAGAATTCAACTGTTGAATTATTTATCCCCAGATGCCGCAATTATATCGGCACGAGATTTTATTCACGTGAAAAACGAGACCCGAAGACATTCTCCTGATTGAGGGATGAATATTGATGGATTCAGGGGATTAACGCATCACCAGCTCCTAGTATTTTAAATTATTATCTAATTTTTCGACTGGGGAAAATCCGGATAGAGAATTATTGAGGTCGATCAGGTGGTGATGACTCAAAACTACTTGTACCTCTTGGAGGGGCTCAGATCCACGACAAAGACATGTTCAATTATAAATCATTCCAATTGTTGATCACGTACGCATTGACAAGGCTCAATGGCAAATTCCGGAGGGAAACCGCTGGGGGACGATAAAAAAGTGAAAGAAAATACGAATTACACCCGGAGTTATTTTTCTACAGCTTCTTGCATTAGTACCATTGACCCACATGCCATTAATCATTTACGCTCCATCGGTGGAAAGATCATTGGTTCAATTCAAGGGCACCCTAAATTAACGAGTCCCTGTGGAAATTCTCACTGAATTTCAATATTTTTATAACTGTCTGGCAAATTCTCTAGTATTTTCATAATTATCTCGAGAACTGTTCAGCCCAGGGGAAAATGGTAGAGGACTTTTTTGGAGATTAGGTTGTTTTGAAGAAAAAAGGGCTTTTCATGTTTTTTTGTTGAGTCGATTGTTTGGGAGATATTCGAGGTTGAAGACGGATTATTGGAAAGTAATTGATCATTGTCGGGGGAAATTAATTGACAAGTGGAAATTATTGAAGAAAGTTGATGGAAAATTCGAGTGGTCGTTGGAAAGCTGGTTTTTCTGGTAAACTGATGGAATGGAAAGATTCTTATGATCGAATCCTTACGATAAATGAAAAATATAGAAAGTCGAAGAATGGAAAGAAAATTGTTGACAGTAATTACGGGCATCAATTATAGCTCGATTACTAATTAGATAGTAAAATTCTTGTGGGAGAGGAGAAAAGATAAATAGTCTAGTATTTCAATGGAAAAAAGCGAAACCTCTAAACTTCCCTTGAATTTTCAATCATTTTTCAATTATTTTTCAATCATTTTTGTCGAACGAAATAATTAAATTATGATAATTAGATTTGCGAATTGTTGAAGAAAGATTAAAATATTTGCAGGACTTGCAGGCGAGTATGAAAAGAGATTAAAGAAAAACCCGAGACGATGGGAAAATTATAAACAATTTAGTATTTCATTGAAGAAAAAGAGAATTTCTCTCCATTTTTCAATAATTTCATCAAATTCTCAAAATAAAATTATTGATTTAGGATAATTAGATCCAGAAATAATCGCTGAGAGTTCCAAATAATTTTTGAAGTCATCCAAAAGTTCAAAATAATAAAAATCAGAAAAAATCTGAGACCGAAAAAAATCGAAATAATTCACTGAATCAATTAAAATGAATGAATGAACGAATAAATGAATGAATTTCTAAACACCTCAAGAGTTTCTCCGATTCCCAAAATAATCAAAACGAATAAATTATTAAAAAAAATCTTACGAGGAAATACTACTATCCAATAGTAACAGACGTGTAAAAACCGCGAGAAAAAAAAAAGCAAAAAACACGTGAAAAAAAAAATGGAATAAAAAAAAATGTTGGCGCTCATCTCTCGATAAATAATCTAGTATTTTAAGAAAAACCTCAAGTTGTAACGCCTGGTCGCCATGATTGGGAGGCGCGAGGTCGTAAGAGCGAGACGCTTTTACAATATTCCAACTGAGAGAAACAGTTTCCCCTCAGTCTAGCACGAGCCACCGCTCAGGAGACAACCCATCAGGGAATATTATTTAATCAAGGTAGGCACGTGAATAATCCATTGAAAAATTTATTCCTCAATCCCCGAATAATCCAGTGAAACAAAGTTTAAACTTTCAGTCACCCAGTGGAAGTTACCCAAGTGGTTCTGATCGATATCATCGATTTCGATTAATTCAGGGGTTGAAATGATACCCCACGATGTGCCTCATCGCGTGATACCTCTAATTTCTACAATTACGATTGTTTAATTGTTTTTTAATGGGCTATCATCGGTGGAATTGTTGTCGTGAGCGTCTGGAGATGATTCAGAGGCCATCGACGAGTCGTTGTGCATTTGTGAAGTTAAATAAATGTGACAATTATGAGATAAAAATGTCATTCGTATGACATTTGAAATTATAATGGAGAACACGTTTGAGATAGAATAACAGACGTTAACTGATGAGGGAACGCAGGAAAATCTCTGTTTGCACTATTTTTTGGATTTCTAGAATTTGATTTTCCCGCGGTTGTTCATTTCTCATTATCAGACCCGGGAATTATTTGATTTGATGAATATCAACAATCGGGGATTGATTATTTTGGGAATGGAATTTATTCATGGATTTAATATTTACTGAAGATTTTCGTAATCTTGACGTTTTCACTCTCTCCCACGAGAAATTTCGTAATTGAGAATTTTTAGAGTGAATGCATTGAAAGAAAAAAATACAAATTGTCAAAAATGAAAACAACTAATGACTTTTCTGTTGTCAAATTAATTGGAATAATTTCCTGAGGAGATCTGCCGTGAAATGTCAAAAGAATGCCTAAATCTCGAATTGAAAGTGAATTCTTTCACGAATCAACTTGAATTTTAATAATTTCAAATAGCCTGCACGTGACAAAAACCAAATAATAACAATGTAGACGATGATTGCAAGTACGGAGATAAATTGAATCGTCAGTTGACCGTAATAGCCACTGGGGGGAAAAAATGTGCGCGATAATTCACGAGTTGTGAAAATAAAAATTAGAATAATCGATTTGTATAAAATATGCGAGTTTGTTATTCCACTCGGTAGTTGAAGATGAATGATAAAACAAGAGAGAAAATGAATGTGTATTGTTTGTGAATGAAGGACAAGGTTAATTTTATGGATATTTTACTCTATTTGTCGCATCTAGAGGCATGACAGCAGGATGACGATAATGTATGGTATTCCGGAAACTCGATATGTCCACTTTAGTCACTGATATATTCAGTCATTTCCTATTTGAGTTCATGGGATTCATCATGATCTTCAAGTTCTTTATATTTTTTTCGTATTTTTAAAGTCAAGTGACTTGTCATATTCTGATGGGTCTTTTTTCTGATTGTCTAGGTTCTAACTCGAAAACAATTCGAATCTATCGACTGATTATTGATTTATCTCGAGAACTATCGATCTACGAAGGAATCTTTAAGGGCCTTTTTTGTCGGTGATTTAATTTTCTAGGAAAGAGATCTTTTGATGTTTTACTCTAGAATTAGCGGGTTTTGAGATAAATTGGTAATTGTTTTCAGCGGGAAAATGGGAAATTTAAGTGGGTTGGATTTCCTGTTTTTGGAGATTGTGGGTTTATCTCGCAATCTATTGATTCTAGGTGGAAACGATAAGGAACTTTTTTGTGACTTATTAAAGTTCCGAGGAGAATGATCTTTTCACATTTTCTTCTAAACCCAATAGTTTGCGAATAAATCGATATTCAACAAAACCGTAAACTCGATTTACTGATTTTTCAACTTCTGCGTCGTGGAAATAAACCCTGACTCATATCTTGGCCCCCAACGATGGGATTGGGATAAATGAGGGTTCATTAAAACCCTCGAGATTCCCCCAAAAACTCGAAAAAAAAATCAGCCCAATCGACTCAGCGAATCCCGCGCCATCAGCGATCGAATCCGCCCACTTTATCCCCAACTGTCCAAATTCCTCGGAGACGAGTTTATTTACCGAAAAACCTCAAAATCAATTATCGAATTGAACAACTGAGTCTCTCAGGAATAAAAATCGTAAGAAATTAGAGTAGAGAACGTCATCCATAATTGCCAGATCAAGATCTCCTTGAATCTCAGCCAATAAATACCAGCAATATTTTCCTCATTTTTTTTGTTCGCACGAGTCCGATGGATTATCAGATAAGATTGCACCCATAAAAATACACATGTGGATAGAAATTACATCAAATAGTCATCATATGAAGCACAAAGTGGACGGAAACTGACTCTCGATGCGTGACGGTGACAATTTTAATGTGAATATCAGAGTTATAACTTGATTAGCGAGATACCACATACCCCCTAATTTCCACATTCATTATCACCTCTCAAAAATATTTATCAAAAATCAATAATCCCTAAACAACTTCTCCCCACCCCAAAAAGCAATCCAAAACCCCATGAATTAATCGACATTCCAACTAAATAATCAACGAAACCTTTCGATAAAGAAAAAAAAGTCGATTAAAAACCTTCCAAAAACATGAAATTGTGAAATAATAAATAAGTCCATTGATACTCGTGCCGATGCAAAGTCTAGATCCGAAGAACCCCATGAACTTTTCCCACCACCGGTTGATGCAAATAATCCGCAAAATAATTCACCTCGATTATCATCAAAAAACAGTTTGAGGAAGAGCATAAAATGATGGTCCCCTCGTTAAGGATTCAACCGCGTGTACCAGGTGCCCACGGAATAAAATAAAACAACCGCACGACGGGAATAACCTGTTGTCAGGCCTTGAAACGAAACAAAGAAGGCATGTCTCAATTTGTCGAGAAGAAAAAAAAAAAAATACCCCGAAGAGCTAATGATTTGCCTGTCCCTGAATCCTGAGCCCGACCCAATAGAAATATTTTCCAATCACTCCGATTAATCCCATGATGACTAAAACCCGACTATATTCTGCAGAGATCCAAGATGCCTGGCCATCGTCAGCCTCTGTCCCTGGAGGGATTGAGTTTGGGACGTGTGTGCCAGCAGCTGGACAGTACGTGCCGACGACTGCAACAGCTGTCACAGGAGACGTCATCAAATCAAGTATTATCATACGCTAAGCAATCGATACGCCCTTACTACGTCAATTCCCTTCCCTCGATTCTACGTACACGAGTTATAGACGAGACCTCGAGGATGCTGTACGGTCCAGCTCCAGACGGTTCGACCCTAATATCAGGACCAGCGCCCCTTTATCTACTTGCTCTTCTCCTGGGTCACGACATCAAACACCTGAGAGTCAATCTTTGCTGCTACTACGGCTGCAGCCACCAGACATCACTCCTCAAACTCTTGGCTCACGATGGAATTGCCCTGGAGTCACTGGAGCTAGCAAGATCAGCACTTCTTCGTCTTGACTGTAAATTACTGCGTACAGCACTCCAGAGTATGAGAAATCTGCGTAGTTTGACTCTGAGAAATATTGCCAATGACTCGGTACTCCAGGTAATTGGCAAATCGTGTCCTAAACTTGTGGTTCTTGATGTTGCGTGCTCGATGCAGGTGACGGATATGGGATTGAATAATCTTCTGCTGCAGATTGAATTGAGGGACAAAGTTGCGACTTATCCATCATCATCGGAGACAAGCTGGTCAAAGCTCAAGGCAATTATCTCAAAATTCAAGTCCAGGAAGAGAATTGAGAAGCGAGAGAGACAGGGAATTCTACTGGAGTACTGCGAGAGAAAGAATTTACTCTGCAATACTCTGAAAATTCTCAATGTTGCTAATACCTCGGTGACGAGTGCTGGTGTTCTTCTGGCTCTAGCACACGTACCTCATCTCGAATCACTGGCTGATTACAATCATATGGGACGAGTTGTTGAGATAATGAATCGAGGTGTCATCCAGCTGAAGACGCCATTCAATCTTACTCAAGCACGAAGCAGTCGAACAACAACAGCTAGACTTGAGCTTCTCTCCCAGACGTGTCCCAGACTCGAGAAGATCTTCATCTCTGAGCCACTCCATCCTCCAGAGGCTCTACGATTATTTCCCTACGTCACATGTTTAAGTCTCCAGTCTGTACCAGCTAGGAAGGAGTGGTTGTCAGGTTTTTACGATTATTTGAGGACAAATGGCCACAGGCTCAGGGATCTAGCTGTCAGGATCACAGAGACTGACAATCCTGTTCAGTTGGATCTCAGACAGGTATTCCAGCACTGCCCAAATCTCGTGAGTCTATCGAAGACTGGGGCTGGTGTTGTCTGGCTCAGTGGACAAGATCCACAACCTCTCAGGAAACTCAGGAGAATTCAGCTGGGGAGGACTGTCACAGCTTCTGCACTTTTGAAGATACTCAGGTTGTCACCTGGATTATCATCGCTGCATGTGCACAGTTGCTTTGATTTGACCAATGGACATCTCGAGGGACTTCTCAGTGATGACAACTGCTTGATTAATTCACTCAATTGTTTCTATGTTTATGAGGCCAGTAAGATATCTGTTGATGTTGTTCTTAAAATCCTCAAGAGTTGTGGAAGATTGAGAAAAATTGGGAATCTGTCTAACTGGGGACTTGACTGCGATGGAGTTAAAATACTCAGGGAAACTCTCGTTGGGGCTAATTTGGATGTTGATCTGTGCCCTGGGGCTCACTGGTTCTGGAGTAATTGTATTCATTGAATCATACCCGATACTTCTGGTTCAGTATTAATGAGACCTTGAGCTCATGGAACGATGTAATTAACTCCAAAGATGATTTTTCGCTTTTCAAAGATTTTGCGGTCACACTAAACGTGGATTTAGATCCTAAACTACTGATTCCACGAAAAAATCTCAAATGGCCTTTTTTATAGAAAATTTAAGCGCCTATGATAAAGTTCCTCAGCGTTTTCACCGGAAGTGGACGGTTCTCGAGATAATCGGCAATTTTGAGGAATGAGACAAATATTTTTTCTGTTTCCAAGAATTTCGCAGTCCCACTAAATATCCATTTAACTCCTAAACCGACGATTTCACGAAAAAACCGCAAATGACCTTCTGTACGTAAAAGTTAATAGCCTACGATAAAGTTCCTTGACGTTTTCACCGGAAGTGGATAGTTATCGAGATAATGGGCAATTACGAACAATTAGTGGCAGACGTTTTGGGGAAATGAGACGAATATCTGCTTTCTTACGCACGAGATATTGTCGGACTTATTTATAAATTAATACCTCGCTTACTGAATTATTTCGCGGATAATAATGAAAAGAAAATTATAACGCAGATATTTATATTAACGAAAAATCGGTTTATCTGTTGGTTTGAGAATTGACTGGAGTTTTGAATAAACACCTTTAAATTGTGAGTTTTCGTGAGTTTATGTGACTAATCGGCTTTATAATTCTCGATGCTATCTGTTTTGTATTATTGGATTCGCAATAAAGATATGGTTGATGAGATTTTTTTATGACTCACCTCAGACAGCCCGTGGCACTGGAGTAAAAGTGTCATCAATTTGGTGTCAGCTTGAATGATTTTGTAGGTCATGTGGAGCTGCTTAGCTGGGGGGTCCTCTGGGGGTGTTGCCAGTGCTGAACACCTGGTGAAAGAATTTTAATTGCACAGTCTCCTTTAATAATGCCATATTAGAACGAGTGCTGGTTTTTTCTTCGGGTTTTCAATAGAAATCTCGGAATCCGGTGGAGCTAGCGAATTTTTCCACGTATACTTTTTTGTAGCTCTTGAAATTCTCGTTAAAAAATGCCCCAACGAACCCCTCGCTATCTCCTTCGGATTCCGAGATAATCAATTGTTAAATTATTGTTAAATTATTGGAGTTGGAATGAAATTAAAGTTTCCACTTCTTTTAAAAACCGATTGATCTAATGAAATATTATTTTTATGAAAAAATGTGAAAAGATCGTTTTCTCAGAGAATTCCATCAGCTACAAAAAAGTTCCTCACCATTTTCACTGAGAATCGATGGTTTTAGAAATAAATCGATAATGAGGCCAAAGGTAAAATCATAAATCGACTTTGACTCTACACCAGAGTTTTCCCTCCGGTTTTCGATGGATATCTTGAAATCCCGGAGAGATATCGATATTTTTCACAGAAACTTTTCTATAGCTCTTTAAATTCCGCATAAAAAATCTTCCAATGAACATCTGGCTATCCCCATCAGATCCCGAGATAATCAATAATTTATTCATAGTAAAGATGACTCACCTAAACCTGAGAACAGGTGCTTTGCTACCACTGGGTCCATTGACGAGCCACTCATTTCCCTTTGCACTATTTTCCTTGGGAGCACTGCAACAAATAACAACAATTAAATAACCCACCGATCTAGATCTCGATCTATCGATCTCCAGGGTGTATCGAGAGCGGATAAGTACGAGACCTGCGGTAAAATTAATCATAAAAAAATCAACAGAGTGCACTGCAGGTTTTTCCAGAGAAAAAAATCTATATCTAACAAAAATCAATTCATCACGCTCCTCACCCACGTGCACCAGGGTTCAATAATCCCCAGTCCCTGAAATCCTCATAAATCACGCGATTCCAACTCGTCGATTTAATTTACAAACTAGTACCATCGAACCACTGATATTCAAATAGATTTAATGAATGAGAGACGATACCGTAATCACGGAAATCATGAATAAACGAGTTGTAATTCAAGTGTTGAATTCTCGAGAATGCGATAAATATCTCGACGTAAAAGTGGAAGAAATATTTCAGACACTTTTTTGGATTTATGGGAGTTCATTATTTGGGTAGTAATTGTAAATTGATTATTGGAAAGTAATTTACCTCTCGGTGCTGTCGGGCTTGTGGAAGGGCTCAAGGGTTTCTTCACTGCTGTTGGATAATTGAGACATCCCTGAGAGACTTGATGAGGACATCAATTCCTTCGGACGTTTGCCATCCAATCGACGACTCTCAGCCTTCAGTTGTGACAGCATTTCACCTGAAATCAATAAACAAAATATTCTTAGTAACGTCAGCAATAAAAATTTTATTCTCCAGTTTTTTCGTTTCATTCATCATCAGTTCATTATTTATAATTTAAATATTTAAATATTTAGGGTATTAATATGAATATTGAGGGAAAAATGTCAAGATTTTGGATTTATGTTCGGGAAATTTAACACTAAAAAAAAACTACTACCGCTTAAAACACAAAATGTGGTGGAGATATAGATAATTATAATGCAGAGACCGTGACAAATTTTTAGATTAAAAAAAATCGAAATTGTTGAGTTATTCCGATTTTTCTACGAAAGAATTTATCACTAAAAACAAGTTGACACTTTCAAAAAATCATAACTCAATCAAAAAATGTATTTTCTCCCCAAAAATTTCACTGGAGCTTCCCCTTATGATACAGAACAGAAAAAAAAATCGGGGGCATCGAATTTTTTTTTGTTGCCAATTTGACGAGGAATTGCCAATTTTGCGAATAATGTGGACATAATATAAATTGATAGAATTGTTTTTTAGTGATGGAAAAAGGAAAAAAAAATCAGAGGAGATAAAAAAAATTGAAATGTCAGCAACTGGATAATAAATTTTAAACATCCGACGTGAATCGATACCGGATAGAACTCTTACTTGAAATTCGTAGCATAAACCGGGCATCGATTTCCCGGTACGTAACTCGCACAGACAATTGCGCCCACCCTTGATTACTAATTACCAATCGGATGTAACGTTTTCACTGAGACTCTCCCACCCGGACACCAGGAATTCCGTCACGTTCGCCAACCCGGCAATTCATTCTAATTTCAATTATCGAATTAAATTCATTTAAATTCATAACACCCCGCGATCTTCACGCCTCAATAATTTTTAATTACAAAGGTACCTCCAATTGTCAGACAAAGTAATGACTTCCGTAAAAAAATATTCGTAATCAATTCTAAATTAATGAAAATTGATTGAATCGAATTGTTTGAAATTAATGAAAATTGATTGAATTGAATTGATTGAAAAAAAAAACAAAGGAAAAACTCGATCGATCGATCGTCTCGATGTCACTGTGAAAATTAAAAATTTTATAAGAAAATACTCGGAGAAAATCGTGAATGGATTTGCCGGTAAAGCGTCGACGACGTGTGAGGGTAAAACCGGAAACAACCCCGGAAACAACCCCGGAAGTAACCCCGGAAGTGATTCAGGATGTTGAGGATTTCGATGGGCCCGGACTGCTCTCCCTCCCCACAGAAATTCTCATCGAAATCCTGTCGTACCTCGACTACACCGATTCCTATAGCCTCGAATGTGTCTCCAAGCGATTTGAATTGGCGCAGACACCATGGAGAGACTACGAGGTGAGCAATCGATAATGGATTGACCCGCATTGGGTCAAGTCGATAGATTCCTCAAAATAACAAGTTAAAATCCCAAGTTAAATATTTTAGCTATCCTATTCACAGAAATTGTACTGATTGTGGATATTTGTCACCTCTCGAAAGATATTGATCTTTTTTTTTATCACTTTTTCTCGTTTGACCCACGAATTTGACCCTCAATTTCCCCTCATTTTTGAGCTAAAATTTTTACCGCGACCCGCAATTTTTGAATCGCTCATTTATTTTCTATTTTATTTTTGACCATTAATTTTTTCTTCATTTTTCACCCACAGCTTTGACCTACAATATATGATTCCTCCACCGTTGACCCACAATTTTAACCCCTCATTCTTAACCGAGAATTGAAAACAAATAGAAATCCAGCATTAAAATAAAAATAAAATGAATGAAAAAATTCCCTGATTTATGTTCTGAACGAGCAGGTGATGGCCAACAGTCCACCGACCCCAGAGGTGATTCACCAGCTGAAGAGAATGCCTCACCTATTGGTGATAACGATCATGGGTCGTTCTGACTGCAATCAAATTCTTCGTCAACTGTCCCTATCCAATAAGAAACTCCAGAAACTCTATATCAAAAGGTGTCGCGACTCCGTTGAAAAAATATACCTTCGCCCTCGCTACTTGACCCGAATACTGGAGCGATGCTCCAATTTGCACACGATAAGCATCAAGGGTTTTCAACACAGGGGCACTAAGTTCTACCAACTCCTGGGTAACAAGGGAATTCAATTGCGCTCGTTAAAGTGCATCGCGTCGCCATTGCAATTTCGCATTTTTTCAAAATACTCTCAACACATTGGTGTTGATGACCGAGTAACTATGAGTAATATGTGTGTGGGATGTCAATACTGGTCGCCCTTGCGCTACTTCCTAGCTGACGATAATCGCGGTTCTGTCGACAAGCGATATACAGCAAACGTCTCTTATTTCCGCACCAAACAATTTTTTACCGTTAATGTTTAAAAGAAAAAAAAAGAAAATAGGGATCAGAGGGTGTACCATCTAGGCATTGACCTTGGGGGGTGGGAGGGTGAGACCTTCGGGGGTTGGAGCCTCTGGGAATTATTCACGTGGGGAACTTCAAGTGGAGTCAAGTTATCACGAAATTAAACTGAAGGTAATTGTGACATTTCAATGTTTTTTTATTTATGAGTGAAAAATAGAGAGATGGATTTGAGTTAGGTCAAGTGCGATTTGATTCAGAATTATCTTTTGGGCTCGTTTGGGGGATTTTTTAAAATTCATTCGGATGGATTATTTGATTTGATTCAAGCTGATTTTTTTTTGAATCGAAGAAGTCGAGAGATCGACTTGATTCATTCCAAGTTGTCGATTTGATTCAAATCGATTTTTCAACTTAATTCTCAAGTTAATTCTTTGACTTGATCCCATTCAGCTTTTCGACATAATTCAAGTAGATTACTCAACTTGATTCAAGTTAAATCATCAGTTTATATCAATTCAGATCTTCAACTCAATTAAACTTGACTCAGATCAATCTTTCGACTGGATTCAAATAAAGTTATCGTCTTTATCAATTTCCTCCCTCATTATACTTGAAACCTAAAATAAAAATTGGGTCACCTGGCACCTGATGCCCCATGGCCAGTCCATATCTCGCGAAAAAAATTCCCCCACCCGCGATACCAAATTAATTCGTGCATCACGCAACACCCTGCCCCGGTTAAAGACGATATATTCACGGTAATGTCACGCAATGAGAATTTACCCCGGGTACTCTAGGAAACAGCTGAGGCGTTTGGCAAATTAACATCCTTCCCCACCCCCTCCCACCTGCCCGCAAACTCCTTCATTTCCGGTTTTATCGAGCACGCAGGATAACTTTAGGTCTTGAAAACAATTTCTCAATTTTTTTTCTTTTTCTTTCAGTTTTAATTGGCACCTTCAAGGATATGAAAATCACTTTGCGGCCGTTTTAGGTCGTGGGGGTGAACGGGGGGTTAATAATTACTGAGTGTTTCGAGTACCAGTTCAATTACTGGAATTTTCAAGGAATTTCCAAACTTCCACATGCTATTTCTCTATTTTAAACTGTTACTCAAGATTTTTTTTGTTTATGCAATTAGAAAAATAAAAATGGAAATAAAATCAATAGGATCTATTGTCTGATTCCTGGAATTGAGAAGTTTCATTTCATTGCAGAAATTTCAAAATTCCTGGAATTTATAACAAATTAATAATGAGAAAACTACAGGAATTCCAATAATTAAACAATTGGCAGAAATCAACCAAAATTTTTGAACGATTTAGGGAATATCTCGGAATCTAGTAGAGATAGAAAAATTTTTGGGGGAGACTTTTTGCAGCTCTTGAAATTCTTTAGAAAAAAGTTCCAGCGAAGATTGCGGTATCTCCCAGAGAATCCGGAATATCCGGGGAAAAGGGAGACCGAGGATTGAATTGAATTAAAAAAATGAGAAAATTCCTCGATTATTCACCTTTAATAGAGCAATTCGATTCAATTGATGCGTTACAGCGGATGGGCGTGCGTTATGCATCGATGACGGTTAGAAAAATGATGGACGATGGGTGGAAATAGTTCAGAGGCACGGACTAATGGATAAAGAATGGCTATCGTGCCTTATCTATGCAAATTATCCAAGTTTGAAGGGATATCGCTTAGCCGGAGGTTTTTAGGGTGCACGAAAGTACTTTGTCTTCATTTATGAATGATGGAGGACTGACAACAGGTGCCTAATGTCTTCAAAGTCATCAAGCACCTTCACCATCCACCTCAAGCCCGACATCAAGTATTTTCCAGGAATATCTCATAAACGCTGGTAGATAGCAAGATTTTTCATATAAACTTTTTTGTAGTCCTCGAGATTCCCCACATAAAATGTTCCCACGGAATTTCCGTATCTCCCAGACCTCCAGAAATATTCCCCAAAAACCGTCGCTGATCTCCAGCTTCTGTACCTATTTTTTCTCCACTACACCGATCACATACACGACTCTATCTCGAAAACGAAGAGATCTACGAGAAAAAAGTAAGATACAATTTTTTGAGAGGATGAAATTCCCCACAAAAAATCCCTGATAATATTTTCCCGCAGAACCATTCCCTGCGTGAATACCAGCGTTCCAAAAATGTGCCCATAAATCACCCGATGATTTTCTCATTCGAGCCTCGAAAAATCTAAATCCAGAAGCCGCTGTTTACTTTCTCCCCTCAATCTGCCCCAAATGTTCTCCATCCGTAACAATCCACCATTCCCCACAGTTGAGAATAACCAGATTGCGATATCAGCCAGTAAAATCGATAAAATTAAACTCATCTTCGTGACTAACCATTCAAATTCATTCGAAATATCCATTAAAATTCGAAATAAAGAGGATTAAATCACGTGAAGACCTCGATAATTCATGTAAAAACAAATAAGTCAAGTACATGACTATAAAATTCGAAATTTAATCCTCAAATTGTCTTTATTACGATTTTAGAGAGTTAAAAAAATGAAGAAGGGAAGAAAATTGGGCGTTACGAGTTGCCACCCAGTTTGCGACAGAATTCGAGACTTTATAAAACGACACGCGAACTTGTAATGCATATACAAGCATGTATATAGAAGATATATAGTTTTTGGTGATGTGGAAGTGGATTTGAGAGGTCAGGGGACGACTGGTGACGGGTTACTTTATCCTAGAGGTATTGACGTTGGATTTGTAGGTAAACGAGGAAAAGGTCGAGGGCCCCCCTGGGCTGATATTACACCGACATTCTGATTAATGACTTTACCAGTCTGGCATTTACCTTATCGTTGATAAATCATTCGATTCAGGGCTTTTCCCTTCAACCATTAATTATGCAATCTCAGATTTTACTGTTGACGAATTTTCCCCAACGATTTTGCTGGATTTATCAGAGTTTCAAGGGAGTTACAAAAATTTTCTGAGGACGTTTTCTCTTCGAAATTTCGAGAACTTCAAAAAAGTTCCTCTTGACATTTCTCTATCTCTGATAGTTTCGGGGATATTAATTAATTGTCAATCGAAAACTGATTTTTTTTTCAATTCGATGGAGACCCTAGTATTTTTTGCGAATTTCGCGGAAACGGTGGGCAGTAGTGAAATAGTCATGAGGACCTTTTTTGCGGGGCTTGGAATTCTCGGCAAAAAAGGTTGTGATGATAATGCCAGTATTTCCCTCCAGTTCCTGGAAATTCCGCAAAACCTCAACTAATTCCGTAATTTCTCCCTCTGCGATTGAATCTACGACATCCAAGGCTCGTTTGTTTATTCTCCGGTCATTACCTCACCCAGACTTAAAAATAAAATTCCCTCAAGTTTGAATAATCGACATTGCGTGCTCGTGGAGTCGTATCTCCACACGTAGCGATCATGCGCTTTTATTTCGTGGCTTTTTGCCTCGTTTCACACCGTCGATTTTTTTCGTGTTTTCATCCGGCCTAATTCACAGTTAGAAACAAAAACAAAAAATCGAGTTGGAGAAATACCCAGGGGAATTTATTTCTGACCCATAACCCTCTGGAATAAATATTTGAGGGGTGCAATGCGGATCGATTGCAGATGCTGCAGACCAGACCATCAGAGGGTGAAATTATCCCCAATGAGACTGAGCAGAAGCTCTCAAGACCTCCTAAAATACCCAGACGATAAAACCAGAGTCTTCAACTTGTCAGAATAATCTCGAGACAAAATTTCATCCATAAAACACTACCAAAACGCTTCGACTTCAAAAGAAAAACTGAAAAATCAAATGAAAGTATCAAAAATACTCCAGTCACAGGTTCACTGTCTCTAGATACCATTCGATATTTATTTTGAAAGCTGTGGAACGTGTATTTTGATGACGTGAAAGGAAAATTGACTTGTGTTTTGATTCTTCATGGATTTTGTTGTGAGAATGACTCAGACAGACCGAAACACCAACGGTTTTCTCTATGAAACAATAATAAACACCTTCCGGAATTACTCAAACATCAGACCCCCTGTCCACCTGTTCTCCCTCTCCCAGGAAATTTAATCCGCTTCATAAAAAGTCTGCGCCAAAAAAAATACCCAATCAGCAGCGAAACGGTAAAACAGTCTGACCATTGCCCTGTTTTCAGTCCATATCTCGGGATCCGAAGGAGATAGCGGCATTTTTGTCATGACCTCTTTTGTAGACCGGATTACGAGCTACAAAAAAAGTAGAAATAAAAATTTCGCTATCTCGTACCGTTTCCTTGATATTCATCGAAAACGCGGGCAAGCGCCAAGTCGACTTCAACCGCTTCACTGCTCCACTGATTCCAGTTCTACCTGAATTTCCAAACCTATCAGAGATACCTGATTTCTCGTAGAGACCTTTTTCCAAGAGGAGACCGAGGGCTACAAAAAAGATTCAACAAAAATTTCGCTATCTCACCGGGATTTTGAGATATTCCCGCTTCCGTTTCGACTCGACCTTCTAGCCTTCAAATTCCCTGAAAAACCGGTAAATTTTCCCACTCGACGCCCTTTTGATTCTCAAAAAACATCGTTGACCTTGACCATGCACCCCTCGGAAAAGCCCAAGTGTCAGAAAGTGGCATGTGTCACCAGGTGTGTGAAAATCTCAATGATGAAATAATGAGAATAAAAATCACTCACCCCGTGAAGAATCTCAGGAATAAAATCGTCCTCTAGGTGCACTGCACTCCTGACATCCTCGGTGTAAATAAAAATAATGTTTAGACAATTTCGGGGATGTAAACTGGAGACTATCACACGGCCATACCGTTCGGATGCGCGACGGCGACTGCCTCTACCAGGGAAATATCAAACTACTCAGCAAGTACAGTCCGACCTAAAAACACCCAATGAAACACACGGGGATTGGTCGACGCTTTTCACCATCGATTTTACTATTTCCGAGTAATTATTAAAATAAAGGTCAGCAACAACTACTTTTCCATATTTTCATCCCTCATTTTCCCCCTTCCTCTTCATCGAAACTAGTGATTAAAATTATGGATTCGAAATTTCAATTTTTCGGCAACACTGGATTTTTTAAATAATTAATTGTTTTGTAGTTGTTCGATGGATGAGTTTTGTTTATAAATTTTAATGTTTAGAGTCTGGTTTTTTAAGGGTTCTTTGTTAATTGAAGATTTTTTGTTAATTGTAGGTTAAAGTAAATTTTTGAGGATTTGAGATTGATTGTTTGAGAACTGAATCTTTATTCATTATTATTGTAATTTCATAGATTTTTCTGTTTGCGAGTAATTATTATCATAAGAGTAAGTGATTTGTATTCTCCTGATTTAGAATTTCATTTTTTATACTCGAAAAACCCAAAAATCTAGATTTTAATTATTGTAAAGTTTTAACTCCATATAATTGATAACTTTTTTTAAGTTAATAAAGATTAAAAAAGCAGAATCTCTAGTTTTCGATTCCTTCAAGACTTAATTATCACCATAAATTTGAGTGACACAGGTTTCAATAAAATAAAATCCCCAAATATTTTCGAAATACAGAAAAATGGAAGGCGCCATTTTCCATCAATCATTCCGAGACTTACACCTACAATTTTCACAAGAACCCCTTTATCTCCACTTATCGCTACGAGTAAAAAAAAATCGGTAATTACAATCATTTGACTTTCTTCGCGTACTTCTCCTCGAGCTCGACGAGTTTCGTATCCAGTTCAGCACTCGAAAATGTCTGTAAAACATTACAAAAAGATTAAAAAAAAAATAAATAGGTCATCGAGAGGTACAACATGGAACCAAGAATATTCCGTCAACATGAAGATTGTTAAAATTGTATACAGGATTATGATCAAACGTACGCAGATGGTAAAATGGTATTGCGTTCGCTGTATTCGGTATGTAATGGAAGGGTTTGCATGTTTCTAAATCATAAATTCATTCGATGGAATTGCAAAGTGACTGGAATATCAGATTCGTAGAACCTAGTCGTTTTTGCTTCTGAATGGAAGCTTTGTAATCGACCAAATTTAAGTTTCATATTTTTTATCGTATATCAACTCAGTATAACCCAAGAAGTTCGAAAATTCAGGTTTTAGACTGTGTCCGAATGTATGTGGTATGTTTTTCTCTGATTGAATTACTTACTCTCTTTCTCACTGGCTTCTGCGGCCTGTCCTGACCTCCAGCAGCTCCCAACATCTAAAAAAGAAATTTCAAATATTTCCACAATCAGAATTTCAAATCAAATTCAACAATAATTAATAATTAATATCAGTCTTGAGTTTAAATTAATTGGTTAACAATTTACTTACGAAAAAGTGTTTGTATTCTGGTGACAGACTCTCCAAAAATCGAATTCTGTCCTCGATGTTTTTAATTCGTTGATAAATATCGGTGGGCACTGGTTTGTCGATCATCAGGAATCTCTCAGGGCCCGAGAGGCGTTCGTCGAGGGCTGGATTGGGGGCTTCAGGGCTTCCAAGGAGTTCTGGTGTTCGAAGGGCCGAGGGGTTCATCGTCTGAGGCCCATGAGCATTGAACACTCTGTGAACTAGAAAACAACAAATTTCACTCGAATGATGCATTCCAATTATTTTTACAATCAACTATTCACCTTTCACATGACTTTTAGAATCCTTTCGGGGAATTAGAATGGCATCCACTCGAGCACAAGAGGTCTCGTCATCGTCTCTCAGATTTCTGGAATAAATTCGAATAATCATTTTTTTTTTTCGGGGAAAAGAAAGAGAAAAATTGGAGGATCAAAAAATAAAGAATTGCGTTCACAAAATAAATACCTGTGACTGCAGAACTCCTGGATATTGAACATATTATTCTGCTCTCTCTTCCTGGAGATAAAAGCATCGATTCTTCGCATGAGTTCCTGAGAGCTGACGGTCACCTGGACCTCCCGGGGATCAGCCTCGACCTTGACTCTCCCAGAAAATCGAGACTTAGACTTGACAACCACATTATTCCCTACAATAAATCAGGAATTATTTCCAGTCTCCAGGACTCTTCTAAGACACTTTTTATCATCTAGAACTCTTTTTTATTCTCAACAGACAGAAAAATCAAACATAAAATTGATAATTAGTAATAGAAAACAATTTAATTGCTCATTGCCCACGCACATTCTTTGTTCTCCTTCCACTGGGAGTCCGACCCCGCATCCTCGTAGATTTCTTTTTTCCAGATGGGAACAGAGGATTTGACGGTGTCGATGGCAAACTGGACAGCCTGGAGGGAATCCTGTCTGTGGGGAGAGGAAATAGCGATTGCTATTGAAGATTCAGACACAGGGACTTCCCCAAGACGATGGAAAATCGCGATGTGCTCGACATTCCACTGATCTCGGATTTTCCGACAGATCGAGGACATCTCCTTCAGAGCCATCGGCTCGTACGCCTCGTACTCCAGCTTCAGGACCTGGAGAACAATTTTTTTGAGGGAGGGATCAATAAATAAATATTTTTTAATTAATTAACTGGAGTATTTGGGAAATTCAGTTCTCGTTACTTTTTTAGCCTCGAAATTATCTCGAGTTGTACCGATGAACGTCGAGACTGCACCACACGAGGGGGAAATTACAGCCTCGATTATCTCGTTTATATTTAATTTCTCTTTCTGCAGGTGAACTATCGATTTTTTATCCTCCATTTTTAACCTGAAATTAGCAATAAATTTTGGAGATTAATAAAAGTTTCGGGTTCTTTGAAATATTTCGAGAATTGCGGAGTGAAAATCAGTGATTTTTGTGGAATTCATGGAAGAAAAAATTTTTCAGGAATAAATACCTCCACTGAGAGGTGGAATCACCGCAATTTCGTCGTTGTCTTTTAATTCAAGAGCTTCAGACCCTCCGACAAATTCCTGATTAACCGCCAGAATGAAATTGTCCTTGATATCCTCCAGCCGATACTTCTGCACAATAATCTCGATCAATTCCCCTGGGTGTATTCTCCTGGGAATTTCCACCAGATCGTCCGCAACTCCAGCGATTTCACGAGCTTTAGCGAACAGCAGGACTCTAACCTGACATTCCATGGCAGTTCATCCTAATATTGATAACACATTTATCAACGTCAGCTGATCACAGGTTATGTTCCCTGAAGAGATCAACTCAAAGAATCCAAAATCTTCACCAATCCCAAAAAATCCTCTGCAATGATGTCAGCTTCTTATCTTCTTGTCAAAATATTCAACAATTCCAGAAGTTGATGATTCACGACATCATGATGTCCATCAGATATTGATTTGACTAGGATTGACGACTGTGAAGTTGATTACTCTGAAGTTTCTCGAGACCTAACCAAACCTTCGATGAAGACACGTCGACTTCCAATATAGCTATTGTAAATATCACGTACATTATATACTCGGTGTACATAAATCCCAGAAGCCAGCTGAGGAATTACCGAATGATAAAAGTATGTTGTGGAGCTCGTGGTGAATCGTTTGACCTTAGTGATTGATTAACACTGTGCAATGATGCTCGTCGTCTCTGACAGGTGCAGTATAGCAGTCGTTAGACAGAAGTATTTGCATTCTATCACTCAAGGAATAATCGAGCTTATCTCGGTTGAGTCATTTTTCCAGTTATTTCATTTATTTCCTCGGTTGTGATAAAGAATTTGGCTGGCTGGACTTTTGTTTTGGCTTTTACCTTTTTTTAATCTCATTTTCCTCGGGGATTTTTGGACTTTACAGCAATTATTTCTCGTCGTATTATTTTTCCTTCATCGTATCCTTTTTCCTTTATCTCATTATTTTTCATTCAGTCGTTGGAATTGTTTCCAATGATTTCAATGATCTGAGGTTATGAGTTTTTTTTCGTTCCCATGATTTTTATGATCGGGAATTTTGAGGGAGGGATTTTTAATTCCTAGATCATGAGTTTTCAATTTATCCAAGTGCTGCTATTTTTTTTTGTCGTGATATTCAAGTGATAGAACGTCAACACCAGATGTGTCAACGAGCAAAGCCGGAAACTTGTGGTTTGCAATCCTGAAAGCCGTTATTTGAGACGAAAATCTGAAAGACGATTGTGGTATCATGGGGTCGATAGCTCTGGAGGAGTACGAGTTGATGAAGGACTCGAAATACCGAGTGTGAGTACCTGAAGAGCCCAACAAATCGCTTTACAATCAATTTCCTAAAGACTGAAATTTTCAGTTTTCCCCTCAACTCTTAAAGCTCATATCTGGAAAACTATTGATTTATACAAAAAAACCCAGAAGAACTTTTTTACAGCTAATTAAATTCCCTCCAAAAATGGTCTTGTGCTATTTTTCCCCAAAATCAATACTTTTCGATCAATCGATCCTGAAAGGTCTCAAGACCCTTTACCCCCTCTAAATCATCAAAAACCTTCAAAAAACTCTTCCAGTTACGTATCATCAGTGGACAAAGCCCTGAAGAACTTCGAGTACACGAGTGAGTGGGCAGACTTGATCTCCGCCTTGGGGAAGCTCAACAAAGTTCTCCTGAGTAATTTGAAGTTCCCAGTAATTCCTCGCCGAATAAAAATCTCAAAACGCCTGGCACAATGTATGCACCCAGCTCTGCCATCAGGAGTTCACCTGAAAGCCCTGGAGACGTACGACGTGATATTCAAATGCATGGGAACAAATCGTCTGTCCCACGAGCTCTTCATCTACAGTGCAGGACTGTTTCCCCTGCTGGGTCACGCAGCAATGAACGTCAGGCCAACTCTCCTGACAGTTTACGAGACTCATTTCGTTCCCCTGGGTGAACGACTTCGTCCAGGTCTCTCTGGCTTTCTCTCAGGTGTTCTGCCAGGTTTAGAGGAGGGCTCAGACCACTTCGACCGCACCAATTCCCTCCTGGAGAAGGTGTGCGAGGGGGTGAGCCCTCCGCACTTCTACGCCTGCCTCTGGGACTGTCTGGCATCGAACTCTGGGATTCGTTTGCCCGCCATCTCCTTCGTTCTCTCACACTTCAACAAAAGGCTACCTATGGAGGATCAACTCTTCATAATGGGAACAAATCCAGATATAATGGTGTCAGCTCTGTGTGCAGGTGTTCAAGACAGTTCTGTTCTGGTGCAGAGAAGTGCCCTGGATCTTCTCCTCATCGGTTTCCCCGTTCACAGCAGTCAGCTGAGTCACCAGGACATGGTGACACTCCTGACATCTGCCCTTACGACAATTCTACGAAGGGACATGTCTCTCAATCGAAGACTCTTCGCCTGGCTCCTAGGTACTGAAGTCAGCAATTCAATTCTCAAGAAGAAGCTGGAGCCTGAGGAGGCAGCATCAGCAGCTTCATACTTCGACACCTTCTCCAAGAAGCTCCTCATCGAGGCGATAAAGAATACCCTGAAGACTGTCTGCGATGAGCAGCCACTGGACCTCAAACCTTACAGAATCCTCGTATCACTCCTGGACAAGCCTGACATTGGCCCAGTGATTCTCGATGATATTCTCTACGAGGTATTCAGGACGTTCTCCAATGCGTGCTCTCAATCCCTGGAGAAGCCCCTGAAGTCTCATGAAGTGGTTAAATCAGCGAATCTTCTGTTCTCGACACTGGAGCCCTCGTACGTTTGGGTGCACTGTGGACACCTCTTCGACATGGCGTGTGACTCGAGACACAGGGGACGGCCCCCTGGGGTCGATGAAGTGAAGGCAGTGGCCTCTGGAGCCCCGGGACTCCTGGAGGTCTGTCACCTCACGGAATTCCTCCTGGAGACAGTCTCAGTTGATGCCTTTATTGACACACCCTCTGAGCACCTTCCAGAAATGTTCCATGGGATCATCAGCAAATTGTCGTCTAGACTGCAGGTGCTGACACCCCAGGAGGTCGGGAGGAGTCTCTCCCTCTGCAGAAAGATCCTCTCCAAAGTGCAGCCCATCATCACTCCGCCATCAGAAAAAATTGAGGAAGTCAAGCCCCAGGAGACACCCCCTCAAGACGCCCTGACGACGATTCCCCTGGAGAAGAGTAACTCAGACTCGAAATTAAATAAACAGAAGACTCCCCCCTTTACTGATCGCACCCCGAGCCCTCGGAGACGAGCGAATTCCGGTGGAGTTCCCAAACGTGAGAAGAAATCGAGGAAAAAGTCCAGCAAGAGTGTCTCAAAACTCAGTGAAATGGGACCAGAGGATGTGACGAATATATCTGTGATCATCACCGACGAGTCCAAACAGAAGAGTCTGGACGATTCAGTGATAAATTACGAGCAACTGCAGCCCAAGGAGACGACGAATCCCCTTAATTCCCCCAGATCCCCATCCCCAGGATATCACGCCCAGCACTCGATGCTGGAAAAGTGTCTGAAGACATTTCAACAGTTCTACGTAAAACTCGTGAGTGAGAGAATCCTGGGGCCCGAACGAAAGGTCTCTGAGATGTTCGAGGAGCTGATAGTGTCAACCCCGAAGGACTACGACGAGAGGACACGCCACCTGGAGATGATCCTGTCGTCAAGACTTGCTGAAGAGAACGAGGACGTTATCTACGAGGGGTTGTCCCTTCTGGACATCGAGGAGGACAAGAAATTCGATTATTATTTGAGTTCAGTGGACCAGGACAGCTGGGAGGACATCCTGAGGACCTCTTCATCACTTCTTGTGGAACTCTCGACGTTCCCCACGTCCTACGAACCCGGGGACGATCCGCTCGAGGAGAACGAACCCATGGGCAACCTTCCAGGGTGGCTGCAGGTGCTGACCGTGTGCTCTTGCTGGCTGGGGAGACAGCCCTCCCTCCAGCTCATCAGTATTTCAACTCTTCTGGATCTGATGGCTTTGTCTGCAGCCCAGGGTGAGCTCTCCAGCCCATCAACGTCTGGGGAGGGCGTCACAACGGTTATAATGCTGCCACTCCTCAAGAAATGGCACATCTCTTATCTCACGAATTACACAAACGTCTTTCAGGCGCTTGCCCACTCCCTCTGGCATCACCTGGGAGAGCTCCCAGCTCACAAGTACAGGCTAAGGTGTGTGGAGCTCCTCCACGAGCTCCACAACTCCATTCACCAGAGCTGCGACGCTGTGGAGGACGTCATCGGGGCTGCTCTGACGTTTAACACCCAGGAGAGGAGAATTGAGGCCTTCAAGAGGTTCTCTACTCTCTGGCATCTGGGTAGAGAAGTGGAGAACAACTCTCGACTCAGGAGATCCCCCAAGAGCTTCGACAAGAGCCTCCTGAAGATGCTGGATAATCTACAGCTTTCTGACAACTCCCCACTGAAGCTTCACGCCCAGTCGTGGCTCCTCCACTCTCTGGTGAGAGGTGACATCGCCAGAGTTGTTGATCCTGTCCTCATGATGCTCCTTGATCCCTCCACCTCCAGGATGAGTGTCCTACACGTCAGCATCCAGCACAGCAATACTGTCTTCACGAAGAATGACGTTGAGGAAAAGTCAGAGGTGCAGGACGAGTCTGAAGGGGCCGCCAAGATCTACGCCATCAGCTCTGTCGATGGAAATGTCATTTATCACGTCTCAGACTCTAATGAGGACGACAAGAAGAGCAAGAGGAGGAGAAAAAAGGGAATTAATCCTGTCAAAGTCAAGAGGATCTTCGCAGTGACGACCCTGGCGAATACCGATAAAGGAAACCAATACGTCACCGAGAGAAATCAGTTCATGAAGGAGCTGGAGGTGCCTCCCAGCATCTCTGAGAATAAAAACATCTCGGTTTTTGTCAATCCCTTGTCTGTCAATTGTAACACTAATTCCTTGGATTCTTTGAACGAGGAAGAGGTGAAGAGAGCTGCGATTCCTGTGGAGTTGCTGAAGAATGCCACAAGGTTCAAGAAACCGTTGGACAACAGGTCATCTGGGAGCTTCGACGAGAGCCTCTTCGAGACACCTGGATCTAGCTCCAAAAGGGACAAGGGAAATCTCAAGAAGGTGAGCAAAGAGTTGGGATCGTCTTTGGATTCGATATCCAATAGTCTAGAGTCGAACAGCGCTGACAGTGGAAAGCAGAGGAGGCGAGAGCCTCTGGCGATTCTCTCAGGAAGTGCCAGGGAAGTCGCTGGAACTCTCCTCAAAGGAAAATACTTGAGCACCAACGAATTCTCAACCAACTACGACCTCTACGACTCCTACGAGAACAATATTGGTGTGCCCAGTTGGACGATGGGAGACGAGGACGGTGAACTTGACCTCAGCACCACTGCCGAGGAGTACTTTTCAAACTCCAGTGGTATCAGCGTCGTGGAGGAGGTCCTCAACGAGGTAGTCGACAAAGTAATGGAGATGTGTGAGTACATAGAGCCCACTAAAGCCTCCGACGAGTCAGTCCAGCTGGACAACGGGCTGCGCCGTGCCTCTGGAGTTGGTGTTCACAATCTCCACTCCCACATGCTCCTGTACTGCGGTGTCTACGACTCCACGAGGACTTTATACGCCCTGAGAACCCTCAGAAGTGAATTGATAACGAATACAAGAATGTTTCTATTCGCATCAGCCACCACAGGCATCTCCAACGCCTCCAAGACGACGCCCCTGTTATCACTCCTGGCCAGGCATCGAAAGAGCGTCTTGGGGAGAGGATTTTATGGGGACATAGCCAGTACGAAATTCTTGGCGACATACAGAAGCTCGATGTACCTGGAGGTCTTGATAATCGTGTGTCTGTATCTGATCAGAAGCTATTATCCAAACCTGGGGCAGATGCGGCTTACCCACGAGGAAATAGCTGGCAATCGTCAGGTCCAACTTGCAAGTGCTGAACTCCTCACCCTGATCTTCTCAGAACTAATCTCCATAGTTCGTGAATCAGGAAAGGGTTTCAGTTGTTACATAATAGATCTCCTAACAAAATGCAAAGTCCAGAAAATAGCTCTGCATTGCCTGGTCTCCTCCGTCCTGAACATGAAGAACGTCCAGAAGGATACGGACGAGTTATTCACCTTCACCGAGGAGATCGTCACGTTCAACGATCCCACCTCAGACACTGACATCGCTAAATGTAAATTCAGGAGTTCAGATCACACAGAGGCATTTCAGATTCAGCTGCTGCGTCTGGTCCTCAGTCTGACGATGCTGGAGTACCAGTGTACAGCCCAGAAGGGTGACGACGTGCCCCAGACCCCGCAGGCACCCTCCACCCCCACAAAATCCGTTCCAAATCTGTCCGGAAGTTCCCTGGAGTATATTCCAGGTGCACCAATACCCCAACAGCCCATGTTCCTGGCTAGTATCCTCAGTGCACTCCAGCTGGATCATATGAGACACCTCCACCAGCACTGGACCAACTCAGTCACCTCCAGTCTACCCTACATGGGTGCCTCCCTGACACAAGTGGTGACATCAGTTATTCACCAATTATGCTGCAATATTGAGCAGTTGGCATCGTACTACGTGCCCCAGGAGGGCCTGGGATTAATCAATGACCTGAGCTCTGTTGAGTGCTGTCTACCGGCTGACTACACAGTCACTCACCTTGAGGCCCTGACTTTTCTCCTCCAGTACTGCCTTCTGGACAGCTCCCAACAGATCAGTTTCTCCTTCAATCCACCGTTCAGTGGTGCCCTCCAGGCTGGGGTTCCTGGTGCCAATCCCAGTCAGATATTCAATAATCTCATTCACGTGTTTACACCAACACCTGTGGGTAATGAGTCCAATGTCAAGGATAAACCCAGTGAGCAGCATCTCCACGCCAGGAGAACAGCTCTGAGTCATCTCCCCAGGATAATAGCGTCTTTAGCTGCCCTGTGGCAGGCAGTCCTGGCTACGAAGGACAATGAACAGGCGAGTTGCGTTGTGGGGAGCCCCCGGGTCGTTAAGCATCAACTTCTGGAGCTGTTGTCTCCCATTTCCTTTCATCATGGGGTGAATTTTCTCGCTGCAATTGCTGTAGCTTGGCACGAGAGGAGAGGATCCCCCAGTGGAAAGAGAGTACTCCCTGAAGCCTGTGCTAATCAACAGGTGATGGTCGACCTGGTGAGTGCCATCAGGGTCATGCCCATTGATACCCTAGTGCAAACAGTCAATCAGGTGATAAAAACACCACCACCGATTCACGGTGTCAAGCAGGATTTCTCTCTAGAGGTGTCAGTCCTGGAGTTGCTGTACGTCTACATGCAGAGTAATTCCAATCAGTCGTTGGTTGAGTCCTGGGGATCACTTCTGGGTCTACTAAAAGACGGTTTATCCCTCACAGCACCAGCACAGTTTCTACTCCTGGCCATTCTCAATGAGTACATCCAGAAGTGTCCACCGATGCACGAGAAGAAGGACATCAGGGAGCTCCAGGATATATCAGCTAAACTCGTTGAGTCCTGCTCGCAAATCGCTGGCGCCTGTCTCGAGCAGACGACCTGGTTGAGGAGAAATTTAGCTGTCAGAGAGGACGTCGATGAGGGAAATAACGAGAGCCTTCCTGGTACACCGAATTCTGCATTCAGCGTTCAGGCACAGGGGGTCTTAGCTGAAATCCTGGCACCTCTTCTCGACGTAAGTTATGGATCCCAGGAGAAGGAGAGAGTTGTCACACTGCTGACGAATCTCATGTACAACGTGACTCCTTATTTGAAAAATCACACTGTCAAGAATATCTCCTCCTTCATCGCCTGCTCCCAGCTGCTGAGCTCACTCTCAGGTTATCAGTACACGAGAAAAGCCTGGAGAAAGGATGTCCTCGATCTTCTCCTGGATCCTGCATTCTTCCAGATGACAGCTGCATGTCTGCCCTATTGGAGAACAATTATCGATAATCTCATGACACACGACAACACGACGTTCAGGGATCTCATGAATCGTGTGTCGATTGCCCAGGGTGGTGGCATCAGTATATTCTCCTCCAAGGAGCAGGAGTACGAGCAAAGGGCCCAGCTCCTCAAGAGACTTGCTTTTGTCATTCTCTGCAGTGAGACTGATCAATATCACAAGTACATGCCTGACATTCAGGAGAGACTCGCTGACAGTCTGAGACTTCCCCAGGTCGTACCATCCATTCAGGCACAGGTTTTTCTGTGCTTCAGAGTTCTCCTCCTGAGGATGTCACCGTCACACGCCACTTCCCTCTGGCCCGTCATCGTCAGTGAACTCGTTCAGGTTTTTCTTCACATCGAGGAACAGCTCAACACTGACACCGAGGAGTTCAGGTGAGTTTTTCTGGGTTCAATGACATTGTCGGATGAAAAATCTCCGAGTTTTCGCTTCTGCATGGCTCTTCAGGGAATAATGCATTTGTCGGAATTGATTATTATTCTCACCATTTTAAGGTTAAAGTTATCCATTTTTCCATCTCGTCCTGCATTCCCCATTTTACTTTTATCTTTAGTAATGAATACTTCATCATTTATCAATAATAATTAATCATCGATTAATCATTTTCACGAGTAATTAAAAAGTAAGAGTTTCCGATTAGAGAAAAGAGAAAATATTTTTGGTAAAATCTCTTTTTTACATCAAATTATTTCCGATATCTCACGTATTCACGTCGATGATGATTCAATAAATAAAAAATGTACGTCAAAACCTCAGAATTAATTACCAATTGCTGCTCCTCTGTGTAATTAACCTTTCAATTAACTCCCAATTGCCTCTTTCAAGTGCTTTACCACTGCTTTTATCGCTTGGGTATTCGTAAAATTCCAATTAACTCATTATCTGTCTTCATCGATACCTAACAAAAAGAAAAGACCAATTAATCACGTGATGTTTTGTTTTATGGATCTGTTTTTGGCAAATATCTGCGGTGTTGGGGATGGCAGTCGTCAGAGCAGGTAATTAGATTATTTTAAATGGTGAATTCTTGGGTCGAGTGATGTTGAATGATTTGGTATAAATAACATGAAGAGCTTGTGTGATCCTGTTTTCTTCATTTTCATTATTTATTTAATTAATTATAAACAATTGAGGTTAAAAGGGACACACGATTCTGATTGACAGCTCTCATATTAAATTGCTGTCTGCGCTGGACTCTTCCTGGGCTGTCAATGCCAATAATGGTCTCCAGGCACATGGACATCCTCACTGGCTACAGCTGCAGTTGGCAGCTGCCAAACTGCTGGATCTGGCTCTCCTGCTGCCAGCTCATAAGCTGCCACAATTCCAGATGTGAGTGCATCAGAAGACAATTAGCAAAGAGATTTTTCGAGGAATTTCTCAGGATCTAAGAGAGATAGGGTAATTTTTGTTATGAACTTTTTTGTGGTGGGGAATGAGAGCTATAAAAAAGGTTATTACGAAAAATTCTCTATCTCTCTTGGATTCAGGAGAAAATTGACTTGTTGCTCTTTATTTCGTTGCTGGAGATTTATTTCAGATTTGTGGGATTTTTTAATTCATAAAATTTTTTTCAATCGATTTTAATCGATTCTGCAGGTATCGATGGGCCTTCGTGGGTGATGCAGCTGTCGGAGGACCCGAGAACAATAATCTATCGTCAGATTTCGTCCCGCATATTACGAGAATCGCAAAACTCATGGATCTGAAGGTGAGTCGATTCATCAATTCGGAGAATCCACACACCATGGATAATTAATAACTCGATGACTATCGATTCTATCGAAAAATGTCATAAAAACATATTTGTAGCTCGAGAAATTCTCCAGAAAAAATTCCTCTGTCATTCCCTTCTAGACCCCATAATTCCCCCAATAAATTCAGTTTTACCGAGATAAGAAAAATTATAAATATTTTAGAAAATAGATTTTGCCATATCATTTTGTTTCGCTTTTAAATTCGAATCGAGTCGACACATTGATCTGGATAAACGCACGTTCCACTCTCCTCATCGAGAACAAAGTCCTCTCTGCACTCACACCCACTTCTGCAAGGTGTATAACAGTCAACAGTATTTTTGGAGGTGCAGGTGAACTGACAGAGGCAGTGGGTCCAAAGAGATCTGTCATCACACCTCTTCCCCTCCTCGACAAAATCCAACTCGTCGTAATCATATCCAGGAATCCGATGCTTCGTATACTGATATTTCCTCTCCAATTCTCTCACCTCATCCTCAGAAACAATATAAAAATCATCAGGACCCCGAGCCTCGGAGATCCTGTCCTCAGAGATGGGAAAATCGTCGTAGTCCGAGTCATCTGTGTACTCTAAGAGAATAACGGATTAATTGGGGTCAATAAATGGGAATTGAAGGCACGTGTGTGACGAAATTAATGAATTCCACTCCCACGAGAGCGAATAAACACTTGTTGTTGTTTTTCCAAATAAAAATAATTACTCACGTGAATTAATGGCTGATGAGGTGACGATAATGAGAACAATTAGTGCAGTCTTATCCATTTTTATTTGATTGATCGATGGATTTGTTGGAAGTAACAGCTGACAGCCTCTCAATCCATCTGGATTCACTCGTACAATCCACTGGCATCGTAAGAATTACTGAAATCCTCGTCACGGTGTGTTCCTTACGCAGTCGAGAACAAAGACCGAGAGATTGGTTTACAAGTGTTGGCTATTTTCAACAGCTAAAAAACGATGAGTTGAGGAAAAGTCTCTTGGTACAGCTACCAGTTGTATATGACGAGTTTATTTCTGTATCTCAGCCAATAACTCTTCATTCGCGACAATTTCTTTCTCCCATGTCACTTCCTGGTTTCAAAAATATTCGACAATAATTCGATACAATTCGATTCAATTTCATTCAATTCCATTCATCAGTCCATTTAATTTTCGAATTTCTTCAACAAAAAGAAAATAGAATTGCGTTTATTCTTGAATAATAGTTATAATTGAATGCAGTTCGTTTGGAGTTTTATTAATGATTCTTTAATTATTGATTTTTAATTGTTGCAGTTCAAGGAGAGTCCTCCAGTACAGGTGACCCCAGGCGAATTGATCCTCACGTCTAATCGCATTCGTTCCCTTCAAGATCTTCACAATTTCTTCTCGACTTTGAGCTGCAGATCGAATGACTCGGACGCACCTCTCAATATTACTCAACTGGAAACTGTCATCGAGCAGGACTTCCTGGAGATGATGCCGACAGTTCCAGCTAGATAATAGGGGAGAATAAACGATCGTACATTTGTATAAACAATCTCGACGACATGCTGGTAATGTCCTCTCGCTATTAATTGATAATCGATAATTATTTTGTCACGGGATTGAATTGAGAGGGAATCGTTGGTTTGTATTTAAATACTGATAGTGCCATCGGATTTTTTTTTTGCTACTCTCGTATCTGGCACTCGTATTTATTCGTAATTATTATTAGTTGTAAGTTAGTCAGGAAAAATCGTTTAGTGGAATTATGTAAAGCTTCCCACTCGTCTCCTCATTCGGTTGTGAATAGGTATTTGGATGATCCATCGGGGATATCGTCCGGTTGGTTATGGTGGGGAGTTTTCGCATGTGGGAATAAAATCAATTTATCGATTCTTAAAGGTCTATTCATATTTTTGCTATTGGAATTTAAATAATATCTCGGGGTGTGTGTCGGTATGGGATTTATCGCGGAAACTATCGATTTCTTGAGGAATTACTAGAGGACTTTTTTGGAGGTCATTGAATTCTGAAAAAAAAAGGTCTCTTCATATTTTCTCCTAAAATCAATAGTTTTAGGTTTTTTAATTAAAGAGCGATGGGGTAAAGGGTGACGAGGCAATTAACTTTAAATCCTTGCTGAGTTTTTGGGAAATATCTCGCGATTTGAATGAGATCGCGCCATTTTTCATAGGACCTTTTTTAGAGAACGTAATGAGAGCTGGAGAAAAGGTCCTGACGAAAATCTGGTATCTGCCTCAGATCCAGAGATAGTTTATAAAAACTTCCGGTATTCTTGTTGTAGTTTACCTCTTGGCGAGGGAATTTTCCCATAATTTTTTTCTCATCGTGCGAATTTTCCTCGATAGAATAAAGTAAATATAAAACAGGAGTATCCATATAACAATCGATACATAATAATCATCGTCAATAATGTATAACATTTTGTATACATGTGCACCTGTCAATTCATGTAAATGAACGTCTGTTATCTTTTGTTTTGATAATGTAATTTTTTATGGACATTGGAGATTGTAATCGAAGGATGATTGATTATTTTTCTACACGTGAGTCAGTGAAATGATGGAATATTCGAGGCGCATATCTAATTTTTAGATAATTAATTTATTAATTGCACGTCGAAGTGGTCAACTGTGATTAATTAAGGAAAATGTTTTTCCACTTCGATGGAGAATTCTTTTAGTCAATTATAAATCAACATCCTCACACTGTCTTGCCCCAATTGAAGACTGAGGGGTTGGATCTATCGCAAAAATTAATTTTACACCTGCGTTATAACCTGTTGCTGATAAGAATAATTTAATATTAATTGCGATCCTGTGCAAGAGTCTGTAAATTATCTGACGCTTCCTCTGTATGAAATTAATTAAGTAGAATTGATTTATTGTAATGAATACGTGGAGAAAACGAAAAGTGCATTAATATAAAAATTATTTAGTCTAATGGATCAATCTCGTATGAACTAATGGAGAGAATAAAGAAGAAAATTGGATTCTTGCCCGTAACAAATCAATTTATTCTACAAATCCTCACCAATTACTGATTAATTAAATTATTATGAATTATCTATTAAAAAATAGAATTTCATAATTTTCAAATGAATTGCGAGTCGAAACCTGCGCACGCGCTGGTTCAAGTGGAGATTTTCAATTCTTCAAAGAAATTGTTTATAATTTCAACTGCAGAATTGAATTATCTGTATTAAATAATTATTCAGGCCGGTTCAATTAATTGTGTATAAACTCCAGATTTATTTTCATTTATTCCATGAATTTCTGGTTGATGAAGACGTCCTGGGGCTAGACCTAACCTCGAGAATAAATTTCCAGCTCTCCAGATGATTGACATCCTGGAAAATTGATTCCCGTCCCTAGGAAATCGTCGGATTAATTATTAACGAGTTGATGGCGATTTGTAATTGAATTTCGAGTTCATCTGTGAAAGAGTTAAAATCGATAGTCAGTGGGGATTAAGGTAAGAGGCGCACGCGTTGGAGTACATCTGGTACTGACGCACGTCAATTCTCATGGTTGGATTATTCTACTGTTTCATTGTCCAGGTGAATAAATTTCCAGAGGATTCATCAGGTACTGGAGTGAATTTATGGCTTGCAAGAGGGCTAGGGTGTACCTGGGGTTCGAGGATGAATTCGTCACCGAGAAGCATCGAACCCTTGTGAATTTCGCGACGAATAAAATAGGGGGAAAGGCGGTGAGTGAATATTCCATTCCTCCAACAGTTTTAATCCATTCCCCAGTTCATTCATTCTATCAATTTATTTTAATTACCAGAATAACTGATGCCCCATTTTCTGAAATAATTGTCAAATATTTTCAGGATTTTCCAACGACTGAGACTTCCCTGACACCTCCAGGATGTCGTCTCTGCGGTTTGAATCAACTTCTGGCACTTCAATTGTACGCCCCTCTGGAGGGATCTCGTTATCACAGGACTCTGTACATCTTTACGTGCATAAATCCCAACTGCTGGAGCCAGCAGGACAGCTGGACATGTGTGCGTGTCCAGTTACTCGAGGAGAAGAGTATGAAAGGATGTGAGACAGTGCCAGTGGCAACACCACCAACCACCAGCTGGTTGTCAGGTGCTGATGACTGGGGTGACGATGGGAATGACAATAATTCAGAGCAGAATGGCAACAACATGAACGACTCGACAAAATTAAATTTGTTGATGAATACCGGGGACATCGACGATGAATTGAGGGATGACCTGTCGAATCTGAGGGTCGACGATCCCAATGCCAACAGCCCAGCGAGTGTTGAGTCTCCAGTGGGAGGAGGAGCTGTTGGAAGACTGGATTCACCTCAGGTACTTCCTCTGTAATTAATCAATTAAATTTTTGATTAATTAATGAATTTCCAGGCATCAGCAGAGATCGAGGGAGAGGAGTCAGAGGTGGTGTGCATTGACACCCCGACCCAGCCCCAGTGCAACTTGATGGATCTTCTCCAGGAAGTAACTCACAATCCTTTCCAGCATCACGATCCCAATACTCCAGTGAATCTAGCGTTCACTGAGATATTCCTGTGGGTGGAGGAGGAGGACCTCTCTGTGGACATCACCCAGCACGAGAGGGATCTCGCCAGAGAGTACCAGATGCATCACCCGGAGTCCGAGGGCTCTGAGGATGTAAGAGCAGTGGATACAAATCCAGAAGTTTATGAGAAGAGTGTACCCAAGCATGGGGACGAGATGTTTCATCACTTCAAGTGTAGAATACAGAAGAATCCTGGACAGCTCATCAGGTACTCCAGGGATAATTCTGCTGCACTCCTTCTGAATCCTCTGAGCTCCTCTGGATTCTGCAGACACTGTGGGGCTGAGAGGATTTTCGAAGTTCAAGTTCTTCCAACAATCATTCCAAAACTCAAACTCACTCCGATGACTGATCACCACTTCCAGCTGGAATTTGGAACTGTTTTAATTTTCACGTGCTCCAGGAGCTGCTGGACCTCCAGCGATGAGTTCAAGGAGGAGCACGTGGTCGTCCAGGCTGAGAGATTATAATTTAATTGTGTAATTTAAAAAGAATTTCAGCATTCCAGAATTTAGAACTTCCAGGAATTCTTTTCATTCGCATTAGTCCGTCCGATAGACGCATTTGCTTTTCAAAGTGGCCCGACGGAAATGGAGGATTATCTCGGGAGGGAGTGGATTTAGAGGGAAATGCCTGAGGAAATATTTGTAGCTGAGAAAATTCTACACAGAAAAGTCCTCGGGCAGTTTAGCCTCAGTCCAGTCGTTTGAGAGATTATTGAGCTGTTCTCACACGTTTTGCCACTTAATTACGACTAAAGTACAACAGTTGAACTGTTTTAAATTTATCAAAATGATTACGGGAATTAATTATCTGATGGGATTGAATAATTTTCGGATGGGGTTTGACCCCTGGGATGATACGAGGCCTGAGAAATCAAATTTTACTAGTCAATAAACGTTTTATCTCATCGAACGTTCGATCCAGTGGAGAGATGGCGATTATCATGGAATTATCTCGGCAGAGAGTGGATTCTCAGAAAAACCTTGAAGAACTTTTTTGTCGGAAATTTCGTGGACCACAAAAAAGATTATGTGACACTTTTTCCTACGGCTGCTCGTTGCTGAGATTTTCACCACTTCCTTACTGATTCCACAGCTCAGTGCAACTCGTCTCGATTTTTTAGATGTAAATAGTAATAAATGAGGAGAAAATCGTCCAATGTTGTCATTTACTCATCTAGGAATTACCAATTATGAATAAATCATTCGATAGTACAACACGAGACTTAAAATTCTCTATTTTTACTAATTCCCAAAATAATCCCTCAATTTTTCAATGAAAAAATTGTCAATTGATTTTCAAATTGATATTTAATCCTTAAAAATTTAATCCTGTACAATATTATTATATTCTATATAATTGAATCCTCTAGGAGAAGTTCCTGGCGAGAGGATGAGTGAGGAAATAACCATTTTTCTCGAAGACCCCATTGGAGATGTCCTGGAGGATGACATCCCCATTTATCCACTCATTGTCCTCCAGCTGGTCAGCGAGTTTTTTCATTCTCTCATAGAGTACATAACCGTACACCTGGGTGAGATACACCTCCTTCTCGGCGTCCCTCATCCCGAGGCAGTACGACCTGTTGGTCCTGGCGAGGGTCGCCGATATAACAAACAAATAGGAGGCGAATTCCGCGAGTCTCTTGTGAGTAACTGACTTCTCGAAGATGTCCCTGCCATGAATAATCGAGAGTCTCTCAACGCAATCCTTGAACCTGGCAATTCCATGTGTGAGGACATCAGCTGTTGGTTGGAGTGATGGATGAAGATTGTCTGCGATGTAGAGATCCTTGGTCTGCTCCCACCCGAATACCTTCTTGAGGACGTACGTCGGATTATTCCAGGGATTCCTCTCGATTTTCACTTTCTCGTAGGTAAGATCCCCAGAGTGCTGTAGCCCCAGCAGAGCCATGAATGAACTGGTGCTCAGAACGGTACCGTCAGCTGACATGAGGGAGACAGCGTCCCTGAAGAACTGCTGGAACAGCTGATTCTTCAGCTGTGACGTAATCCCGACGAGCTGGAGACCCTTCAAAATTCCCTGGATGCACTCCTCCGAGCAGAAAGTCTCCACAATGCACTTCTCCATGTCGCAATCCTGGTTCTCATAATTATCAATCATTCCACACGTCATGTATACGATACTCTCCATTGCGTAGATTGCCCCGCAGGCCCTCCCCACCACGTCCTGGACCACTTGATTCTTGAACTTCAGGGCGTTGAAGTCCTTGTTGCTTTTTATGTGGTGTACAACCAGCTGCAGGAATTTTTTCGTGATTCCTATGGCCTGACACCCCAGAAACTGTTTCCCCTCGCCGTAGATCTTCGGGAAATTCCGGCCTGCATCACCGACGGAACCCACCAAGTTCTCCAAGGGGATCTTCACGTCTGTGAACGTCACGTCGCAGTTCTCCAGCCCTCGGAGACCTACGGTATCCACTGGGGGTGATATCGTGATCCCTGGGGTGTTTGTCTCCAGGAGAAAGGCGGATGACGTTTCCTCCGGGCGGAAGCTCTTACCTGGAGGGAACAAATTCAGTTTTTAAAAGAATATTTTGACAATTTGATTATTTTAAATTCTCACCAGACTCCGCCACCTCGCAGACGATGAGCATCAGATTGGAGCGTTTACCATCGAATACGAAAGTCTTCTTCCCATTGAGAATGTAGAATCCCTCGCAATCAGACAACCTGGCGTACGTAAAAATCGTTGAATCAGGTGAACCCTCGTCATTCTCACTGATGCAGGCAGTGGATGAGAGTTCCCCACTGGCAATTCCAGGTAGAAATCGTGCCTTCTGCTCCTCCGAGGAATTCTCGATGATAAACTGCACAGCACTCCTCTTCTTCACGAGGTACGTCCCCAGTACAGGAACAGCTGACACCGTCTCCACGAGTTTTCCAAATTCCGAGGTATTGAGCCCTAGGCCTTTGTACTCATCGGGCACCATCGCTCTGAAGATCCCCAGGTCCCTGAAATTATCTAGAATCTCCTGGGGAATTTCCCCGGATGCGTCGATTCCACCGATGTCCAGGGTGGCGACGTAATCCTCGATGGGCTTCAACCATTCGAAGAATTCCCCATGACGTAGCGTCGTCTGGGGAACGGGAATTGCCGCAAATTCCACGTCGTACTTCCCCAGGAAGAAATTCTTGACGAAGGGCTCGCGTTGCTCCTGTTTCTCCTTGTGTTCTGATAACCTCAATTCTTGTTGAGACAACGACAACCGGGGATTCAGCTCCGTTGACGATGACCTGGTGGGGATCACCACCCTGGACAACTGCCGGAGATTAAATCGGAGGGACAGACTCTGTCTCAGCATCTTCAGGAGTTTTTCTTTTTCACGGACTCACGGGATTTATAAACACACAACTCCAGGCGAAGTCATGCCGTACGTCGATGGCATGAGCCACTGATAAATAATTAATTACATAACGCAAAAAAATGATTAACAAATCATTATCTCTTATTTATTAATCTTTTTTAATTCCTCAATTAACAACAATTACCATTTATTCGATTGTGGAAATTTTATTTAATTCGAATTCAACATTTTGATCGGGCCGTTTGAAAGTTTCCGCCATTGAGCGCCGAGCAACAATGAGAAATTAAAAATAATAATAAAAAAAACCGTGAAAATTGCAGAAGAAATTAATGTACTGAAATATTCTGGCTATTCGAATTGATAAATTATGGATAATGAGTAATTACTCATTGCCAATAATAAGTAAAGGGGGGAGGGGTAATTGTTATTTATTATTTTTATGTTGGCAGTAGTGGGTGCGCCTGGATGGTCGAGAAGACGCGCTCGTTGTGTACGTATTCGTGTGTTTAACCGTTTGTTTATCGATAATTGACGGAATAAATCAAGTGTTTGTGATAAAATGATAACCTGGAGTCGACCCTGACACCGCACATCATAATAACAGAAGGTAACGACGAGTAACTGGAGGAATTGGTGAGAAATTCATGATTTTAACATGTAACCGCCAAAACTCCAGTCATAGACGCCATCTTGAACGTATTTGTTGACAATTCTGAGAATCGAGCAACACCATATTGATGTTCAAAACATTCATCACTTCCTGGGGGTCGTGGGGCCATCATCTCCAGGGGTTCAATTCCACTGGTGATTATCCGGTATCGAGAGCCCTGGGAGAGTCTTTTGTTTGTGTTGATAACAACAGCCGATGGATCTGTTATTTTTATTGTTAAATTGTGTCAGTTCACGAACACCCTGGAGACGATGTTGATGGCTTACTGCCTCCTGGTTTCACATTTCTCTTCTATTCGTTCACTTCCTCGTATCCGCACTCACACATCCCGCAAAAATCTCTCGTCGTTTTCCTCTGGTGCCCGAGCAATTCCTGAAAGCAATCATTCACATCATCTCCTGGACGATCTCTTGAATTCGTGGAGAAACTTCTATGGATAAAGTGATTGTCCAGAAATCACCATCTCCAACGCATCCAATTCCCTCTTTCTCTTGAGGAATTGAATAATTATTTACTTTTCACGGAATCCTGCAGGACCTCGGACTGACCCAAAATGTTCTACGCGCACTTTGTCCTCGCGAAGAAGGGACCGCTGGCGCGTATTTGGCTGGCGGCCCATTGGGACAAAAAGCTGACAAAAGCCCACGTATTTGAGACGAATATCGAGTCGTCAGTGGACGGTATACTCCAGCCAAAAGTGAAGATGGCCCTGCGAACGTCTGGACATCTTCTCCTGGGAGTAGTGAGAATCTACTCGAGAAAAGCCAAGTACCTTCTGGCGGACTGCAACGAGGCATTTGTCAAGATTAAAATGGCCTTCAGACCAGGAATGGTGGATCTTCCTGAAGAGCACCGAGAGGCGGCAGTTAATGCCATAACCCTCCCCGAGGTATTCCATGACTTCGACACACCGATGCCCGAGCTCAAGGACGTGGACATCGAGGCGCAGTTCAGCTTGAATCAATCACGAGCTGAAGAGATCACGATGAGAGAGGACTACGGGAATCTATCTCTGGTCACTCACGATCAGGGATTTGGTGACATGAGTTTTGATGGTGAACCTCCAGAGCTTTTGCGTCATGGGACAACGATGGAGCCACCCCTGGACCATGGGCACATGCTCTTCAGTGATGGCCCGAGCATCGATTCGACTCTAGAGCAGAAGGAGAAAGAGCCAGTGCCAGGTACGTCATCGACGCAGCCAATGGACATCGACACGCCCATCAGGGATGATGGATTTGGTGGACACCTGGGGCAGGATATAATATCAGGTGGACTATTCGAGGGTGGTCTTTTCGATGAGACACCGATGGGAGAGGTGCCAGTGCCAGAGTCCACTGGTATATCAGAGACACCAGGTACATCACTACCGACACCGGCAGCTCCTCCCTCCGAGGAGTCTGACGACGACATGGGTGATCACTTCGGTGGTCCACCATCACCAATGGGAGGAATGAGCAGCGATGGCTCGAGACCGACGTCTCCGGCTGTCGGTGGTGATGAAATTGGTGGTAGGGCGAGTGTTGCCAGTCACCGATTTACCCCAGCACCACCAATAATCCCCGAAGAGGTGCTCAATCACATAGAGGAGGCAGCACCACTTCAGGATCAAACGACACTACTTCACGACGAGGAGGAGAGCTTTGCCCTTGCACCAGTGGACGCATCAGCCTTGAAGGGCTTCACCAAAGCCAAGCGTAAACGTAAGCTCATCGTCGACGAGGTGAAGAATATATCCGGTGAGGAAATGAAGGCACAGCTGTCTGATACATCTGATATCGTGACGACCCTCGATCTGGCACCACCGACTAAACGACTGATGCATTGGAAGGAGACCGGAGGTGTTGAGAAGCTGTTTGCATTGCCAGGAAGATCAATACCAGCTCGAGTGCTGTTTAAAAATTATCAGAAGCATCTGACGAGTAAGTCGTACGATCACGAGGACTTCGGGAGGATTCAGGAGGACGAGGGACTGCCCCTGGAACAGATGAGAGATGCACCTGAGGAGCAGCCAGTGCTGGATCAGTCGTCGATTGGTAAGAGGCTGTCGAGAAAGAGGAAGGCACCTGCTGACGAGGAGGCCAATGTCTCGGGGATGCCTGGAATGGAGGAGCAGCCCCTGGAGCACGAGCCTGATGTACCACCTGCAACACCAGCACCCGAGGAGACACCAGTGCATCATGAGATGAGTATGCCTGCTGAGCCCAGTGTTCCAGAGATGAGTGGGAGTCTGATGCAGTCTGAGGTGCCTGAGGTATCTGGCATTGAGCCTGAGCCACATCCTGAGGGAATCCCTGTGGTTCCGGAGATACAACAGATGTCGCAGATCTCGCAGATGCCACAGACTCCGGGGATTCCACAGGTGTCCCAAGTACCACAGACGCCAATGATACCAATGCCACAGATGACAATGCAGATGCCACAAGTTCAGGCACCGCAGATACCTCAGATACCCCCTGCACAGGTGAATGATCTCCTGGGGTCACAGGGGCATGAGGACAGAATGGAGAGTGACTTTGGTGAGACTGGAATGCCACAGATGGAGAACATGGGGTACGACAGGGATCATGGATTCATTGGTTACGATGATCAGCATCCACTGGCGCACACACCTGCTGGATCTGAGAGGGGACCCACGACACCCTGGGCTGAGGACTACGAGTTTCCACCTTCTGTCGGACCTCAGGAGGAACAACAAGTCGATGAAACTTATGAGCAGTTCGAGGAGAGGGTTCTCAATAAGAGGGCTGCTCACATGTATCACGTCATCAAGAGCAAATTCGATGGCAAGGATAGACTGACACTCGCGGAGATGGCGTACAAGAACTCCAGAAAACAGGTAGGAAATTCATGGATGTCGATTGAATTGATTGAATGGCTCTTTGGAAATAGTAAAATGCATTTTGAAAAATATTATTTTAGGCTGCCCAGAAGTTCTACACTCTTCTGACGTTGAAGAAATTTCAAGTGTTGGAACTCTCCCAGGAATATTCATACGCTGATATCGTGGTGACCAAAGGACCCAAGTGGGACAATCCATCGTTGTAAAAAGAAAACCAAAATCGCCACTGTTTTATTCGATTTTTATAATTGTTCGTCGGTGGAACCAGGAGTCACGGTTAGAAGAAAAAAAAAAATAACTTGGGGAGTACATATTTATTTCACTGTATTTTTCTTTCGTATCATTATGATTGAATAGATATAAGAAAGAGTATATTTCTATGAGAAGAACAATTAGAATTAAGTGACACTTGTTTTTCTTTTTTTTTTCTTTACTGAAAAATAGTGCGACATGTTTTTTCTTTCGCTGTCGAGCGATTCTAGTGAGTAAATGAAGTGCGCGAGTGAGTGAGATTATTCATCACTTTTTCTATGGATAAATTACTGAAGGGAAGTGGTTAAATTTTTATTTAAAAAAGCGAGAGTGATAGTGGAATTTTTTATTTGCAGAAAATATCGATTTGAATTATTCTTTTTGATTTTGTTCGTGATTCAAGAACAATGACAATTACCTTAGATGAAGTATTGACTCGATTTTAGGGATATTTTCTGCAAAGATAATATTCTGGGGAGAAGTGACAGGTATCGAGGGATTTTTCATGCCCTCGATTTATTTGTCGGAATTAATTAACAACTAAATCAATTAGACACTTTAATCAAAGATGCCTTCGAGAGGATTTTCAGCGGATAGATCTGTTTCCCATTTCCTGCATTTTTTCATCAAAAATAGAAGAAGAATTGATTATTCATCTGGAGGGGGGGATTTGATCCCTCGACGAAGAACAATCGATTGATCTGGGAGCGATGGAGGAATGCAGAAGTAAAAATCAAACGGTTGATGAAGAAATAGTTAATAACAAGACGATTAATCCCTTCTGTGTCCCTGAGAATTTGATTAAAAATAATAAGAATATCGTTACATTTGAATTGATTTATATGAATGTATGTAAAATAAAATTATGATGCTGTATCTCCGCCTTAAATACGACTACTAATTAATCCCCGAGTTCAATTAAAGTGAATTGTACAGGTTTTTCGTGAAAAAAAGCTTTTATTCGTCATTTGTGAAGTCTTACACAAATCGATGATTTATACCAGACCGATAATTCGTGATAAATTAATTCTATTATCAATGGATAAATGCGCGTTTGATCAATTTAATAGTGAGTGTTAATATGCAGAAGTAATACATAATTCAGGGAAGTAATAATATTCAAAATAAATCTTCAGACTGTTAGACATTTCTCACTGAATTTTTGAGTAATTTTTCTCATTTAAAATTGAATTGAAGTTCATAAATACAGAATTATCTCGAAAATGGCCGACAAGAGGGGAAATTGTGAGAGGACTTTTTTTCTGGGTAATTAAATTACCTGAATTAAAATTCTCTGACATTTTCTCCTGGAGGATGTACTTTCTGAGATAAATCCGTATTTATGAAGAATTCCGGATCTGTGAGCCCAAAAATTCTGGAAAGAATGTTCTAACAGATTTCACCTCTTGAAAAATTATGATTAATTAACTGATTTAGCCCTCGAGTTCACCAGCAGCATAGGCATCATTATAGGATTTGCCTCCCTTTTGTTCAGGATCGAGTTTGATCATGTCATCGATTCTGAGGATTGTGATGGCAGCCTCAGTAGCGAATTTGAGTGATTTAATTTTTGAGATGGTTGGCTCGAGCACTCCAGCTTTTTTATTGTCCCTGACAGTGCCTTCGATTAAATCAAGACCTACCCACTTGAGATTGGCATGATCAACAGTTGTCTGACTGGAGTTGTGATAAGCCCTGAGTTTGGCGACGAGATCAGTGGAGTCCTGAGCAGCATTGACAGCAAGAGTCTTGGGAATGACCAAAAGGGCACGAGCAAATTCAGCAATTGCCAGCTGTTCCCTGGATGACAGAGAGGTGGCAAAATTCTCGAGGTAAATGGAGAGTGCAGCCTCGACACAGCCACCACCAGCCACCACGCTCTTACTCTCGAGGACTCGTTTCACCACGCAGAGGGCATCGTGCACTGATCTCTCCATCTCGTCGCAGTAGTAGTCATTGGGTCCCCTGAGGATGATGGAGGCAGCTGTTCTGGCTTTGGGGGATTTTATGAGGATGAGCTCGTCATCGCATAACACCTCCTGGACAACCTCCGCTGCTTCCCCCAGGAAGCTCGGCTCAAAGCTCTCATCACCCTCCATGTTGGTGAGGGAAGTGAGAAACTGGGCACCAGTGGCTTTGGCTATTCTCTTCAAGTCTGCCTTTTTGCATCTTCTCACAGCCATTGCCCCAGCCTCGACGAAGTACTTCAGGCACAGATCGTCGATTCCACCTGTCAGCAGAATGACATTTGCACCTGCTGATATTATTTTCTGGATTCTTTCCTTGGTGATGTCGATCTCCCTCTGGCGCACAGCATCCAGCTTCTCGGGATCTGTTATCAAAACTTCAACACCAAGTTTCATCTTTGTTTTTTGAAGGGAGAAGTCCAGGCACGCGATTTTAGCGTGGATTATCTTCTTGGGCATGGCCTGGGAGGCAACAGTGCAGTTCAGGGCGTACCCCTGCACCAGGATTGACTCACGAACGCTCTTTCCATGGGCCTTGAGAATATTGACGGCTTTGATGGGATACAGATGCCCACCCTTTCCATCGTTCACCTTCACAGCATTTGCAGCATCGACGACGATATTCCCGAAGAAATTGGCGTCAGCCCCGATGATTTTCGAAGACATCGAGGTCTTGGCGACGTTGACGAGACAGTCCCTCCCCAATTCATCGACTGAGACTGTCAGGTGCTCCTGGATGTACTTGCATGCCTCCTTGCAGGCTAGTCTGTACCCAGAGATTACTGACGTGGGGTGGATCTTCTGTTTCACCAACTCATCGGCATTCTTCAAGAGCTCAGCTGAGACAATGACAACTGACGTTGTACCATCGCCCACTTCCTCATCCTGGAGCTGCGCCAGCTCCACCAGGACTCGAGCTGCTGGATGCTCCACCTCCAGAAGACGTAAAATCGTTGCTCCATCGTTCGTTACAGTGACATCCTGGGAATCGCAATGTCAAGAGGTCATGAAATCTTATAATATTGGAAAAGAATTGTTGCTTCATCCAGATACTCACACCAATGTCGTCCACCAGCATTTTATCAAGGCCCACAGGTCCCAATGAGCTCTTGACGATGTTGGCAATGGAACAAGCTGCCATGACTGCAAAATAAATGGTGAAATCATTGAATTCGACGAATTAGAGGTTAGTATTAACCCAAAACTCACCGTTTTGTGTTCTCACTGGTGCTCCTGATTGTCTGGATCCACCAACAGCCAATGCACTAGCGACTGTCGACATTTTTCTCTTGATTCGATTAATTAATCACCGGGAAAAATCAATCGGATTATTTTATTTTTCGGAATTAACTCAATGCAACACGCGACGATCGAGAGCGTGATTTCACTGCACCGAAATTTTCGTCTTCTCTCTGGGGAATTTCTATTGGTCGACACTAAAAATTCATCCGCAAAGATCATTCGGGATTGGACGATAATTTCACATATGATTTGTAAGGGTGTGTGAGTGCCGGCATAATTCAACGATTTTTTAAACAATTTTGTTGCTCACGAGTACTGGAAAATAATTGGAAATGTATATTCTTGGGTTTTGATTGGTATAGGCGATTTTTAAGGGGAAATTCGGGTTTCCGGTGCGGAAATTCTCGAGAGTAATTGCTCATTCATTTCCTGGCCTTATATGGACATGTCGAATGTTCCTGAAGGTTTTTATATTCATTTTTTTTCATGATTTTGTTTCTTTCCTCGCCCTTTAAATTCTTGTCATCGAATAATAATTAAAAAAGGATAAAATCGTGGGAAAATCGATTATAAATTGAATACATATTTATTTATTATGTACAGTATTCTCCGGGAGAATATTTGATACAACTAGTAAATAGAAGAGAGTGGGTTTGACCCTTTTTAACTAAATGAAATAGTTTTTTCTGCTATAATTAATCTTTCTGAGGCGATTATTTACTAGAATTTTTCCCCAGAAATTGGGCAAACTTCGGGGGCTGGATGTACCCAGGTCGGGCCTCCTCGGGTGTGACTATTATATGGAAGACTCTGTAGTATTCCAGAATGTTTTCTGTAAATGAAAAACGGTTTAAGATAATTCTGAGTAAATTCAGCAGAGAACTGAGACAGATTGAATTCTCCCTCTATTAATTATCGATTTATCTCGAAGGCTATCGATTTTATAGAAAACTGCTACAGGACTTTTTTGTGGATAATTAAATTTCCGATGAAAGAAGTCCTGTGATATTTTTTCCGACAATCAATTGTTTTCGAGATATCGCTGATTGAAGGGAGATCGACTCACCCACGTCTTTCTGATTTAATTTGTACTGCTTAGCAATTGTCTTCGCGTTATTTAACTCAGGATCAGTGATGTTGTCAGCCATGAACTTTAACGCATCTTTTAGAAGGACTTTTCCTTCCTGAGCTTTTTCAGGCTCCCAAAACCCATAATCCCATTCTTTAGATCCCTTCGTATTTTGTGGCAATGATTTTTCTGATTTTTGTTGGTCATTAGCCTGAAATTACAATTTTCATCAGTTAATTAATAATAATTCAATAGTATCTAATTAATTATCATTCTATTTAATAGAGGAATTCTCTAGAATTCGACTAGAAGTTCAAAATAATCTTGAGGGAAAGCCCAATATTTTTCTATAGAATTTTCAGTAAAAAAATGAAACTGAAACCGTTTAAGAAATAAGAAAAGATTTTTGACTCACGAACTGGACGTTGGACGTCACGAAAATCTGTTTCAATCGATCCTGAAACACTGGATCTTGTTTATAATGATTGTCCATGAATTGGGGATCAACTGAAAGCCAAAAAATTTATTAAAACTCCATTATAAAAATATTTGAACTATAAAATGATCTTTACTTTGATCAGCGATTTCGATCTGCTTTGCAGTGGATGGATAACTCGGGGCTGGAGTCGGTTTTTGCTTGCTGATAACTTTTTGTGCTCTTTCTGTGACATTATATGTCTTCGCAGTCTTTACTATCTTTGATGTAACAATCCCCATTATCACACAATAATTAAAAATCCTAATTAACGAGATTTACACGTGATCATGCAGTTGGTCGTCTTAGGTTATGAGTTTTATGACTCGATTCACTTTTTTTCTCCACAAAAAATTAATAATCGATTCACCTCCAATTATCCTAATTACCGAAATTATCATTGACTGATAATTAAATGGAATTGAATCGCGAAAATGAGAAAATTCGAACGATTAGGGATGAAAAAATAAAATGTTTTCGTGCTGCTGCCACCGGTGATCAATTGAGATTTCAAATTCCTGAAAATTCATTTTCATTAAGATTAAATATTATTTCTGCATAAATTCCTTCATTATAAAAATAATTAATTAATTAATTTCTGCATTTTAAACAATTATTTTGAAAACACGTAAAAACATTTGCAAATATTACTGCAATCGTACTAAATCACTTTAATTTTAATTCTCTTTTTAATTCTCAATCACAAATCACCTGGGAATAATAAATAAATAATTATTAATAACAAAATATTTGAATATTCAATTATTTCTGCAGGAATCGACTGTCGCTGGATTTTTATTGGATGATGCTGCCACCAGATGACAGCTCCACGAACTCAAATCAACGGAAAACACTCGGGAGCCAGTGGCAGACAATAATTGTCTTTTGACAACAATGTGACAGTTGACGGCTGTCAATTGTCCTGGATAATTGATAAATCAGTGTAAAAAATGTGGAACTGGAGATATGCAGTGATTGTCCTGGGAATTCTGGTGGAATCGTGTGTTGGATCTCGAAGAATCGTGAGTTGTCAGTCATTATCAATCATTTGAGGGGACAATGAGATAATTCATGTGCCAAAGGTCATCGATTTTCCTTTGTTTTCGGTGGAATAAGTGTTTATTGTCTCGTGGTGTTCGTGATTGATGGGTAGTGTTTTTCGGATGACCTTGAGGCGTTGTTGTCATGGATACGATTGTCCACAAACAGCTGACTTACGCCCCCTTTTCCGGGAATGATGATCATGACGAATTCACCGATGACAAAAGAATTTACTGGCTTTTATCCTCTTTTTGTTTATCAATTGAAAAATTAAAATTATCAGCAACTGGCAGCAGATGGCACAATAAAAAAATATCAATTAGTGATTAGTGGGAGAATTATCCATTAATTATTGATGAGTGATGAATGAAAAATAGAGGAATTGGATAAATGAGAATGTTTTATGATTTTTGTAATGGATATTCATGATTTTTCAGTTGTTTTCGGAGCTGAATCCGGGTTGTGGTGCCAAATGCACGGAATTAAATGTTACGACCTTTTATTTGAGAGCTCAGGGGCCCAACGATACTCTCCACTATCTATGGGACTTTGTCCAAAGGCCTGGGATACTTTTGGCTGTCACTGCCAATTCTGTCAAGTTAAATATCAGTTGGGACGACTATTTAATTAATCAGCCGAAGTCTATAAGTTTTACTCAGGAGCCTGTCTACACGTTTGGGGTTTCTATTGAAAAGGTCTGACTTCATTCCTTTGTTAATTGTTTATTCCCCTTGAATTCTTGTGGCGAGGACTAAATATAAACAATTTAAATTCAAAATTTTTCTTAATTATCGATGTATCTCGAGACCTGTGGATTTCAAGGAAAAATACTGAGGAACTTTTTTCTAGATCATTGAATTTCCAAGAGAAAAGAATTTTTGAAGTTTTCTTTTAAAATCGATGGTTTTCGAGGTAAATCGATAGTTATGAATCTTTTTATTTCATTTCACGTGAAAATAAGAGAATAATAATTTCAGGTGCTCGAATTCGATGATGCGAATGATAACGGTCACGTGGACACTGTTCCTGATGAGAAGGTCAATATCCTGAGGCCAGAGAATTTTGTCTGGTCTCGTAAGAGCGAGCAGGGTAACGAGAATTTCGTGGAGCTCCATATGAACGGAGAAAATTACTACGACCCAATGAAAAATATTTCGAGACGTGGAAACATTCGAGTGGTGGTAATAAAAATTCTCAACTGTTCAAAAAAAAAAATATATCGAGCTCTGGAAAAAGCTCTGGAAAAATTCTGGAGAAGAAATACTGCAGTGAAAATATTAATTTCTGCTTCAGCTGAACGGATTCTGCAGTCTGGAGCACTCGGATGTGATGCCCCACATGTTGCACTCTGAAAATTCAACCCAAGTAGATTTTATAATAGAAAATTTAGAGCCTAACAAGACATTCACGAGGAGTAGATTTGGAATGGAGCTGCTGATCGTGAGCCAAGAGAGTCCCCAGGTCCCAATGTCTATTGATTTCAAGAAAAGTTTGGACGATGAACACACCCCAGGAATTTTCGAGGTGAAATTTATAATATTTAGATCGTAAAATCAAATTTACTCGTCAATTCTCTCCGAATAATTTCACCTGGTATTTTTCATTGAACCGATTTATCGAGCCCCTCATAATTAATTCGTTGGTCTCAGGTTGTTGAATTAAGGACCCCCTGGAAATTGATAAATAAAGGAATTGAAGAGGCAGAGGCGTATTTGCAGTGGCGACCAGTGTCCTACACAACGTCAGACCGTGACGTTACGAGCTCCACCGACGTAATCCATTATCAGCTGAGAAATTGCTCAAATATTGATAAAAAATCAATACTGTATGCATATTACGGTGGCCACAGGGCTGACCTACTGATGGAGAAGATAAACATAACGATTGGATCGTCTGGGGATGGTTTTTACACTAAAACCAATTATTCAACCTGGTGAGGGGCTAATGGATTATTGAGAGTGTGGAAAGTAGGACAAACACTGGAATTAAAGGATCTCTTTGTTTTTTTTTTCTTTCAGGACTTTTATCGTCGGGTATGGAACACCACCTGATGAACAGTTCTCATATTTGGTGATAATGATACTGTCGATAGGGGTGGGTCTACCTGTCCTCATAATGTCGGTTGCTGCCTTTTATGCTTGTGTCAGGAGACTCAGGACGTCGTAGGAGTAAATGCCGTATTTTTCTCAGGTGGAGAAAAATCTCAAAACAATCGTTCAAACCAATCCGTGAAAGACATGACGAATTTTTTTTAATATAAACTATTGATAAATTATTTTCTACTGATTAGTTCGCTCAATGTCTGATCGCATTTATCAATTGTCTAGTTAGTAATATTGAGAGATGCTTTCATTCGCGGGCTAGATCTATGGAAAAATATTTGTACAGGTGGAAAAATTGTGTAATTTCAAAGTGAATTTGTTATCGTAATATATGTGTTGGACATGAGAATTACATGTGATTTTTTGTAGGTTTAAGGGAGGAGGTTGGTGATGTGCAGTGAGAAGATTAATTATATTTCGGTGTAATTTAAATCCCTGGGATGTCATTAACAAATTTGGATAATTAGGTAAATTAATTCAATTTTCTTTTGGTTTTGGAAATTTTTAAAATGAATTTACAATCAGAAAATTGACAAATAGAAAGATTTATGTGGATTTTCTGGATAAAATCCTCTCAAATTTTGTCATCAACAAATGAGCTTGCCCTAGACGAATTCAATTAGCAAAGATAGAATTTTTTTTCCTGAGTCTGTTGTCATTCCCCAGTAGTGACAGTCCTCGAAAGGTGATGGGCCCCTATGTAACCCAACGTTTTCAGCCGAGAGGATACAGAATAAATGGCGCGGTGTGGTACGATATCCCTCCACAACCCACCCCACGTCCTCGAGGAAGGGATGAACACCTCGGTAGGGGGATGGACTTTCATTGATCCATTCTCGTGGACATACACTCATGGGGCTGACGTATTTACGAATCCTGGGGTAACGTCACTATTACGAATGAATTCCCAACGTTTCCAGGAAATGTCAGATCCTCCCAGGAATTCCAAAAACTACCCTAATATCCCAGGTAACTAATTATCAATTCCTAAATTCTCCAGAATTCTCCAGAATTCTCTCCAAAATCCTTCTCCATTTTTTTATTTCATCCTCAATTTTTATTTTCATTTCAACGAGAAACAATTATTTAAATTTGAAAATTAAAAGAATTTTGGGGATGGGAAATTATCGTGGAAAGGGTGGAAAGGGTGGAAAGGGTGGAGGGGATGGAAGAGGTGGAGAGGGTTGATGGAATGAAAAAATAGAAAAGAAATGATTTTTGTGTCGGTGGAGGAAAAAAATTCCGAGAAATCAATGGTTTGAATGGACTGAGGGGCTTGGGGGTGAGTTTGCACCGAATCCTTTCCCCCCAGAGGGTGAGAGGTATGCAGGGGTGTTTTGCACCGAGTGTCACCCCTACTGCGCCAACTCACCACCCCTCCATCAGCGTAAAAAGCCACGACGGGGGCGGCCTATTCAGCCCCTTCATCTAGTTCCATCAACCCCCGCAAGGCGCAATGTTGGCGCAGGGACGATGCAGTAACATCCGTGTTCGGGTTTCGGTTTGTCACCCCCGTCGACTTGGACACCAACCCTCAAGACTGCCTCCGTATTAAAAATAAAATCACCAAAAAAAGAAAGCCCAGGAACAGAACAAACTAAAACGATAAATTTAAAATCAAGAAATTAAAGAAATAATTCAAAATTAAATGAAAATAAAATAGATAAATCACAAAACGGAAGTGCAGGTGTCGTGGTACGATTGAAGAATAAAGATATCACTGATGAGTGATAGTTGATGATAATGGGATTAACGGGGGGCCAATTAAATCGGCGATAATAAAATATCGAGTGAAATTTGAAATTATCCCCTCCAGGAGGATCAACTCCCCTTCCACCTTTGGAGCAAGTGTCTGGGCATCGACGATTCAGTGAATTTAAAGAATCCAGTGACAAATGGAGACTATCATAACCAATGATCAAGTAAAATGATAACCCAGAGTAAATTCTATGCTCTATTTATCCACTACACATTCGTGTAGTATGATTGGGGGCGGGTCCTTGTGGCTGCGGTGAAGGTGCTTTATACTGGATTTCTAAATGGATTTAGGGGTGACAAGGGGTGATAGGGGGTGGAGTACAGAATAAGTTGAGTGTTGAGTTGCTCAGTGAGGATCAACTGTGTTTTTTTTTTTTTCAGATTAAAAAATGCATTAGGGGATGACAAAAGTGTTTGAATCGTGTGAATAATGAATAGTTCGTTAAAGGCCACGGGATTATGACTTCACCCGCCCCATCAGTGCCTATTCCTGTGTTATTACCATTTTTCTAATTTTATTTTACTGGTGTTACCTCGGGATTATGGGACTTGTGATTATCTGAGGATTGACGGATCGTATTGACGTAAGTAGAACAATCGATTTGTCGTGATTCGAGGGGAACCCCTTGTTTGAATTGTTGACTTATTTGGGGGAGAAGGATTTTTCCACAGGATTTGTGACGCAACCTTTTGACCTTTTCATTTGGTCAATGGTTTTTTCATTTTTTATTTTCCCTTTTTTTTATCTTAGGTGGAATAGGGTTTAGTTGGGGATATTGATTCAGATGGGATGGGTTTAAATGCGAATTCTATTGTTGTCGGGGGGTGGAAAGGGGGTGGGGGGGGCAACGTATGGTGGAACGTCGGGTTATAACTGTTATCGATGGACTAGGGTTTTTATTACTTTTTTTTTATTAGGAAAATTCCTCAGAAAACCGATTGATCCCTCCGGTTCGGGGGTCAATCGATGAGGGACAACCAATCAGCTGTTCAATTCCCCCCGCAATTTCCAATATTTCAGTCTGAGAGATATTAATTCTCATTTATCATTGAAGATACGGGGGTTTGAATTTTATTCATGAAAAAAATATGAAATTTGAGGGGATAATGAAATTTTTGTTGAAGAATTTGTTCACTTGATTAACAATTCGTCGATAAATAAAAAGCGTGTGAAGAGCTCGGGTAAAATGTAATTTGGTCAAGGTACGAATGAATCGTTATATCGAGCCTCACGCCTCCACCCCTCGCTTCCCCCCCCTTTTTTTTTCTTTCTTCACACGAAGTAGTGCAGGTCGAGTTCCAGGAAGACCTGCGGTGCCTGGTCATTGAACGACATGAACCACTGCGCCAGCATTTCCCACCCCAAACGAATTATCATCAAGCCCCCTCTCGAAATATATTGAATTAACTCATTCACTTTATGCCCCACCTCCCATCTTTCGCAGTTCCACCCCCATCCACCCCTTTCTTTTTCTTCTCCATCAAATAATCAAAATATCAAAGAGTCTATTAGAACGTAACGTATCCCTCCCTCCCCCTCTTTTTTCCCACCACCCACTTCATCCTCCCGCGAAGAGAGTGACGCGGTGAGAGGCCAAGGCTGCGCGCGGCTTTGTGTCAAGTATGCTATGACATTATGTGTTTCACGAAAGATACAGGAAACCCGAGAAGGGCCCAGGGGTTGCTGTCAGGGGGGTTGAAAAAATGCTTGAAAATTGCCAAGTCTCTCCCACAAAAGAAAAAAAAACAAAAAGACGTGTAATTTTTCTCGGTTGGTAACGGCACTACATTTCCATGCTATCGGGTTTATTGATTTCACCCCCTCCCACCCTCCGATGGGAAAGACAATTTTATTGAATTAATTATTAATTCATTCCCACCAGTATCACCCGGACCCCTGTCTCATCCTCAATTATTATATTTTCCCTCTCCTCAATTTCGCTGACTCGCCATTTTGTTGTTTTCAATTGAATTTTATCATTCACTCCTTCAATTCTTTTTGTTTCTGGTGTCGGGGGATTTTGTCGGTTTAAATTATGCTGTTTTGATTGTACTCGGTGGCAACAAGAGTAACGAAGCAATAGCGGGTCAGTAGGACGTTGGTTGGCCCTTAGTCGTTTGCCTCGAGTGGGGAGAGGTGGTCGGTGGTGGGGATAAGTAAAACCGTGTAGTTAGGGATGCGCAAGCGTCTAGTATGACCCCGCAGAGTCAGCGTGCCTCTATCCAACTCCTCTCTCACCCTTTCTCTCTCTTTCGCAAAGCCCTCTCTCCTCTTTCGCCCCTCAACCACCCTTTGACCACCCCCTGCCACCCCGCCACTCCCTTTCCACCCCCTGGCCAACGTCACGCCACACCATGCCGCAGCGTTTCCTTCTTCTTTCACCCGCCGCCGCTGGTTTTTCCCTCGACTATTTTTCTCCCTCTTATTTTCACCCCTCGGTGAAATTTTTACCCTCATCAGAGGCCTAATCAGCTGGATGATTGAGACTCATCGATACCAGCTATTGTCATTCGATTGACCTTGTACTTGAGGCTTTTTCTTTTTTCATCCCTCCCCCTCCGCCCCTCTGTCGATTCTTGATTGGGGAGATGCGACGAGGGTGAAAATTGATATTCACCCCACTGGAGGGTGGACAAGGGGGTGAATAATTTTGGCGTTATTTTTACGCGTTGAAATTTCTCGAGATTCCTTTCGTTTTGATTCAATGAAGAAAAGTGTGGGGGGGAGGGGGTGGAATGGCCATGCGGATACATGAAACTAGGTCAAACTGATATTTATATTTTTGCTGGTACTCGGGACCAGAATATAATACATCGAATGGATGACACGATGACCAACAATTTGTCCACGCGATGGGGGTTGTACGGAGAATTTTGTGGAGTTAACATTTTTTTTTTTAATACCGGGAAATTATTTATTTGTATTATTCATGCGGAAGGTCAGGGATTATCGAGCCGATGGCTTTCCGAGGGGTGGAAAGGAAAAATAAGAAATTGGCTCGCACAAATAGTTACGGAATTTATAGTTCCGGGAGGGGTGAGGGAGGAGAGGGAGGGGAGGGGATTATGGCATCGGGTATACGTGGGCTCTGGCTAAATATGGAAGGATATGTTGGTTGTTGGGGTGAAGCCAGAGGTTAGGAAGCGGCAAGTTGTCGGAGGTGAAGAGAATTCTCGTCCGCAGGGTTCCGCAGCCCCTGGGCGCCGGCGCCATTTCAAAATTCTCCACCAGTTCTCACATTTCTCATCTCGTCACTGGGGCCTATCCAATTTCCTCCCTTTTACGAGTTAGGGCGAGTAGATGATTCCTTTCTCTCCACTCCTCATCAAATCCCCTTATATCACCTCATGATTCCATAAATCCCGCAGTCCTGATAGAATCCAGATACGGCCACTCCTAAAATTCTCCAAATCATCAATCAACTGATTGATTTTTCACTGTCCACTCGCTGTTGATATCACAAATCCTGAGATCTAATGTGTTCATTAATTTTTTTTCCCCATCAATCATTCCCTCTACTTTCAGGACGCCTCCACCGGTGGCGTCACCCGAACAAAATGGCGAGTATCTAACCTCATTGTTCCCTTTCACAGAAACTTGTAAATCATTTCATCCACGAAACAAATCCTAGGTATCCATTCATTCTCTCAGCCGTAATCCTCACCCCTCGACCATTAACCGGATCGTCCTCCCAACCCCAGTAAATCTTCCTACCAAGAAAACAAAGCCTCATCTCCAGTTATCGATCGGTTCCCGAATGATTATCGAAATTTTATGGACCCTCCAGCGACTCTTCCACCAATTCACCACCAATTCACCAACAGTGTCGCCCTATTCCCGTCTCATTAGCTCCTCATATTGAATCAGATGACTAAATCTAGAACAACTAAACAAATAAAATAAATAGAAATTAGTGGAGCATGTATGACATGGTTGAAGGGAGGCCAGTTAAAAATCGGCTGGCACGTTTCCTCAGCGATCGATATTGTTGCAAAACGGTTAAAGGCAACGGCAAGGGAGTGAGTGGGGAGGGGAGAAGAGGTAGTGGGTTGGTGGGTTGGTGGGGTGGTGGGGTGGTGGGGTGGTGGGGTTGTTGGGTGGTGGGGTGGTTAGAGGGTTGGGTGGTTATGTGGAATTGCAGTCGGAGTCTCTTGCCGCCGGGCAGTCTGACTGACAAGGGACTTTAACCGACTTTAGTCTGAGGGTTAGACCTTACGACAAATGTATGAGTAATTTCCGTGTATGTGTATTCACCTACTTTAGCCATTGACACGCGATAGACCAATCGCGGCTAGTTGGCGGGTAAAACGCGACGTCAACTTTGGAATCCATTACGAAAAAAAAAAGAGAGAGAAAAAAAAATCGAATAACAATGCTTCGAGCAAATGATACATTCGCTTTAATGCTCATGCATTATGCTCTGCTCATTTTTTACTTTTCTCTCTAAATAATTTACCGGGTCATTAGATTGTGGCATTTTGTTTAATGTTTTTTAATGGTCTTTTTTGTAACCGTTGAATTGTTTTTTTTCAGAGAGGTGTAGCTTCGAGGAAAACGGCTATGATAATCAAGATAGAGGATTGAGAATACTCATCGCTTCATGTATACGTATGTATGTCAGTGGAGTTTATGGTTGTTATGGAGGGGTAGTTTGTACAGTATAGAATGATGATTGGCTTGGGTTTATTATTTTTAACGGTGAAATTTTGAAAAGATAAAACAAATTTTACTGGAGTCTGTGGTGGTTGACTTGAGTCAAGTTTATTTTTATTTTATTCAAGTTGAGTTTCACTTGATCCAAATCAAGTTCGATTAAATAATAAATTGATTTAAATAATGTTCGACTTGATTCAAGTCGAATTCAACTTGATTAAAATAAAAGTTCAACTTTATTTGAATCAATTCAATAAAACTTGATCCAAGTCAAGTTCTACTCAATATTGAATGCAACTTGACTTGAGTCAAGTTGCATTCAATAAAAATAAATTGAAGCAGAGGACCGATAAAAAAAAATAATACATAAATTTTATTTTGACAGATGAAATTGGAATTAACGAGAAAATGTTCACCGGGGGGACAAGAATGTCCCCCGGGGTATTACATGCAAATGCCCTTTCTTAATAATTCGTGTCCCAGGCCGGACATGAAAAATCTTGGTACACGTTGGACTGGTACCAACATACCACGCACTGCCGCAGCGCGTACATTACTGATCGTCGCTATTTCACCAACCAAGAATTACGGGTGTTACAAATATAATCTTAAATCAACAATTATAAATGATAAAAGAACAGAGGTGAAAAGACGGTGTGGTACGAGCGGCAAACACACACGTGACAAAGTAACGTGGACAAAATTGGTGATAAAGCCGCACTTATCCGTCCGATCCTACAGCAATTATTTGTACACACAGGCCCATTCAAAATTCAAGTATCACATTGACAGTGATATACGGTTATATCGATTGATATCTACCAGCAATCATCAGCTATTTTATTGTAAATCATCTGGAAAACACAGACGTCATTTCAGGAAGTGTTAGCACCTACCGCAAGGTAATGACTAGTTTCAATTTTTAATCAGCCACTCGTTTCATTATTTCTTTATTTCGGCAACAGTTTAATGGCAGAATTGCGTGCTCGATACAATTATATGGGATTTTTATGGCCAATGGCCCGAGTAAAAATCGCCGATAGACTGCAGTCACTCGAAATCCGATACTTTGTCTTAAAAAATTACTGGGATCGGGTTTCCAGGGGATTCTATAGTCTGAGATTATTCTCCACTCTACCCTAATTTTTCTCTCGCAATCTGCTGTTAAATTAAATTGCCAGTATTTAATTTATCGAATTAATCAATTAATTGTATTATTTTTTACTCTCGTGGGGATAAATCCCGTTAATTAAGGGCTGTTGATGATAATTGAAGTTGGAATTATTTATTAATTTCAGGAAGGTGTGTTGATTGCGCGCAGCGTAGACAATGTCCGACGATTATTCCTCCTTATCAGAAGAACGAAGTTTGTTCCGTCCGTTCACGCGGGAATCCCTGGCTGCTATCGAGACTCGCATTGCTGAAGAACTTGCCAAGCAGAAGGAACTCGAAGCTAAAAGAGCACAAGGCGAGGTACGTTAATCCCTCAAATTTTTCTCACACCCTGTCACAAATTTATTTCTATTATTTGTGTTGTAATATCGTTGTTAATTGGCCTCATCTTGGAGACAAATCCGATTAAATAAGGCACGTCGATATCGGATTTTATTTTCTCAGCTTAAATGGGTTCGAAGGGTGTTAACAGTTTGTGTCAAACGATAAAGTTGAACTTGCGGTGTTTCACAGCTCAGAATTATTAACAAATCGATAAAAAAACCTTCGGTAAACTATACCTGTGTACAAAGAAACTATTTTCAGATGGAGAATTATTTTTTTTTCTCCATTGTGCACACCAACTGCTGGTAGAAATTTTTTTTTATGAAATTATTCACGTGCAATTGAGTTTCTACTCAATCTAGAACTCAAATCGTTTTTTCGCAACTGAAAATATCAAAGTTTTTATAATTGCTGTCGAGTGGACGTTTTGCTATCGTTACAGTTTATTTTATTCTCGTGTTTGAAAAGAAAAAATCGAACTAAAACGAGTACTAAAATAATGACGGGGGATTCCCCGCGGTTATTCATCAGGGTAACCATCGATTTCAATAATTTCGTCATAAATAAATATAAAATATCCCTTGAATACGACTCTGGGCACATCTGGTGTAACGGATTTTCCAGGGAATTCGTTGTGCCCTATAAAAATATCTCATATCCGGTACTGAAGGGATTGCAATATAAATAAACAACACGTGTTCGTAAGATTGAGATTTTGACAAACGCGTTTCCATTACATGTATCTCATCTGCTGTAACAATGTTGAGTGTCTGCTTGAACGTATTTACTAAAAAATATCATTAGCTGTAGCTTCAATGACAGAGTGACAATGCAACAAACTTGTACCATAAACATTTATAAACATTTATAAACATTAATATATATTGAGTCGCGTGAGTCAGCTGGATGTATGCAGTGTCATTAATGTTGTGCCTGTCTTCTCTCATATCTTCTTCAATTTTCAACCTATCGCAGTACTAACCCCATAAATAATTCAATCCAACAAATAACTCTCGTTAACAATAACCAAAATGCCAATTGTCCATCACAATTAATGATTAAAAAATAATAATCCCGTAGCTAGAGCACTAGTTCTAGAGATGATGGTACCTGAACTAGCCTCTCAACTTGACTTAAATTTCAGTTTAATTTAATGATTAAATAACAATTTTCAATGTCTCTTCTCTCTATGTATGTTCTGTATGTGTGTAACTCTTTTTCCCCATTGTGCAATTACAGGGTGGTTATGGACGGAAGAAAAAGAAAAAAGAAGTAAGATGTTGCATCATGACAAGTAATATCAGTTAATAACACGATTATTATTTACTCTACATCAATTGAATTATCCTCACACGGCATTTACATTAAATTTATTTAGTTTATTTATCTAGACATGACAAATGAAGTGATAGAGAGCTCGTTTAACCTTTAGCCATTAGTACATAACACTATTTTAATCAAATGATATGACACTTTCGCATTTGTGATTAAGACATTTGGCTTTTTATCGCATCACTCACACCTTTCGCCCAGCACTTCCCAGTCTCTGATTGATGCTGTTATTATTATTTATTATTATTGTTAATTAATAATTGGGAATTGTTGATGAAGGGATTGCCCACTGACAATATACTACCAGTGCAATATAATGGCAGCTTTACAAATGAATGTTAATACAAATTGCGCTTGATTAGATTTAGTCAGCCAAAATGAAAGAACACACGCTATCAATGGCTATCGATGGCTATTGACATAACGTGATCACATGTTGTATTATATATTAGATTATTAATCTAGTGATGCACGCGCAATAAGTCTCCACGATGATAATCACAAACACTAATTACCAAATTATTATTACTCGTGACGTAGTCTGGATTGATCCACGTGGCGAAAATCTATTGATTTGGATTGTTCTGTTAAGGATTTATTTACAGAATAATAACAATTGGGATTTATCACTCGTTACACACACCTATTGACAGCTTTGAAGGACACAATTACGATAAGGAAATTTACACTGATCAATTGATAAATGATTATGAAATTCATGTGAATATGATTTTCAGGGTTTGAGAGAAGTCCAAGTGTGCAAATGTGAAGTCTTAAGATTGAGAAATGTTTGGCATGTCAAGTGATTTCACAATTGCAACAACTCCACCCTGAGATAAATCAGCGTCAGTAAATTTGTCTCAGGGACAGCATTTTTATTTACAAAATTTAATTAGGAAAACAGTTGATAATGTGTATACAAATAGACTAGCGGATATTTGACTGTTTGATATTTGCTGTTGAGATATTGATAAATAGATGTTTCACAGACCCGTTACGACGACGAAGATGAGGATGAGGGTCCACAGCCAGATCCGATGTTTGAACAAGGGGCGCCAATTCCAGTCCGACTGCACAACGAATTTCCCCCTGAGCTGGCCTCCACGCCCCTTGAAGACATCGATACATTTTACCACAATCAAAGGGTAAATTCGATGATCAACTCAACTGAAGTGATTAATTAATTAATCAATTGACTGAAGGATTAATATTTTTTTATTTGTCCAGACGTTCGTGGTCATCAGCAAAGGGAAGGACATATTCAGATTCTCGGCGACGGATGCGTTATGGTTCCTCGATCCATTCAATCCAATACGACGGGTGGCCATTTATATTCTGGTTCACCCGCTCTTTTCCCTATTCATCATCACCACTATTTTGGTTAACTGCATACTCATGATTATGCCCACAACGCCCACCATCGAGTCAACTGAGTACGTAATCTTTCAATTCGTCAATCATAAAACGTGAATAACTTTAATCCACTAATTGACAAAATGCCTGACGACCAGATGATCTCCATCAGTCTTCAGACAATATTTTATCAATAGATCGTACTCACTGTTATTATTTCATTAGACACTGCATTTTATAGAAGATTATTATCGATTAATCAATTAAATCACTCAAGTACAATAGGTAATTCGTGAGATAGTTAATGATTTTGGTAAGTTTTGGACAGATAATTATCTAGAAACGATAGATTAGACGATTTCTGAAATCGGATGATTATTATTGTGTAGACGTGTTGAAGTTCAATCGTCAAATAGGATCTGGTATTTTTTGGGTTGATGTGATATTGGATTATTGCATCTCGCCCATTCAATACTCGAGCGATAAAAATGACTGTCAATGGTTTTTTCTTTTTTTTTTCATTATTATTGTAACCATTAGTGAAGTGGCATAAAAGTTGACGGATATATATTTGACTGTCGAGCTGTTAATGTTGATTTATGTGTTTTCAGAGTGTTATTTACGGGCATCTACACATTTGAGTCCGCCGTTAAGGTGATGGCGAGGGGTTTCATTCTGCAGCCTTTTACCTATCTTAGAGATGCATGGAATTGGCTCGACTTCGTAGTTATAGCTTTAGCGTGAGTAGTTAAAACAATCATTGAATATTTATTATAAAAATATCAACGAGAGTCATAACGATAAAATCGTCATTGGTGAATGAAATAGACGTTGTATCACCAAAACGGTCTGAGTGATAGCTCTTCATATCTCTTTTATATTGTAATTACATTGTAATGATTATCTGTGATAGTCCATTTGGTGGTAATCGTGGGAGACCATTTACAATTGTATAATGCACTCAGCCAGAGTCATAGGTCATCAATTAGGTCAAACGTTCAATCGAAATTTTAGAATCGAGTTCTAGAGTTTAACTGCTAATTACATGAGTTTATAGTCCAGATAGATACGAGTCCTGTCATTCGATGATGATTATTTAATTCGAGGGAAGATTCAACCGATCCACCACTCACATCCGATTAGGCTAACATTATAGTGTAGTCAATGAATATTTCATATAATATCAGTCATTAATAATAGATGAATTTTAGTTAGTCAATTCTCGTCGTTCAGATAAAGATTAGAATAGACAGGACAAGTTTAAATCGTTCATTGTTTATTGATCGTAGAACTAGTTTAATCATTGAGTTATTTAATGTTGATAGATATAATTATCATGAATCATTAAGTCAAAATTAATTAGAGGGTAATTCAGTTGGGAGTGGTGAGTGGTTCATTACATCTGAACGAATTGATCTGCCTTTTGATCCAAATGTTTGCCACTTATTTCACCACTTCACCGCTGAATTATATCTATATCTATTAAACATTGTGCATGAGAACTTGGGATTTATGAGAATTCAGTAAAGAGTTATCATGACGCGGTAGATAGTTGATAGATGTAATTTAATAATTAATGAATATCTTGTTTCAGTTTATTGGAATTTTTTAATTGATGTTTTCTCTTTTTTTTTTATTTCTTTTCATATGATTTTGTATAACTGTAATGTGTGTGACGTTCGGGTGTATTGCAGTTATGTGACGATGGGCATAGATCTAGGCAACCTTGCCGCTCTCAGGACATTTCGAGTCCTCCGAGCCTTGAAGACTGTCGCTATTGTACCAGGTATGCTTAGAGTATTGATTCAGCGTAGTACACTGACGATACAATCCTAGATTTGATATTTAGCGCAATTATTACATGCCTGTTAACAATGTGGAGATTATACAATTTGTTAAAATGAAAAATACTGATCTCTTGAAATTAATGCATTGTGATGGGTTTTTTTTTGTTGTTAACTATTGAATTTATTGATGACACGTTGATAATTGTTTAGGTCTGAAAACCATTGTCGGCGCTGTGATAGAGTCTGTTAAAAATCTGCGCGATGTGATAATCCTTACAATGTTCTCCCTGTCCGTCTTTGCGTTGATGGGCCTTCAGATTTACATGGGGGTATTGACGCAAAAGTGTATAAAGAATTTTCCGGAGGACGGATCGTGGGGCAATCTTACTGGTGAGAATTGGGAGAGATTCAACAAGAATTCGAGTAAGTCACACTAGTTCATTTAACAAGTATTCATTGTCATTCTAACTTCTGAATTATTTGAAATCTTCAGCAAATTGGTACGTCGATGACAACGGAAATATGCCATTATGTGGGAATTCATCTGGTGCTGGGTAATATATTATTCACTGTTTGTCTAACTCTTGGAGTATAACGATATTTTGAATGTTTTGAATTTGGAAGTCTTTTTATGGATTTTTTTTCAAGAGTTATTCAATTGTACTGTTTTGAATGGGATATTCTGGTAAATATTGAGAAATATTTTCAGAATGTGTGCGCCCGGTTACGTGTGTCTGCAAGGCTACGGTGGCAATCCAAACTACGGCTACACGAGCTTCGACACATTCGGCTGGGCCCTGCTGTCCGCCTTTCGTCTGATGACACAAGATTACTGGGAGAATCTCTACCAACTCGTATTAAGATCAGCTGGACCATGGCACATGCTGTTCTTCATTGTTATAATTTTCCTCGGTTCATTCTACCTCGTCAACTTAATTCTCGCTATTGTCGCCATGTCGTACGACGAGTTGCAGAAGAAGGCAGAAGAGGAGGAAGCAGCTGAGGAGGAAGCCATAAGAGTACGTCCCCAAATTAAAGAATAAAAGCCCTATCAAGAAAATCATTAAGCAAACATATAGCCACGTCAGAAAATCACCAGCGACCTGACGAGAAATTAGCGAATGCTGTTGAACAGTGTATTCACCCTTTGGTAATTGGATTTTTTTGGTGATTAGGAAGCCGAGGAGGCAGCACTTGCTCGAGAGAATAAAATCGCGGCGCAGGCTGCCGCAAGGGAAGCTGCTGCTGCACAAGCAGCTGCTGATGCCATTGTCAAGTCACCGTCTGACTTCTCGTGTCACAGTTATGAGCTGTTTGTTGGCCAGGAGAAAGGCAACGACGACAACAACAAGGAGAGAATGAGCATTCGATCTGTTGAATCCATCAGCGAGTATCGTGTTAGGCCCATCAACAACAACCACAGCGCCGCAGCCAAAGTTCGTAAAGTCAGCGCTGTGAGTATTTTTAATTAGCCACTATTAATTGTATTGTGTTCATTACGAACGCGCAGTGCAAATTACTCAATTCGATTCACGTCAGTATCGATCAGTATCGATGAGTATCGATCAGTATCGAACGTTATTTTATGAATCGATTCGGTATTCCAGTTGGAATTAATTGTATTAATTACCGCGATTAATCAACAATTTAACAGTAAATTTGTAATCACTTATCTCTACTCTCTACTAATGTATTCCAAAGGACATTTTTATGGCATGATTATGATTTCAGTGGTAAATGCGGCATGCGTTGAGACATGAATGTTGCATGCACCACATTAGACCCACCACTTTAACTGATTAAATGACGATAATTAAATAACTAATTACCATGGTTGATGGTTGACACCCATGCGGTGAAGATCATTACTCACAGAAAATATATATTCTCCAATCAATCCATTAAGTCTCAACAACTCCTATCGAATAATTATGAAATGAACATCTACTCGTACAATGTAATCAGAACAGACAACAGTCACTTGAATAATTAAGAAAAAACCTACATGTGCTTCTGCAAGTGGTGCCTTCTTTCGATGTAAAGCTAGTTGACACACCAATGGTACGGTAGTCGATACCATTTCTTGTATTTTTTTTTTCTCAAGGTCTCTCGCGCCCCTAACGGCCAGTTAACTTGTGCCTACCGGGAAAATCTGAGGAAGGTACGTGATGGGCTGTCAGCTCCAACCGTACGTACTCTAACAACAGGTCAAAAACCAAGAGATTCGATCAATGCGAAATATGAATTAATTGAATCAATTGATTGAGTACCAAATGCCTCATCCAAAATACACTGTTCCTCAAACGTATCAATTGTCCACAAGAAATAATGGATCAATTGTCCATCGAAAGCCTGTCCCGACCAATGGTCCAATGACCGAGGCAATGAAGCCATCAATATATCTCTAAAAAATTGATCAATTATTTAATTACAGGCAAGCCTTAGCCTGCCAGGCTCACCATTCAATCCACGAAGGGGCAGTCGTGGTAGTCATCAATTCACACTTCGCAATGGACGGGGTAGATTCGTTGGTTCGTCCGGTGGTGATAGAAGACCACTAGTACTATCTACTTATCTTGATGCCCAGGAGCACTTGCCTTATGCTGACGATTCAAATGCTGTTACACCAATGTCAGAGGAGAATGGAACGATTGTTATACCCGTTCATTATCCAAGTCTTGGTTCCCGTCATTCGTCCTACACGTCGCATGCCTCAAGATTATCATATACGTCCCATGGCGATCTGTTGAGCGGTATCGCCAATGCTGGTAAACAAATGACCAAGGAGAGCAGACTACGAAGTAGATCTAGACAGGCCAATGGTCAAACACCTGAGCCCATGCAGAATCAGAAATTGCAGCATCATCACGTAAGAGTATTTCAAAAATAACACAATCACTTGGTCGCTTGGTTTTGAATGCGATCCATTCAAAAATCGAATTAATCAATGGTTCAAATTCCATTTGAATTTTTATTTACAAATAACTCATGACGTCATTTGTGCGAACAGGATATCGATATGGAAGATCCATTGGGTAAGAACAAACAGCAAGACAACCCATTTATCGAGTCTTCACAGCCACACGCCGTTGTCGACATGAAAGGTCAGACGTTAACTCTATATTTAACCGCATTGTCTTCAATTGAAACTTTTTTTTTATTCAACAATGCTTTTTAATTTAACAGATGTTATGGTCTTGAATGATATTATTGAACAAGCCGCTGGGCGGCAGAGCAGAGCATCTGATCAAGGAGGTGATTATCCCCTACTCATTCACTCTAGATATCCCATTATTTTAATATTATTGAATTTATTAATTTTCTTACGTGTGTGTGTGTGGCTCAACACCGTTTGTCTTCGTGTTTGTGCGAGGCACACTAGTACTATTTTATGACGACTGAAATTGAGTTATTCACCAGTGAAGTACAGCAAAGGGATGATGCAATTTTAATGAATAACATTTTCTGATGTTCAATTGAATCACTCTAGTCTGTTATTTTACTGGGTAATTGTGATTATAAATTTTTCATTGATCTTGATATTATTCAGTGAATTGGTTTGCTCGATCATTACTGTTTGGTATTTTCTATATGGAGGAGTGAGTAAGATAGGGGAATTGTTTTATCTATTTGTTTATTTATTTTTTTTTTCATTTGGATGAAGGCGTAAGTGAATGAAATTGAGAACACCCTTTGGGGTGTTGTAGATAGGTTGAATGAATTTTTGGGGAAAAAGAGTTTTCGAGCATTCTCTTTATTTTGTACATAGCATGCTGCATTGCACTTGTGTACAGTTTTAATGCACTCAATTAATTCGTTACATTCGTTACAATCTTTTAAAATTATATAATTTTGCACTGTTGTGTTATGCTTTGGGTGAGCACTTGTGCTTTAAATTTATTTTATTAAGTTTCATTATGCAGTTACTATGAATAAGACACCCTGAAGTTGATAAATTTTATAGATTAATATAAATAAAATAGCTGCACTCAATATTGTTAATTGAAAATAATTTAGATAATTGAAATGATAAATCAGCACCGCTATTTATCGCAAATCGTGCACAAACATTCATTAACGATTAGAATCAATGAAAAAAAAAAAACTCTTTCCCCAAAAAGAGTGGTGACAATAACAAGCATTACTAACATGAAATACAGTTTCAACTTATTACTTTCCGACAGACGACGACGAAGAAGGTCCAACAATGAAGGAGAAATTGATATCAGGATTTTTACAAGGGATCGATATGTTTTGTGACTGGAAATGCTGTGGTCCGTGGATAAAATTTCAGGATTTCGTCGCTATGATAGTCTTCGATCCATTCGTAGAATTATTTATAACACTCTGCATCGTAGTTAATACACTGTTCATGGCACTCGATCATCACAACATGGATCCGGAGATGGACAGAATTCTAAAATCGGGAAATTACGTGAGTAACGTTTGAAAAATAAATGACTAAATGCAAAACTAAAAATAAACCATTGAATTGCAGTTTTTTACTGCAACATTTGGAATCGAGGCAGCCATGAAACTGATAGCCATGAGTCCAAAATTTTATTTCCAAGAGGGATGGAACATCTTCGATTTTATCATCGTTGCCCTCTCCCTCCTGGAGTTGGGCCTCGAGGGAGTTCAAGGACTATCCGTGCTGCGTTCATTCAGATTGGTAATGCGGAAGAACTATTAAATTTTATTGTGAACACCAATGAGTTATTTATAATTCAATCTGTTGCAGTTGCGAGTGTTCAAATTAGCTAAATCATGGCCAACGCTTAATCTGCTGATATCAATAATGGGAAGAACAGTTGGTGCATTGGGAAATCTAACATTCGTACTGTGCATCATTATATTCATATTCGCTGTCATGGGTATGCAGCTGTTCGGTAAAAATTACACGGACAATGTACATCTGTTTCCGGATGGTGATCTGCCTAGATGGAATTTCACCGATTTTATGCACTCGTTTATGATCGTATTCCGTGTGCTGTGCGGTGAGTGGATCGAGTCAATGTGGGATTGTATGCTGGTTGGTGATGTCTCCTGTATTCCATTCTTTCTGGCAACAGTTGTCATCGGAAATTTGGTCGTATGTACTATTTAAAAATGCCATTACTTATCCTTCAATTTATCATTTAACTTCCACGCGAGCTGTGCCCCAGGAATTTATTGACACATGTTGCATTTATTTTTCTCTGATACTATGAAAAAAAGGTCCTCAATCTCTTCTTGGCGTTGCTCTTGAGCAACTTCGGTTCATCGAATCTGTCAGCACCAACGGCTGACAATGACACGAATAAAATAACCGAGGCAATTGACAGGATAGCACGTTTTATAGCATGGGTCAAACGTAACGTACGGAATGTCTTGAAAATGATGCGAGCCAAACTCACCAATCAGATATCAGATCAGGCGCCAGGTGAGGGACCGTCCAACAGTTGGAAAGAAGGTTTATATCCAATCAGATCGCTTGCTGTGTGCGCTGTTGTAGTTTCGTCTTTATTTAAAAAAAAGTTCATTTTATCATTTGAATTGATTGAACCAGTTTGGTCTCTGATGTTTTATCATCATCAGAATTGATTTCCCTCATTCGTTTGAGTAATCACGTTACTCTGATGCATTATTTACATCATTATCTATTGTTTATCTATTTTATTCAGTTAATCTGGGATAACGAGAATCTAAAATTCAAATAGTCGCTAGTCGCTTTTGTAAGTTGGATTTGAAGTGGATATGACCGATGTAATAGAATTATACATCATCCTATCATTGATCCTCCCACATGTACATTTAATTCCTCTGTTTAATTATTTATATTAAACATTATTTCATTTAGTGATTCAATATGCGATCACGAGAGCCGTATTTATCTGAATTTATTCTAAATTATGATCACCATTTAATTATTGTGACGTCGAATCACGTGTATTTTCACTTGATATCACGCACGCTATTTTGCACGATTTACTCAAAGTACATTTGGCACATTATTTTTTTGTTAATTACGAGATAATTCATTATTTGGAATAATCGATATCAATCCACTCCATCGGCATTGCATGCATCTTTCGTTTGCCCAGTGAAAAGGCTATACAAGTCCTTAAACTCGATCCCCAAATCTTCAATTTCATTGTGTCAATATATTAAATAACAATGATTATTGAATTATTGGGTTATCATTGAGTGTCACAGGGTGGCTTTTTTGTTTTAAAAAAAAAAAACAAGTACAGAGACTTATTATTTGAACAGTTGTCCTATATTATTTTTCTACCATGAAATATGGTGACCCGGATGGGTTAGAGATCATGTGTAAATGCGCAGATGGAATTGATCGGGACGGCAGTCGAGATCTGGCTGACGGCGAGCTCGATGGATACAGAGATAAGAAAAGTGCTAAAGAGTTTAATAATCAGTTGGAAGTTGCCATTGGAGATGGAATGGAGTTTACAATCCACGGTAATTAGCTAATAATTAATATTCATTACTTGTGATTTCATTCCAGGTAGAAAAATATTGATGCTACAAAGTTATAATGCACTTAAGGATTGTTTACACTTCCAGGAGATCTGAGAAATAAATTGAAGAGGGACAGATTGAGCATTAATAACACGAAAGCCATCGTTAACTCGATTAATCATCGGGATTATCGACTCGATCATGACTACATCACTCATCACGATGAGGATACAATCAGGTAATTACTGTGTCATCATGTTTTGGCTCTTGTCCTTGAGCAAATGGAATGATTTGTTTTTTTTTCACAGCAATAAATCGTACGGCAGCCACGAGAATCGGTTCAACAGTGAGAGAAGTCACAAGGGGAGTATCGATTCTCTCGATGGAGAGGAGAAAAAAGACGCCAGCAAGGAAGACCTCGAAGGAGATGGTTTGTAATAATTAATCATTATCAGATGTCTTTGAGGAAGAAATTAATTTGATTTAACGAAACAGATCTGGAAGATGATGGAGAAAATGGCGAGGACGAGGAACTGGAGGAAGAGGGGGACATTGTCATTCAAGCTGACGAGGATATTATCGAGGGCGATGGAGATTATCCCCACGACTGCTGTCCTGACCACTGCTACAAGAGATTTCCGTTTCTCGCTGGTGACGACGATGCACCCTTCTGGCAGGGCTGGGCTAATCTTCGTCTCAAGACATTTCAGCTCATTGAGAACAAGTACTTCGAGACTGCTGTTATCACCATGATTTTACTGAGCAGTATGGCGCTGGTAAGTCCCATTGCACTGATTATTTAAAAAATCAGATAATCCACGGGTGATTGACCCATTTTATGCAATAAACATTTTCAGGCACTCGAGGATGTTCACCTCCAGCAGAGACCAATTCTCCAAGACATTCTGTACTACATGGACCGTATATTCACTGTCATATTCTTCCTGGAGATGTTGATAAAGTGGCTGGCACTCGGTTTCGCCAAGTACTTCACCAACGCCTGGTGCTGGCTCGATTTTATCATCGTAATGGTGAGTTATCCACGAGAATATCATAATCACTAGTGAATTAATTAATGATAATTGAGAATTATCAAATACCTGAACAATGTTTCGACTGAGAAAAGCCTCCACGAAGCTGTTCCAAATGGATACCAATCAGCCAAATAATCCATAACGTAATAACTTCAACGATTATTTAATTTAGCATTGATTATACTTTAACGTGAGTTGATGAATAATAGCTATCGCTGATCAACTTGGGGGCGATCTGGGCAGGTGCTGCTGACATCCCGGCGTTCCGTTCAATGCGAACATTGAGGGCATTGAGGCCCTTGCGAGCTGTCTCCCGATGGGAGGGCATGAGAGTAAGTGAGGGCTCGTACTTCAGCAAATTGAGAGAACAATTTGATCTTTATTTTGATGAGACAAGTCAACATATCTCTGTCGTTTTTTACGTGACATTAAAATATCCCTCCGTTAGTGTTTAAAACACCGATTGACCATGATAATCTGTGAATAATCTATTGTTGAGTCAATCGGTGGAGCTTGAGGCTTGTGACGCTAACGTCTGAGTGAATTCAATGAATGAGTGATGGAGAAGTACATTTTTTTTCATGTGGTGTGCTTTAACGTGTCAGGGGTAATTGTTGATTAAATTGTGTGAGAAGTTGCAGTACCGGTGCTCTCGATTGATGTGTATCATCGCAATTTCTTTTGACACAGAGATGTTACACATCAGTGAATTTCCCATTTACATTTGACGACACAATGAGTCTCTTTCGTTAGAATATTTTCGACAGAATATTTGTCGTACTAGCTATTGCCATGTACGCCTCCTTCCTCATGACAGTTTTTTTTTTTGTGAAATTAATTGTTGTGCAGAGTATGCTTTATATGTAATGTACAGAATCTTTTGGTATTCTTGTGTGTCTTTTCATGAATTATCGAGAGAACAATATTTGAGCTGAGGTTTTCTGGCCGTTTGACATCCCCGCGAGTTATAATCTGATTTCCACCACTAGACAATACCATAAACTAATCATTAATGAATATCAATTGAATATTCATGAATTTTGACTCGCGGTGGAATCAGTATGTGAGATTTTTAATCTGTTTCAGGATGGAGCTGATGTATATTTTTTGTTCTCCTTATTTTCAACTGAAGTTCTGTCTTCTGCGTCTTGTAATTCTATATCGTCTATTGATTGTCACTGCTGTATTGTTGTACTCTACTCTTATCTTTACCTGTACTAATGTCTCTCGATCCTTGATCAAGCAACAGTGGGAATCCCATAATGTAGAAAGACTAGCTGTCAATCCGCGAAGAGCAGACGATCATTTTAATTTTAGACAATTGACAGATTAATATGGATTTTATTTTTATTTTTATTTAAATGAAGACAAAATGCCACATAGCTCTTCAACATTTGCTGTTACATTCGATCTCGTTTGTCGGTCGCAGGTGTCACTCATTAACTTCGTAGCGTCGCTATGTGGCGCGGGTGGAATTCAAGCCTTCAAAACAATGAGGACCCTAAGGGCCCTAAGGCCACTCAGGGCGATGTCTAGAATGCAGGGGATGCGGGTATGTAGCCCAACTAGTCTCAGATGACCTTATCACCTCACCAACACATATTCCTCAATTATCATTCACAACTTATCTCTGAATAACGATAGACTAGTTGGTGTTTAGTATAAACGGGATTTATTATCAACATCAGTAGATTAATTTCAACTTATTAACACAATGCTTATTGGTGAGGTCACTGAGACATTGGGTACTAGAGTATAATGGTCATGCCCATACCCCAGACACTTGAATCCACATAGTCAACATCTAGTTTCAATCTGATGATAATAGATTGCATGCTTGTTAAGAATCAATCATAGATTATTAATTGGCATTCGTGCACGTTAAACTTTATGTTTAAGAGGGATTATCATTTGCTTAACAATACGGTTAAATTATTGAGAACAGACAACACTCGCAAGCTTATGACAGTTTCATCATCAATTTTTTCGTTCCTCTAGTCTGGGATTTATTTTTTATTTTGATTTTCTTTCAATCCTATTTGGCTGAACGCTTTTGGGCAACAGTTGCATGCAATCTCGAGCTTTGTACAATAAACAATTGATACCCAACACTATATATTTTAAAAAAACTATTAAACATGCCTCATTGTCATGATTTGCGCTTGCGTTTTGACACATCCTGTGATAGATTGCTTGAAATCGTGATCATCATTGGATCTAGATCAGTTTGTTGGTTGCACATTAGTCATTCGTGTAGCCAACAATTAATAATATTGATGGAGAGAAACCGAGGCTAATGTAATCATTGATTTAGGTGGTGGTGAATGCTCTGGTCCAGGCAATCCCGTCCATCTTCAATGTACTACTGGTATGCCTGATTTTCTGGCTGATCTTCGCGATCATGGGAGTCCAGCTGTTCGCTGGAAAGTACTACAAGGTAATGAATAGCCCCCCACAAACCCTTCCATCCAATCCCCTCGATCTAATCTCATTCTATAATTTTTTAGTGCGTCGATATGAACAAGACAACTCTCAGTCATGAAATCATTCCTGACCGGAATGCATGCATCGCTGAGAACTACACGTGGGAAAATTCACCGATGAATTTCGATCATGTTGGAAAGGCTTACCTGTGTCTCTTTCAAGTCGCCACCTTCAAGGGATGGATCCAGATAATGAACGATGCAATTGACTCCAGAGACGTAAGTACCTCTCATCAATCAATTAATCATCATCACATGACATTAAATCCTGAATATTTACCGACAGCTTGGAAAACAACCGATTCGCGAGACAAACATTTACATGTACCTCTACTTTGTATTCTTCATTATATTCGGATCATTTTTCACTCTCAATCTGTTTATCGGAGTTATCATCGACAATTTCAATGAGCAAAAGAAGAAAGCCGGTGGCTCACTCGAGATGTTCATGACTGAGGATCAGAAGAAATACTACAATGCTATGAAAAAAATGGGGAGTAAGAAGCCTCTGAAGGCCATCCCACGTCCAAGGGTAAAATATTAATCTCTTAATAAAAAATAAAACTGATAATTATGATGTGTTTTAATTATTATTTCATTGCAGTGGAGGCCCCAAGCAATCGTCTTTGAAATAGTGACGGACAAAAAGTTCGATATGATAATCATGTTGTTCATCGGTCTCAACATGCTGACAATGACACTAGATCATTACCAACAGACAGACACATTCAGCAATGTTCTGGATTACTTGAACATGATATTCATTGTGATATTCACCAGCGAGTGCTTGATGAAGATATTTGCCCTGCGCTACCACTACTTCAAGGAGCCCTGGAATCTCTTTGATTTTGTTGTTGTTATATTGTCAATATTAGGTAATGTATCGTAATGACTGTATCAGTCGTATGACCCCACTGAAACGAACCACTCGATACGTCAATATAAACGAGAAACCTGTTTGCTCGATACTAATTTAACATAATACCATAGAATAGATACTTTATCAAAGCTAGATTCAATATTGATTAGTCACTAATCATCGAGACACGTAGTGCACAACAAAAATACTGATTAACACATACAATTAAGGAAGCGAACAGGTGGTAACTGACGTTTCAATTGAGTCGCAACGACTGGTCAAAATCATTACGCTATGTAGCCTCACATTGATGTTTACTTTGCCTTGAAAAAAAATTGTCTCAATGTGACCAAAACCCCCCTCCCACCCCCTCTTCTTACTGTCCCCCATAATGTTCTTGTAAGTATGGAGAAAAGAATTCCCAAAAAAATCTGATACAGGAATATTACCCACTGATGTTGGGTAAGAGATTCATTTCTATATCTAAAACATTCGATTTGTTCAAGAAAACAATCCATTGAGATTTAGTGACAATAGAACACACACACACAAATATCAACAGTAGAATAGATTATTTTAGATTAATAGATGAAAAAAAAACAGATAGAGACAAATAGAAAGTGATTAAACAAAAATTCCCAGTAGAGTGAACCCTGCAAGATTAGTATCCCATGCATCGTGACTCGTAGATCTGTTATTGAAGGAATAACTGGGGATAAATATTAATGATTAATGTACGTTATTGCAGGATTGGTGCTGAGTGACATTATTGAAAAGTACTTTGTATCACCGACACTGCTGCGAGTGGTGAGAGTGGCCAAAGTGGGTCGTGTGTTGCGTCTTGTTAAGGGTGCAAAGGGCATAAGAACACTTCTATTTGCCCTCGCCATGTCTCTGCCAGCTCTATTCAACATTTGCCTCCTGCTTTTCCTCGTTATGTTTATATTCGCCATATTTGGCATGTCATTCTTCATGCACGTTAAAGATAAAAGTGGTCTCGATGACGTTTACAATTTTAAAACTTTTGGACAGTCGATGATACTCCTGTTCCAAGTGAGTACACACTTGATAAATAATGAGATAATGATAATAATAATAATAATAAATATTTGCAGATGTCAACATCAGCCGGTTGGGACGGCGTGCTCGATGGTATAATAAACGAAGAGGACTGCCTCCAGCCGAACAATGAAATCGGCTATCCCGGCAATTGTGGCTCCTCAACTATTGGAATTGCATACCTGCTATCGTATCTCGTCATCAGCTTCCTAATCGTCATCAACATGTATATCGCAGTGATATTAGAGAATTATTCACAAGCGACCGAAGATGTGCAGGAGGGATTGACCGATGATGACTACGATATGTACTATGAAATATGGCAGCAATTCGATCCAGATGGTACACAATACATTAGATACGACCAGCTCTCCGATTTCTTGGATGTACTTGAGCCACCCTTGCAAATACACAAGCCGAACAAGTACAAGATCGTGTCGATGGATATCCCCATATGTAAGGGTGATCTTATGTTTTGCGTGGATATCCTCGATGCCCTCACTAAAGACTTTTTCGCAAGAAAGGGTAATCCAATTGAGGAAACTGGAGAGTTGGCCGAGGTACAGACGAGACCTGGTGAAGTTGGTTATGAGCCAGTATCATCGACACTTTGGCGTCAGCGCGAGGAGTACTGTGCGCGTCTCATTCAAAATGCCTGGCGTAAGCACAAGCAGAATCGTCTTGGTGGTCCTAGCGAGGAGAGCGATGATCCTGACACCGATCCAAGGGTCAGGCAAACAGCTGTACTCGTCGAGAGTGACGGTTTTATAACTAAAAATGGACACCGAGTTGTCATACACAGCCGTTCACCAAGTGTTACATCGCGCACCGCGGACGTCTGATCTCAGCTCGAAACTCCAACGACGAATCATTTTAAAAGGTAAACTTCATTAAACTATGGAGTTATCGATAATTCATCACTTGGAACTGCAGCCGTTTATTAAAGAGAATAATAATTAATTATAATGAATTACAAAATGAGATAATACCAGATGCCACCCAGTCCTCTTTAACCACCCACCCCCAACGGATTTATCACCGCGCTCTTCTCTCATTCGCCACCATGACTTTGCTAAAAAAATCCTTCAAGACAAATGAATATATCGTGTGCTATTTAACTAATCAACAGCCTTATAGTTTTGTAAAACGATATTTGAGAATGATACAGACGAGAATGAAGAATAACATCGTTAATCATAAATTCCTCCAACGAGTTGCCTTTTTCAAATCGGACTGCACCATTTTAATATTAATGAACTAACTAAACAACATTTAATGATAATGATGAAACGTCGTTGGGATAGTTTCGATCGAAATTATGATGATTAAATAACCAAAGACTCTATTGAGATTCGTCCATTTAATTATTTCATTGATAAATCAATAAAATTAATGAGAATAAATCGAGCACGCCTCGACGCCGGCCCGCGGTTTGTCCACTGATATTAATAATTTAATGACTCTCAATGATTATCCCACCCCCTTCCCATCCTCGCTTGCTTAAAACGCTCTTAACACCCTTACGATTCCCAATCCCATTTTTATCTAAGTCAAAAAAAAATGGAAAACATTCGATAATTAATTATCTCGGTGATAAAATAAACGCGAAATATTCAACCGCGCAATGTCGCTGAAATTTCTCATGCATCTGGTGATCGAATTCGCTTCCCCCCCAATTCCCAAATTATTGAATTCGACCAGTGGATGAATGAATATTTAACAAATCCTAGAACTGAAATGTTTTAATATAAATGTGCAACGTGCGCGATTAACATAACAGTGTCCAAAAAAAATAAAAAAATTCTCATGAATCATCAGTTATTTTTTACATCAGTGAAGATATATTGGAGAGTTTGTGGATAATACACGATGGGTTTACAACGAGCACAGACACATTTACACACCATGATTAATGAGGATTAATGATAATGAAACACGTACCACAGCATCATGAATTAATGAGGCCGGATAAAATAAACGATAATTAGTACTGGCTGTTTTGAATTTCATTTGATCGATTAGTGTAACGATGAGGTAGGAAGCCGCTTTGTCAGATATTTTTTACATTTATTGTTATTATTATTATTATTCTATTGATTGTTTCTATTATCAATAAAGCGAAGGGTATCACGTATTGATATTGTATATATTTTGCAATGTTCAGGCTCGCACAAATAAAATTAATTGCCCACGATTAATGCTAGTGTAAAAATGGTTCTTTGGAGGATTTCATTGGGAGATTCAGAAGCGAGAGTGACTATTGGAGACAAATCCCCGGTGCTCCCGCCCCCTGCCCGCCCCCATGGAATAATTTGTACGCGGAATATGTGAGTTTTATGTGAATATATCATTTTATTTATAATTTTTCTTCTCATGCTGATCTATTATTGTTGCTATAATTTTAAATTATATTGAATTATAATTGAATTTTTAAAAATGAATTATTACCATGGGGATTCGCTGCTGAATCGTCATCTATCAGTTTGATGAATTAATCTTCTGTTGAGCATCGATTGCACACACTCGATATAAATATATAAATAATATATAAATATTATGTGTATACATACATGTAATTGTACCGTAGCTTTTTTTATCCGAGTGAATGAGCGGTTGCATCAAGGAATATAACAGATAATTCGTGATTGAGAGGTAATCGATGATTAATTGATGATTGACAATTATCTGGGGCTTTTCCCCGGGCCCAGACACTCGTCAATTTTCCGTGTCGAGGGAGTAAATAATGTAAATTCATGTGTACGTATTTCATTTACGCTCACGCTATTACTGATGCATCAGTCAGCCCCATCACCACCGATATCCATTAATTTTTAAATCTAGCTTTTTAATGAATTAGGGAGGATGTTAATTGACATCTGGACGTGCGCGTAAATGAACTAGGTAGTTTGCGTCTTAAATGTTCGGGCATAGCATGCGCTTCATCTACGCGAAAGAGTGAACAATAAATTTCAAATAAAAATTGTTCATTACTCTGATCGATAGAAGCTCAAATGATTTACGATAAAGCTAAATGACGATTGTACGATGATACTGATGATTTGAAATTCAATGATATTTAATGTCGAGTCTGCTTGTCAAGGTATTATAGATATTCTCGTCGATATTAAACATGAGACAAATTGTAAATCATCTTTTTTACGATAATGCTAGGTGGAATAATTTTTCCACTTCAGTTCTCAATTGTCAGAAATAAAACTTTTTCGTTTTTTTATTGATGCAATAACCATCGAAGCAACGCGGAGATCATTGCCTTGATTGCAACAGCCCTCGGAGATCTGTTGGGCATTAAAAATTCCATCAATGAAAATTATTAATTATCGATAAATCGTGTAATATGTGCAAATAATTCCTCGTAGCTGACGATTGGGAATTTCTTGGGAACTGAGGGTTGATCATTCCTTCCCCGGGAGCAACTGTCATTTCCCATGATAAACCGTCGATTGATCGATCCCCTAATAATTATTTCAGTCTCATTTTATTAATAATAATAATAACAATGAAATTCTCGGCATTTCTACGTTTTTTTTTTTATAATTCAGGATTCATTGAGTGCGTGGGTCATGATGAGATGACGATATGTGATTATTTGAAGGCTTTACGCGTGGAAATTCGATTGATCGATTGTCTGAAACGAGAGATATTGAGGCAATTTTTTCGGGCTCTTTAAGGGGCTCATTATCTCGGTAATGAGTGGGTTTTCAGGAACGAGTCATAAGACCTTTTTTGTGGGGAATTCAATTCCCCATGAAAAAGATCTTCTGACTTTTTATCGATAAATCCGGAGTTCCTGAGATAAATCGAGAATTACCGATGAAAAATATTGAAATGACAAATTTGTAATTAACAATTAAAATCCAGCTTCCCCTTTATAATTACGAGAATTGCACTTCAGTATTTTTCCAAGGAAAATTAAAAAACAAATACTGTTTACAGAGAAAATGAATAATTCATATATTACGTTGACATTATAAATATTTATTTGAACCGGTAGTAGCGAAAATGGGGAGAGTATGTAATTAATGAATTACAGAATTATTGAATTACGTTGAGATTGAGTTGTAATTTTCAATGATTTAACAGTGAAGTGATGGAGCATGAAAGAATAAATGAAATGAATTTATTCTCTCGCGTTCAATCACTTGACAAAATGTGAATAAATAAATGAATAAAAGTAATGAATAAAATAGTCAACGTACTTTCTCCGTGAACGATACTGCCGTTATTCATAAGTTATCATTGTCACGAGTGTTTAAAGAGATTATAAAGCAGATTAAATGATAGATGAATTTTAATTGCGAGAGTGAATATTTGAAAATGCTGTTGTGGTTTCTAGTAAATACAACAATTTAATTGCAATCACACGATAATAATGAGTGGCTATTGTTATGGGCCAAGTTAATGAGCCTCTGGGGCTTTTAATTGACGAGTAACTGCCAAGGGTCGAGCTAAATAGATGACGAGAATCCAATTAGACAAGACGATTTAATTTTCTGTTGGTGAATATTAGTCTGAGGACAGAAGGCAGTTTTATTTATCCATATAATTGCTAAATAGAAAAGAAATAAAATTTGCGCACGAAATTTTAATCACGAATGATAATTTATTTCTCTATTAAATTCCTGTTAATTATTTCCCTGTTAATCACCACTCGACCCCCAAAAAATCGTACGAATGGCGAAATAAAGCTGTATAAAATAGTTAAACTCGATTGAAATTCTGTCGCTTGAATGAGAATTCATAAAACCTAATGAACAAATAAATTTCGCAGAAATAATATGAGTTATTTGCACAATATTATGAATAATTAATACGTTTACTATGATTATGAGGAAGTAAATTATAAGAGCAAATAATGCAAAGATAAATTTAAATGAAAAAACAAATAAAAAAACATGGACAAACTGTTGTTAAATAATTAATACAAGGAGAGAAATTAAATTGAAACGAATAAATCATTGGATCTACGAAAATAAATTGATGATAAATCGATGAGTCGAAGGGTTATGGAGAATAAATCATGAGGATTCGTTTGTTATTAATTAGTTTAACAATCCATATAATTAGTTACTGTAATTATGTAATTCCTACGATAATATAGTTACAATTAACAAGTTGTTACCGCTTTGTTATACACGATATAATTAATATATAATAAGAATTATATAAAGTAAGCCGATGCATCGTTGATCTTTTTATTTTTAGGATATCGATATGGATTTTGGGGGGAAGTGATTGGACGTTGAATTTATTCCAGACAATTTTCTCATAATTCCTGAGATTAAGAATAATAAAACTCCCAATAATTATCGTTCTATCACTTCTCTGCAGACTAATATAAATAAAAAAAAGAAAAAAGAAATATCTAAATTACGAAAAACTCTCGACTATGTTTTACCATTACTCGCTGAAGCACTGAAACATTTCTCTTCATAAATAAATAATAAATCGGAGGATAACACGAGTAGATGATTGAATTAGTCGGATTCGCGTGGCCGAACGGATATACATATTTTACATAAAAATATTTTCAATAAATGAAGAAAATTCAACACTCCTGACGTTTGTCGATTATTTTTTGTTTATTTATATCTTAATTCATTCAACATATGTCCCGTTCAGTGATTTCACATTGTGTGGAGTTTATGTGGAGTTGAATATTGGAATTCAGGGTAAATATCAGATATTTTTTATCGGGTCTGCACTGCTGCCTCTTTTCGCGCTGCGTCCTGGAGGAGTTGGGTGTCTACCTCGTCTCCAGGGAGCTGGACATATCGGACTACTGACCCTCGGATAAAACAATTCTTCACTGATAACTGCAATTCATTAAATTCTCCCATAACTATCCAGGTATTCAGTAAATAAAATAAATAAAATAAATTCTTAACGTTAAAAAGGAAAAAAAACATTGCAAAAGTATTTACTTTATGTCGGAAATTATTTAAGTGAAAAAAAAACATTTAGACTCGAGGAACAATTTTCTTAGGAATTTTTCCTCTTGATATTCACGAAAAATCGAGTGTTTTCGCTGTAGTTCAAGGATTAATCCATTTAAAAAATTGTTTATTAATCAATTGTTTATGCTAACCATGTGGGGGTACTTATCAGGATCCGTAACACTGATATCCGTTAATTTAATGTTAAGATATTGATCCACAGAGTGCAACGTGCCACAGATGCTGCAAAATAATAAAAACCAAGTTTTAATTGTCGTACCGAGTGAATGAAAAATCGCAATAAATGCGAGTAATTACGACAGGTGAATTAATCAGGAAGTACCTCAGATCATTCTTCAATTCGACAACAACATCTTTCCCGATGAGGGACTTGAAGAAGGAGTAGAACAACTAAAAACAAACAAAACATGACAAACGTGTTTTCATATTTTTGAGGTTAGAATCTCCAGAAATCAATTTCCATCCGATTTACCATGACTTTCGCTAATTCAAGCCCTAAAATTCGACACCAGCACTAATTATTCACCCAATGCCTCACAATAATTAACAAACAAACATTATTACTCCAGAAAACATAAATAAAACGTCAGTTTAGCGTTTACTGCAACAACCGGTGTAATTGTTTATGGCGGGTCGAGGGTATTTTATCGACTGACGGATATTAACATATCAATACCATAAAACAAATTACAATACAAATATATAAATAAACAAATATAAATAAATTCTCCAGAAATTGATGTCCAGATTCAATTTCTGAACAAATACGATAACTAATAACAAAAAATGATGACTATTGAAAAACAATTGAATTAATTTGAATTTAATCTAATGAATTCATGCGCCACCGCATGATGCGCGCGCGATTTGAATTCCGACACGAGGTGACGCAAGATGGCGGCACAAGATGGCGTCGGTGAGAATTGTGGTCTGCGAGTGAAAGGTTAGGACAGAGTTGGTGTAAGTGATCGTGACATGAGGTGTAATCAAGATCATACTTCACAGGATCATTTCTGTAGTATATCTTCACATTCTCTCTACTCAACAGTGGAGTTGATGCAGCCACGATGAAGAGGTATAATCCTTTTCCCTGAGCGTGAGGACGACTCGTGGACCTGAATTTATTTCAAGTCCACAGTCACCGATGATCGTTCACCTCTCGTACTCTGTATGAAAGGCATGGGAAAAGGATATTCTGAGTGGTAAGTCGTTATTATTATTATAATATTAATTATCCACTCATCTAATTAGATTTATCATGTAATCCAATAAAAATGGGGATTCATCTCATGATGTGGAAGTCGGTAATGTTTCTTGTCTTTAACGAGTTTAATAAACAAATAATCCGTTTGTTTGAGTAGATTTATGAGGCAGTCTGGTTAAATTGTTTATTTAGACTGACTGGAGTGATGAGATAATTTATTTGTTGAGGGAGAATACGATATTTTCCATTTTTGGATTTGGAGTTATTAAAAATTGATGTCTACTCATTCAATTCGATTTGTTTATGCAATACTATTAAACTTTTATTGAGACCTCTCGAAAAAGTCAAGAAATAATTTATTCCAGGGGTTAAACATTTAAAATGTGATTATTTGTGTAATCCCTTTAGAATTTCATTCAGATCTCTAAAAATCAAGAAATAATTTATCTCAGAGAGAATTTAGTCTTGGATTATTTACTTTTTAATAAATTAAAACAAAGATATCGATTGATTCAATTGGATTATCCGTGGAATCCAATTAAATTAAATAGAGATAAAAAATTAAACGTTCGTAGAATTTCTCTTTTCGATTTGAAATCTGGAATTTTTAATTCGTATCCGAGGGAAAATTGAGAAAAAGTTTAAATTATCATTACCATTGGAAAACAAACTTTCCAGCTAATGGTATGATAAATTCCTGTTACCGGTAACACCGAGATCTCAATTACCTTCAAACCCAAAAATTTTAAATTCCAAATATTGAAATCTAATTTTAAACAACCAAATTACACCTCAAATTGACATTCCCTCGCGCTCTTTATTCACTTAAATAAACCAAATAATTAATTACAAACTCCAAAAAATATAAACATTTAATAAAATTCCCAAAAAATGAAACTGTCAATGAAAAATTCCTCCCAAAATCACCTAATCAAAAAAAAACCAAATAACTAATTCCCAAAAAAAAACTGTCAGCTGGATTTATCTGGAAGCCATAAAATTTTTCATGTTTTTGTCCAGGGGAAAATAGAGAACGAAGACGAGAATAAAAAAAATGAACTCGTGCAGAATCCGCAGTCCAATTACCATGAAAATGGCGTCATAACCGAATGGTTGTCGCACGACGTGCACAACAAGTCGGCAAATCCCGTAAAGATAACAAACCAACTCATAAAGATGAGAAGAGGAAATCCTGTGGAGCCCTGCGTCCCTGAAGACGAAAAAAAAAATAATAGAAAGAAGAAGAAGAATCCTGAAATGGGAGACAGCAAGCTGTTGCGCGCGCAGTGTGACTCGTTCCCCTCACTCCGTCGGACCCCCACCCCACCCACTCGTCCCATTGGACGGAATGGGTTTTTGTGTTCTCAGTGTAAAGTGAGTCGGCAGACGAGTGAGACAGATTTTTCGTCTCCGTACGACAGCAGCGCCAATTTATCGTTGAAATATTTTTCCTGCCACATCGCGGTTGTTTCATACGAGTACGAGATAACAGAAGTGCCGGAGTTACCGCATTTATTACCACTCGCAACGTCGACAAGTGTGTGAAATTAAAGAAACGAAAAAATAATAATAATTAATCGTAATTACTCTGGAACTCTGAAAGTGATCATTAGTTTTGGAAAATATGAAGAGACTTAATGCAAAGTGCGCGGATTCCTCGAGTTAAAGCTGAAGTGATAAGTTGATTAGTTATTTTTTTTCGAGTGCCGGTGAATTTTTGAGTTTCGATTTTCTTTTGTTTCGTTGAGATGTTCTCCGATGGGCATGAAGTGGACGGCAGTTGGGTGCTACGCGTCTACGTTACGGATTTACAAGTTGAGAGGAGTCTGAGGGTCAAGGGAGATCTTCACATCGGAGGAGTTATGCTGAGACTTGTGGAGGATCTTGGTGAGTGAGATTATTCTATTTTAATGGGTTATTGGGGAATTTATGCGCTTTTTATCGGGGAATCGAGTGGACGAGCAACAAGTTGCGGCATCCCACTTTCGTCGCTAGTTTCCATCGCGCTGTTCTGTTGCTATCGAAAAATCTACACTATTTTCTGGATTCTCATAATCCATTAAAAATAGAGAAAATACAGAATTTATCGATTTTTTTTTCATGGAAATCCCGCCAGTTTAGGGTATTTTTTAAATCGACTGGAAAATTCTGGAGTTTCTCTGGGGAATTTCATTCAATTTGTTTCTAAATTCCTCAAGAATTCTTTTTGAATTCCAGTAGAAGTGTAAATAAAAAATGAAAATATTGAATTCGTGGAAAATTCAAATGGAAATTTTGAAGAGAATTCTTGGGGAGTGCTGATAGATTATTTTCTATAAAATTTTTAATAAGTCCCTTGTGATGGGGATAAGAGGGAGATATTCGTTACACCGTCGTTCTATTTCCGGCAATTGCGATAATAGTTTAAAATTAAACTCCCGCCGTCTCGTCGGAGATGAGGGAACTTCCCCCATTGTATTTTTTCGCGGTTTTTTCTACAACAGAAGTTGAAGAAATGAATTCAAACCTCAGCCAGAACTCGAGGATATCCATAATAAATTCCTCTTCGTGGAACTCCAATCGAATTTTGGATTTCAAATTGATCAATTAAATTTATCATTGCCCCAGACTGAGAGAATAAATTCTTCCTTTGAGACAACTAAATGGTAAAAATTTCTCAATGAAATTCCGGTTTGAATTTCTGTTACAAATTCTTTTGGAATTCATAAGTTTAATTGGGCAATTTTTTATCTGGAATGCAGATTATTTTTCTGGTGTTGATTAATGGTCCGGATTCCGGGGTATTTGAGCGGTTATTTTTGAAATAAACCCAGATTTCTCGGTCTATCCCCTTTTCGTTCATTTTATTACGCCCTCGGTGTTCATGTATATTTCTGTCGGCAAACTACTGACTTCTCTGCATCGCTCGGAGAATCATACGCACGCCATGACGCCCATTTATTTTTAGACATTTGGTCCAACATTTTCCGACATTTCTGGGATGATGGGTCCAAATTGAATGGGATATCTCAAGACTCATAAAAAAATGCATTGATCATGCATTAAAAAAATTGAGGATGTTATGTCGGTATTTTATTATTTTTTATATTTTTCGGAGATTTATTGTAAACTATCGATCGGATTGGGATATAAAAATATAGCGTTTATCCGTTACATCATGATTTATCCTTCCATAAAGTTTCATGCCGATACACCAATTTTTATAAGTTTTCAATAAAATTTATTGATTTTTTATTAAATTTTAGGGAAAAGATACAGAAATTAGTGTATCGGGATGGAATTTTATGAAAAAGTCATGATGGAACGGACAAACATTATATTTTCATATCCCAACCCGATCGATAGTTGTTAATAAATCTCAGAAAAACAGGAAAAATAAGAAAATACCAGGAAAACATCCTTAAGGGCCTTAAGACCCTTTATCCGGGTGGAAAATCTATCGAATGTCATCTTTTGTTTAAATTTTATCTATTCAGCCTAAAATACATTAACATTTGGGATTTTGTGTTGCGGGAGCTATTCGAATGGTTATAAATAAATAATGATAAAAAAAGAGGAAAAAATATTGAAAGACGCTAAGAGCCATATTGTTTAAAAGGAATCTACCAAGTTTACAAAAAATTATAAAAATTACGCAGCTTACCATTGCTCTCCAGAAGATTGAGTGACAGCTAGATGCAATAGTAAGCTAGGTATTTTTTTATTATTTTTTAGCAAACTTGGTAAATTCCTTTTAAATAATATCGATCTTTAGCGCTCTTCAATAATTTTTCCTATTTTTTTAAATTATTTTTTTCATATCCATTCAAATGCTTCCCGCGACACAAAATTGATCCCAAAGTTTAAATTATTTTAGGGTAAAGAGATAAAATTTAAACAAAAATCGAGGTTCGATGGACAGTCCAGCTGGGCCTTAATTGCGAATTAAAAAATTTTAATAAATTTTATTTTAATAAAACCCCCAAATTCATTCTAAATTTTCTCTAAAGTTCCGAGAACTTTAAAACTTGAGGGCATTATCTCATCCATTAATCTAAAAAATTCTAATTAACGGATTCCAAAAATTATTACCATAAACAACAAAGAATTCTCTGGAATTCCTCTTAAACAGTCAAGTATCTAACGGTTCAAGGCCGACATCTTAAAAATCCAGTAAAAAATCTTTTAACAGCGATTCCAATCTCCTGGAGCCCCCGGGATTAAGATAAACCGGAGGCGCAAAGAAATAAATAAACCCGCTGTATTTCCGGTGGACGTGACAGTTGACAGTGTCAATAGATAAAAAAAAAAATTTCATAATTTATCTCACGTTTAGTTTCCGAATGAATTGAGGGTTGTAGAGAAATCCTTCTGGTCGGATAAAATCAGGATAGGAGAGGGGAATCGTCCTTGAACCTGAGGATGCATTGGAGGGGATATTTTAGTGGTCCCCCTTTGTGGGGCCTGGAGTTCCGAGAGGCAGGTCAACGCCACAGGTGCCCCGGGCCCTTATTCTCGGTAAAACCTCGTAAAAACTCATGTAAATAATTTTCCAAGTGGTTTGCCCTCGGTCTTGTTCAAGTACGCAGTGAAATCCGTCGTTGATGCTTGGTAAGCCCTCGAGGGAGTGCGATCCCGAGGCCAGGGGATTTCATTGCGGATACAAAACGAGTTCTCGATGAGTTGAGTGTGGAAAAATTCCATTTGAAAGAAAAATCAGAGAGAGGAAAACAGGGAAAAGCATTTTAGAATTGATTGAGTTTCTCGGGTAATCACGGAAACAGTTGAATGATTTCGATAAAGAAATTGTATTAAATTTCGGCTGGAACTCCAGAATAATTTTTTTGTATGGAATTCGTTTGTGGAAAATGATTTGTCGAGGATTTGATGATTTCCAGTGGGAGGGAAATCATTTGAAGATTTTAATTCAGGAAATTATGTAGAAATTCGGGTAGAACTCCGTGGAAATTCTGGAGTTCCAGCAGAAATTCTAGATGGATGAATTCCGAAAAAAAAATTATTTGAAAAAGTTTATAGGGAAATAAATGGAGAATTTAAATGGAACTTTTCTGGAACTCTAGGGGAATTGAGTTTAGCATAGATTTGTAGAGATTTCTAGAGAAAGTGCGGCTTCCTGTCAGATTTTTCCAATTGCGGGTGTGATATATCGATATATTTAGCGGTGAAAAAAAAATCAAACGATATATCGCTAAATTGAGTGTAAATCGAGACATCGCGATATGCAGTGTGGCGTGGCGATCTTCGGGTCCAATGTACCGTACGTCAGCAAAGTCGATGACAAGACGGCATTCTTGTTACGGGTCTTCCGCGAAATGCATCTCTGGTGAGACAATCCAAGTCATGACTGAGGTTCTAATTCCAAAGGGGAAATTCAAAACGATTGGACACGAATTCTCATTAATCGGAGTTCTACAAACTCTCGATAATATTATTTTTCCTTCTGCGAATCGATACATTTCATATTTCTCTTCAACAATCGATTTATCTCGAGAATTATTGATTTTAGAGAGAAACATCCGGGGACTTTTTTGTAGCGGATGAAATTTCAGGTCGAAAAGATCTTATCAGAATTTCTCGTAAAAGCAATAGCTTCCGAGATTCAGCGATATTTACCAGAACTTTAGAAATTTTACTTCGTTACTTATCATTCTCTCACTTCCCACCAACAATCGATTTATCTCGAAAACGATTGACACCAGAAAGAAACATCCGGGGACTTTTTTGTAGCGAATGAAATTTTGGATCAAAAAGGTGGAATCAGAATTTTTCGTAAAATCAATAGCTTTCGAGATTCATCGATATTTACCAGAACTTTAGAAATTTCACTTCGTTACTGATCATTCTCACACTTCCCACCAACAATCGATTTATCTCGAAAACGATCGACACCACAGAGAAACATCCGGGGACTTTTTTGTAGCGGATGGAATTTCGGATCGAAAATGTCATATCAGAATTTCTCGTAAAATCAATAGCTTTCGAGATTCATCAATATTTATCGGAATTGTGAAAATTTCACTTGGTTAATTACGTTTTTGCCCTGAAATTCGTTAAACGGTTAAAAAAAGAAATGCGCTCTGTGAATCAACATGATGACTCAGACCCGCGAGATTCCATCGATTTATTCTTATTTGACGCACATCCTATCGTCACACTCTCACCACATCCTTCCCAGACGCTATCGCACATGAAACGATGAAATCATATTCTGAAACCCGTGAAACACAGTAACTCCTGTTGTAACATGAGAATAGTGACTCAGGGAAGTGTCACGAGTTGTTTAAAAAAAAAAATTGCCACGCGAAAATGCATCGGTCCAAAGTGATATTTCCAGGGAATAAGAGAAAAGGGTCGGTGGTACCGTAAGCACGACCTTGTCGATGAAGGCGAGTTAATCCCAGTCTTATCACAATTACCGATCAATTATCCTATCGATACCTCAATTAATTATCGATATCTTAATTACCTCGCGGCTCAAAAATTCGGAAAATCTGACAATTACCAGGAAAATTATTTTCTGTTCAATTACTCCATTAATTACGTGATAAAATCTGTCAATTTTCCTGAAAGGTAATTAATACACCGATTAATTACCCCCAGGAATAATTTCTCCGGGAATTTCCATTTACTCTCGTTCCCTCGCAGCTCAAAAAATTGGAAAATTCGTGAATTCTCAGGAAAATAATTTTCTGTTCAATTACTCCATTAATTACGTGATAAAATCTGTCAATTTTCCTGAAAGGTAATTAATCCATTGATTAATTACCCCCAGGAATAATTTCTCCGGGAATTTCCATTTACTCTCGTTCCCTCGCAGCTCAAAAAATTGGAAAATTCGTGAATTCTCAGGAAAATAATTTTCTGTTCAATTACTCCATTAATTACGT